AAGCAAAACAACAATGCAAGGTGATGGTACAGAACCGCCAGCTCCCTTTCGCCGCGGCTGGGCATGGCCACGTTATGCCACGCTATACCGTGCTGTTGAGGGGGGTTCCTCCTGTCACGACCTCACCACAACCGTGGGCTCGTGACAAGCTCTCGGCGCTCTTATCACATCAACTCGAACCTCCTCTGCGTCATCATTATCTTGGCGAGGGCCGTCCCACACCCAGCCAGCAAGTGCTTGTCGCCTCGTGTCGCCCCCTTTCCAAGCTCCTCCGTCGAGTAGGGGACATATTTATTTGCCAACAGCCTCCTTGACCTTGGTCTCAACCTTAGCCTCGATGGCTTCAGCCTTCTTCTGAACACCTTCGAACGCATCCTTGGTCACGGAAGCCTCCTTGCCTCCCCAGTAGTTGTACTGCATGTAACGGTATCCCTGGGTAAGCTGGGCGCCCTCGTTGATGAAGTGGCACAGGAACAGGAGGTAGTTCTTGGGCGAGACGGCGAGGGAGTAGCGCATGAAGGTGGCAGAGTAGACGCAAAGAGCACCCGTCATCTGGCCGGAAATCCTACATAAGAGTGGTGCATCAGCATCTTATCTCGCCCGAGGGTGTGGCGGGGAGAGGTGGGCATTCAACGTACAGGTCGGGGGACTTTTGGGTGTCCATGACAGCGGCGAGAGGGATACCAAAGTTGGAGACGGGGCCCCAGAAGTCTACGGCGCGTGACGGATTAGCTTGCTTTCCTTGCTGTCTTGCGTTGTCTTGAAGCTATCGCGAGCGGCCGGCACCGGAGTATCGCATCCGCAAGCGCCGGGCATCATAGGGCATCGATGGGACGATCCCGCGCTCCAATCACAGCGGATTGGAGCAAGCAAGCTTCATCAATGATTTTCCGGGGCCTAAGGGTGCCATTCGATGCTGGCGATAGCTTCAGGCAAGCTCCCTCTTCTTTGCTGTGGGATAATCCCCGCTAACTCCGGACACGGAGCGCGGAGGAGGGAAAAAAATTCGAGAGACGGGTGCGGGCACACGTACGGGTAGAGCAGACATAGTCCGACACAGGGTTAGACCTGATCTTTGCGTTGAGCGCCTTGAAAACAGCAGCCATTTTGAATTATTTTCGCAATTTCCTTGACGGTGGAAAGGGAGGTTCTCGTGACGGGCGATTGGGAAAGGTGGTCGGGAGGAAGAGGCGGCGGACAATTGGATCGCGAAATTGTTGGGAGCGAGACGATGACAAGAGCTCCTTCCTCCCTCTGCAGACTGCGGCGCTCCGAAATTTCGCGGGCGGACTGGACGTGCACACAGGCTGGCACACTGTCTGGCACACACCTTAATCGGACGGGACTCGCAACGGGGGTAAGTAGCGGACAAGCAGAGGGCCGCTGGCTGGCTGATAAGGTATTGCTGCTGTTCCGGGAATAAAAAGTGGCTTTAAGGAATTGGGAGCTGATGGAAAAGGAAGGGCTGTGATTGGACAGAATTTCCTATCCCCCATGAAGGAGCTATGATGACTAAGACAGCTTACCTCAGAAACCGACTTGCGGTGCGAGGCACCTCGGGAAGACAGGGCAAAATGGACATCAATACTCTTTCTTGCCTTGTTACACAACTCAGGCACAGAACATCCCCCATGTGAAGTTGAAAGGTCGCATGGTCAGGTTTCTTTCGTATTGTGCTTGTATTGTGAATAAATTAGATGTTGGAGAGAGGAATCGTGGTCCTGATTTCCGGAGGGGTTTCTGGGCTTTTGGTGGTAGATCTTGTTGGTGCATACCCAACTATACCTTAGTGAGATGAATTACGCGATGAACAGCGTGAAATTTGGACGGCTTTTGAAAATGCTCAGTCTTGGAGATAGGGTGCTCGATTCCGAGTAAGATATAGGAGGCTGGAGAGAGAAGCTTCGGAGCTTTTGGACCCGGAGAGCTCTCTTCAGATGGAATTCATGGTTGATGCAGGGTACGAGAAGGGGAAAGTTGAGGGAGCAGCAAGGAAGCCACGAAATCCTAACTCTCAGCTCTTCCTTCTCGCTGGTCTCTTCCTATTGCGGCTGGTTGTGACCAGGGCAAGGTGAGTCTCTCCTGAGTCGGACAGGAGGGTTTAGAGAAGGAAGGGATCTAGACCCAGGCTGCCGGAGCGGTGGATGTTGGATCGCTCCCCATCCTCCGCTCCCCCTCCCCTGTGCCGCATCTCGCATTGGAGCGGATGGAGCCGCCGATGGGGGAAACCACGCCATCATCAGCTTATTTTTTCTACGTATACCGCGCAAAAGACTGTGGGAAAGATTTTTTTTTCCTGTGTTTTTCTTCTGCTTTGAGAGTTTATTTACTGGATGGATTTTGGGTTCGAGAGCGGAAATGCCATGCCGCCTTTCCCCGGGGTCAACGCGGCACCCTTTGGTCCGACCATGAGATCTTGCGCCCAAGGCGCTTATATATAATAGCCAATAGGATTTGTCCCTGTCCATCTCTCGATAGATGGACGGGAAAGGCTGGTGGATGGGTGCGGATGTCGAAGCCCACTCCGCCTCTTGCAGCAGCATAACCTGGGGTGCTATGGCAAGTCTTTCTCTCCAATGCCATGTCCTACTACCTAGATGGAGATGTTCAGCATGTACAGTACTCTAGACACCGTTTTCCCGTTCTAGGTCAGAGTCATGGGTGACGATGGAAGAACATGGGGTGAGCAAAACGCGGGGAAGAGGCGGGAGGTTTTTCGGGGATACCTCGTGTGGAGTCCGGTATGTTTTTTTGGCGGCTGGATGCTCAGGGTAGTGTCTTTCGGGAAATTTCTCGGACTTCGGGGCTGGCGGCGTCTCCATTTCACTTCCTCGCTCTCTGTTCTTGTCGTCGTTGCCGTCTCATGGGAAACGTCGGGTTCGTAACCGGGAGAGGTGGGAGGTGTGGCGAATGGGGTTCGGGTTGGATGGCCGGGGGCGCCCGGGCCTGGTTCCGGTTGAGATTGGGGAATATAGAATACTTAGATCATTTTCAAGGTTGGGTAGTAATATGTAGGCCTCTACGTGGGATAAAGATCTATAGGAATCATAGAGTCTACTTGGTGTTAGTGATTGAAGTAGGTAGGCCCAGTTGGCTTTTCTATGTAATTGAGAAAATAGGCATCTTAGCTAGTCTTGATCCAAGATTCCCAACATTATTCATCTTGTGCTCTATGTTCTGAATGGGTTTCCTAGATTATCACCCAGGTGAACATGTTTAGAGGAATCCTACAGGAAAGAAATGTTTTCAACCTGCTCTCACCTTATAAAATTATGTTAAACTGCTCTTAACTTCACTATTACATAGTATCACGATGACGTCTTTATATGTTAGCTACACCTTTGAAACTTAACCCGCTAAAGACGGCCAGCCCTCAATCAGTTGTCCTCTATTCCATCAATCTTTTCAAAGGAATCCTCTTACTTCTTTGTGTCAGTTTGCACTTACTCTGGTGATGTTCTCACTGCCCTTGACCTGCTGACCATAGATTATGAATATTGCATCTATGCAAGCCAGCTGCATCTTGTAAGACTCTATGTCCCAAAGGCAATGCGTCTTGGTCGGTCGGTGTATAGTGAGCCACTGGCACCTTGAAAGACTCATTGACATACACATCTCCATGTAAGTATTTCACGCGGGATAAAGGCTTTTAGACAACAGATAACTTTGCATGAATCCACGCCACCTCAGACAGAGGTCCATGGCAACAAGGAAAGATCCTTAGCACAGTTTTCGAATCTGAGCGACGCGTAGGCCATTTGTTTCCCAACACGTTTCATAACTTAGGCAGTCGATAACCGCTATATCAACGGTCAGAACTGTTCAGTTCGCTCTCGCACCTTTTCGTCCCACGAAGACGTTATAGAATTGGCCGAGCAGTAAGGCTGACGGGATGCTTGCTGTTAAGGAGAGGGTGACGAGTATAGCCCATTGAGTTTCCATGCGCAGTGGATGGAGTGACAGCATCGCCAAGGATATGGTCGTGGCCAGACTCCTAAGGTGTGGTCAAGGAAGAAAGGGCCAATGTCAATAGGTTAAGCATTTTATAACAAGCACTATATCAAGCTCTTTATCACTTTTCCAGAGGTCACAAGGTATCATACGACAAGTGAAGGAAAGGATTAGATAATAACTAATGAACTTCACTTACCTTAGCTTAGAGAGCAGGTTTCAAGGTCAGTGGTAACAATCCTATACCGTTCTGGACAATGTTCTAGGATCAAGGACCAAATTTTCTGGTACAGAGTACAGCTTTTATCGATATCTAAAATCTCAATGCCGGGTAACATTGAACCGACGAACACTGGGCGAAGGAAGGAAGACGTCTAGAAAAAGGTACATGACTGTCATATGGCCATGTCAGAGCTCAAAGAAACTATACGTAGCTTTATTTTTTTTAGCTAGGGGAGGTAGAGCATGCTCCTTTTGAGTATCCTAAGGGAATATATGTATAAAACGATTCTATTACCAAGCCTCAGCTCACTATCAACAATTGTTGCAGGTAGTCAGAATGGCCCACAGGTTGGCAGCTTCATACCATCTGCGTTCCTTCCTTCTACAGCGTCAGTCTTATCCAACCGGGCTGAGTGCTTGCCTTACATTCTGGTCCAGGTCCTCCTTCCGTCAACCAAGCCCAATCGATCCACCATGGTCGAGCGGTATAACGCCCTGGTCCGTTAGTAAAGAACTTGGTGATGAAATCCTGAGAAGTCTTCTAAGACGGAGGATATCCGTAGGGTGCGCAGTTCGATTCGCGGACTGCGCACCTGAGCTTTTGTATTTTTGCCCCTTTTGCTACCTTCTGCGCCCATCCGATTCTCCATCAGTCGAAATATTAAGGCACCTCTCCAATGGACGCGAACCCAGTCTGATTTGACCATATAGTGACGATGTTCGGAGTCGCAGCATGCCCAGGAAGCTGGCAATCGATATGAAGTTTTGCATGATGTAGGTTTCACTCACGATGCTATGACTACAGAATCTTCGGCCTTTCCCCTGCATCACAGCTTGGTGGCGCCAGCGGTGCCATCCACCTCACCAAACAGCGTCATGAAGGACCCGTGGACTTCGTCTGTCAAGTCGCTGGCCTGCAAGCTGCGGCCCCTTTTCAGGAAAGCGCGCCTCGAGGATTCCTACAAGCAGTCAGTCACTTGATCATCAACCCTCACAGTAAAGATAGCCAACTTACCCTCGTAATAGCGCTCCCTCCAAAGGCAGCAAGTCTAATCAACTCACCCTTTCCAAGGGTTTCGCCACCCCTATCCCATAACCCCTCGAGATACGCATGCCTCCATCCCAAAAACGTCGCTATCGAGCCCGTGAGCGTATCGCCCTGCCCGCCGCTCCTTTTCAAACCACCCTGGAGGTCGACGACCAAGGTATCCTTGCCATTTGAGATGAAGTCCTTGGCTCCCTTCTGAACGATAGTTACCCCTTCCAACGCCCTCGCCAGCGCCTCCACCTTGGCCGTCTCCTTCTCCTCCTCCCCACCGCCGCTGACCTTATCCTTGGCTTTGCCCTCATCAACCTCGAGCGCTTTGCAGAGCCGCGAGAACTCAACGACGTTGGGCGTCAGGACTGCCAGCGCGTACCCGCGCACCAGTGACGGGTCCTTTTGCACGACGAGCAGCGCGTCGGCGTCCAGCACCAACGGGATCGACCGGTCGCGGGCGGCCCGGATGACACGCGCCACGGTCTCCTGCATTAGCGGGTCACGGCCGAGCCCCGGGCCGATCACGAGCACATGAAGGCGGGAGAGCATGTCGATGATAGGGCCCGATATCTTCTCCGGGTCCGTCGCCGCGTCCTGCGAGCCGCTGGGTGCCGCGTCCGATGGGGTTTGACGCATGAGGGGGTGGACCATGAGGTTTGGTGAGTAGGTCTTAATCACCGAAGCTGCGCCGGGCGTGCAGATGACGTGGGACTGCCCATCCCGTCTCAGTATGTGATGCCCCGCGTTGCCCAGATGAGTCGGGGATGAGAGACTAGACTTACCATGTCGCAGCCTAGCCTGGCGCTCGCCATGGCTGAAAAGTACGGCGCTCCCGTATAATCGATGCTGCCGCCGAGAACGGCGACGCGGCCCAATTGCCCTGAGACCGAGTGTAAGCAAGAGAACATCAGCGTCCAGTCATGGTGCCTCGGACAGTGGAATCACCTTTGTGAAACTTCTCGAGCATGGGCGGAATCATCCGCTGCACCCGGCTGAGGACGTCCTTCGTTGCCGCAGACATTGCTGGAGCACCAGATTCGGATGGCATCATGAGGTTTGTATAATTCATAAAAGTTCGATTAAACTTGCGTAGTTGTGCCAGGGGAAGAGAGGTGAGTTGACACTCGGAGCTCTGACAGACAGATGATGTCACCTGTTGACATCCCGTACCTTACGCGAATTGACCCGCCAAGGTCCCGAGGTGTTCTTCATATCCGGCATCCTCCCCGCGACCCGGCGCACTTTTGGAGTCCGGCGTACTCATTTTAGACCGGCGACTGGCTCGGTGATTTACGCGGTAGCTGAACTTTTGTACGGTGAAGTGGCAATGGGTCGCAAGGAAATTCCATGTAGAGTAGCAAGTCGGAGGCTACAACGTAGAATCACATCAAAACGAAATTTGGTAGTAGGGACTAATTCATGAAAGGACAAAAGGAATCGAGGGCGTTAATTGAGTCTTGAGCTCTATTTTACAAGTGGTTCGACTGGAGATCCTTCCCCAAAAATCGCGTCCCCTGGTGCTTCCCTCGGACCGGCGCAAAACCCTCGCGATTTCCTCACGCCTCTAGGCAAACAAAAACTTCGGTATAGACAGCTACATCAACCCCAAGCGCTCCCAGTCGGACCATTTATTATGTCAGGTGAGACTTAAATTTAGCCCAGGAAGCTCTTGGTGAAGGTGACGATAACGTCCTTCAGGCGGGCCTCGAGCTCCTTGCTGAGGGCACCCTCCTTGTCGATGGTGGCAATCAGGTCGGACTCGTTGGTGCGGAGGTGAGACAGGAAGTCGGCCTCCCACTGGAGGATCTTGGCGACGGGAACGGTGTCAAGGTGACCGTTGACACCGGCGAAGATGAGGGGAACCATCTCGTTGACAGCCATGGGGGAGTACTGCTTCTGCTTGAGGAGCTCGGTCAACTGTAGAGGCCTTGGTCAGTACTTGTCAAGGGTGCGGGTAATTACTGGTTATCAACTTACGCGTTCACCTCTGCTGAGGGTCTGCTTGGTGGAGGCATCCAGATCGGAACCGAACTGGGCAAAAGCAGCGACCTCACGGTACTGAGCCAAGAAAAGCTTCAGGGAACCAGCGACTTGCTTCATGGCCTTGAGCTGGGCGGCGGAACCGACACGAGAGACGGAAAGACCGACGTTAATGGCGGGACGGATACCCTTGTAGAAGAGCTCGGCCTCCAAGAAGATCTGGCCGTCGGTAATGGAAATGACGTTGGTGGGAATGTAGGCAGAGACATCACCACCCTGGGTCTCAATGACGGGAAGGGCAGTCATGGAGCCACCGCCGAGCTTGTCGTTCATCTTGGCGGCACGCTCGAGAAGACGAGAGTGGAGGTAGAAAACGTCACCGGGGTAGGCCTCACGTCCGGGGGGACGACGAAGCAGCAGGGACATCTGACGGTAGGCAACGGCCTGCTTGGACAGATCGTCGTAGATGATCAGAGAGTGCTTGCCGTTGTCACGGAACCACTCAGCAACGGAGGCTGTGGGGAAATGTCAGTGAAATATCTAATGAGGAATGCACGAATGTTAACTTACCACCGGTGAAGGGTGCAATGTACTGAAGGGGAGCGGCCTCGGAGGCGGTGGCGGCGACGACAATAGAGTACTTCATGGCGTCGTTCTCCTCGAGGGTCTTGACGAGCTGAGCGACGGTGGAACGCTTCTGGCCGACGGCAACGTAGACGCAGTAGAGCTTCTTGGTCTCGTCGTTGCTGTTGTTCCAACGCTTCTGGTTGAGGATGGCGTCGAGGGCGACGGCAGTCTTTCCGGTCTGACGATCACCAATGATCAACTCACGCTGACCACGGCCAATGGGAACCATGGCGTCGATGGACTTAAGACCAGTCTGGACCGGCTGGTTAACGGACTTGCGAGGCAGGATACCGGGAGCCTTGAGCTGAGCACGGCGCTTCTCCTTGGCGTTAAGGGGGCCCTTTCCGTCAATGGGGTTACCGAGAGCGTCGATGACACGGCCGAGAAGCTCGGGACCGACGGGAACGTCGACCTGTTGTGTTGTTAATAAACATTGACCTCAGTTGACCGGACACTGCAAACCTACAATCTCTCCGGTACGCTTGACGGTCTCACCCTCCTTGACCAAACGGTCAGAACCGAAAAGCACAACACCGACCTGGCCGGCCTCGAGGTTCATGCACATGCCCTTGACGCCAGAGGCGAACCTGTGGAAGGAAGAGTTAGACGCGGTGAATCTCCGAGGTGAGTAAATGGCGTTTAACATACTCGACAAGCTCCTCAGCCTGGACGTTGGCCATGCCGTGAACACGGGCGATACCATCACTGTTGTAACCTCGTCGTCAGCAAAACTTTTTCTGAGGGCCGATGAGTTGACATGCGAGCTCCTCGTGCAGGTCGATGATGCATTGAAGCTTTTCCGATGGTGGCTCGCGATGCCGAGAGATGCCGCTTAAACGTACCCGACGGACAGAACACGGCCGGTCTCGGCGAGACCAGCCTCCTCCTGGACACCACGAATTCTCTGCTCGAGGATGGAAGAAACCTCGGTCGGGGATGCCTTGGCCTCGGCGTATGTGCGAGTCTGCATGTTGAACACGGCGGGTGCGGCATTTCGGGCCTGGGGGTGAAAAACAGGTTAGCCGAAGGCCGAAAATGTTCTGGGCGGCTCCCGCCCCAAAACAGCAACACATCCCCCAAGGGAGCTTGATGAAAAGCTCTTCCACGCCAGCAACGCGACTCCCGCGAGGTCAAAAAAGCTCGGAGGGACCTAATTGGATATCGCAGAATCGATTGCTGATGTTTTTGGATGGAATTGACGTCGGTTCGGGGATGGGGATGTGGACGGAAGTTGTGGACTTACGGCGGCGACTCTGCCGGCAGCAGAGACGGCGCCGACGGCGCGCGTCGACTGGCGGAGGGCGTTGCGGAACATATTAGGAGATCTTGGACACTGTCTAGATCGAAGGAGAATCAATTGCAATAGATGCAATTGAGTGGAGGGGAGATTGGGGTTGATGAAGGTGCCTTTGAAGGAGTGCAAATCGAGTCTTTTTCGGAAGAAGCCCAGTGGAGGGAAAAGAGAGTGAGGAAGCAGTGGAGCCGAAGCTGTGCTGGCCGGCCAATCACGGTGGGTCGTCGAGTTTTGCCTCAGTCCAACCCGAGATCTCCCTAACAATTTCCGACCACCGCATACGTGCCCGTCGTGGCCCCGTAACCCCGTGAAATGCCTGACTTACATAAGACAGGGGGAGACGCTCTGGCATTGACAGGTCTTTAACATGCTAGGAGGATCTAATCTCAACCGAAAGGTATCGGGCCCGGGAGAGAGAGAAAGAGAGAATAAAAAAAATTCGTGCCAATCTGGCTTTCTGCCGCACCCATTGACTTTGCGACATAATTTTATCATCTGCGATACCGGGACTTTCCTCCATCGTCCAAGTATTTCTCTTCCATGATAGCTTCGTTCCAGGTCGCTTTTCGCTGTTCTCACAACTCTGCATGCATGCGCTGCCCTCTTAGTTCAGGTAGCTTCCCGTTGTTGTCCCCCCTTCCCCGGCATTTTCGGTGCAGAGCTCTCCACCGTGTGATTCCCACCCTCTCAAGGAATGCCACCCTCTCCATGCACCCGTTGAGGGCCCTGAGGCACCACACACAGTGTACATAGACCGAAGGCTTACTGAAGCTGTGGGACTTTGGTGCCTCGATCCAGCCGGGAACACCGAGGCTGACCGCCTCGGAGGAAAGTGAAATCCGAGTTGCATTTCTGCCGTCTGCCTCACGTTCTTACCCGCCGTGGTGAAGCCAACATGCGCTTCACCGCAACGTCGGTCACGTGCAGCCGGTAAACTTGAAGACATATGAGGCATAGTAAAGGTGCTGAACACTCTCACGCAGTGCTTCAAGCTTGATTCGGAAACAGAGTGATTGAACTTGTTTGGACTACAATAGACTAGCTAAACCACCAACGCCTAGGCCACTTCCATATCGCGGGCCGTCCTCACCAAATAAATCATGTGCAGCGTCACAGCAAGGAGGAACGTGTAGTGTAAGCCGGCATGACGCCGGTCGGTCTCTGAGGCCGCGGCTTGACTGAATTTTTGCTCAAGTCAAGCGTGTTGTTTGAACAACTGCTGGAAAGTACATGCCTTGTAAGCCAGTTTCCCATTTTTCGCCAACCGTTAACCAAGCCGTCCCATAATCTTTTTTCGTTCGTCGCAGAATTGGAGCATTTATCGGACAATGCCGTCGAAGCGAGACTTGAACCACTTGACGGTCTCGTCGCGCTTGATGCGGTGGCCAGAGCCGATGCGGCCCTTGCAGCGGCGGCGGGTGCCGACACGCTCGCCCTTGCGGGTCATGCAGACGTAGAAGTCCATGCCGTAGATACCGATGGAGGGGTCGTACTTGATACCGAGATCAATGTGCTCAGAGATACCGAAGCCAAAGTTGCCGGTCTCGGAGAAGTTGCGCTTGCGGAGTTCGTACTCCTTGACCTTGAGGCCACGCTCGAGAATCTCCTCAGCCTGTATCAAGTCAGTCCACCATCCTTCTCAAGCTGCTTCAAATTTCGCCATAATTGTCGTACCTTGGGGCCGCGGACGGTGACGTGGACAGCAATCTTTTCGTTACGGCGGATACCGAAGGTACGAACGGTGTAGCGGGCCTTGCCTGTCGGGTGCTGTTAGTAAATCGTAACTTGTCGAGTGACTTTTTGGTGATGCCGTACTGTAGACGGGGGTTTGACCGGAAAGCTGCTCCAAAACCTTGGCGGCACGGGTCAGTCTGTCACCAGACTCGCCGACAGAGATGTTGAGGACGAGCTTCTGGATGTGAAGCTCGCGCATGGGGTTCTGGGCCTTCTCGGACGACATTTTGGCGGTGGTACTGCGGTGGTACGGCTGGTTGGGCGTTAGGTGTCGATTGTCGCTGGATTGTCGAAGTGGGAAAAAAGTTGCCGCCAATTGGCAAAAAAGGACTTTGTGTTTTGGGGGGTTTGCGAGCCCTCCAAGCAAGGTGGGTGACGACCCACTTTGGAGAGACGTGCCTGCCTTGCAAGCCACACTGAACAGCCACAGCACCTTTTCCAAGCGCCTCTCAGCCACATTAGGCTACGTACCGATTTCAAGCATAGGAGGTCGTTTGGCCTCAGCCTTTCCAAGGTTCCCTCAGCCTCCCGAAATTTGTCTCCATACCCTCTGACTGCTGAAGCTCTGCCCACCGCAAGCATCAAAAGTCGCGCTTAAGTCTCTGAGGCTTTGCAACAAGTATAACATCAATTTTTTGAAGATCTAGAGAAGCTACGAAAGTAGCTACTCAAAAACATCAGCCAAGATGTCGAACAAACAGGGCAAGATGGTGAGTAACTCCTAATCTTCCTCTGAAAGCTTCAAGGTTGACAATCCAGGCTGACACGAAGTGATTAAACTCTAGGCTGGTTACGTACGTATTCTTCCGCGAAATCCTCCTGACGACCGGAATCGAACACTGCACAAAGAACCGACTGACGCGATTTCATAGATCAACTACCGTATGAGGGTTACCTTGAACGATGGCCGCCAAATGACGGGACAGATGCTTGCATTTGACAAGGTGCGCAACCCAATCCCGCCCTCAATCGCGTCTCTGTAACCATGCTGACCGTCTTTACAGCACATGAACCTCGTCCTCGCCGATACCGAAGAGTTCCGACGCGTCAAGATCAGGCAGAACAAGCCTGCCGCTCCTGGCGCTAGCTCCAGCTCAGGCCAAACGATTGAGAAGGAGGAGAAGCGGACCCTGGGCTTGACGATTGTCCGCGGCGCACATATCGTCTCTCTTTCAGTCGAATCAGAGCCTCCTGCAGACCCCAGCGCGCGACTTGGAAAGAGTGCGCCGGGCGGGATTTCGGCCGGTCTCACCGCTGGTCCTGGTGTTGCGCGACCGGCCGGCCGCGGCGCTGCCCCGGCTCCCCCATCACTGGCCGTCAGTACTCACTTGATCTTCTCTCATTAGCGATGGATGCTAACTGTTGACCTAGGGCCCTGCTGCCGGTGTTGGAGGCGGTGCTCCTCCCGGATTCCCTGGCTTCCCCGGTGCCCCGCCTTTCGGCGGACGTGGAGGTGAGTACAAAAACCCATGCAACCTGCGAATGCGCTTCTCACGCTTTACAGCTCCTCCCCCGGGGTTCCCCGGCGCGTTCCCGCCCCCAGGCTTCCCTCAAAACGCTCCCTTCCCTCCTCCTGGTTTCAACCCCGGCCCTCCTGGTGGAACCCCGGGCTTCAACCCTCCCCCGCGAAGATAGGCTACGGATAAAGATATCGATACCTCGCATGCTTTGTAGTTGGAGGATGGTTCACGGATACCATTGGCGTTTGGGGATAAATGTCAAGATTATGAAAAAAAGCATCGGGCAGAACAGGCATGTTGTTAATCAGCCTCCTCTACCCCTGAACAGGTCACAGGTCAACTCGCCAACCTTTACTTGTTGGATTTGCGGGAAAATGGCAGCATGAATTCATTCAACAATTCTTCTAGTCACTCCGACGAGGAGCACTTCCGGCGATTGCTGTGATATGATTAGACATTACAATAGCCAGCACAAAGTAGTACCTCGTTGCTATTCTCGACAATTGCCCATATGGGGGTTTCTCATGCCGATCTTCCCTTGTCTGCCGATTGTAGCAAGATGACTTGAAAAATGAGCTTGGTTGACGTGTTATTTCTGACCCCCTCTGATGGTCTAAGGCGATGCTATCTAACTGCTTAGCCGGCAAGGATGATCAAAGAGAGACGTCTTCTTGGTGGGAACAATCTTTAAAAGGGCAAACGCTCAACTTACTGCGGCAGATTCAAAATTGTATGGAACTCTGGAACCGCATGAAATTGAAATCGAGAGGAACGGCATACTCATGGGCATGCTACATATGTCTTCCTCTCAGGGCATCCTTTCGGTGAAAGGTTAACTATCAAATAAGTGCAGGCTTCCAGGTTGTTGGCAAGGTAGAGAACAAACGCCGTCGATCACGAAGAGTCGAGGCGGTAACAGCGTTTGTTCTTCACAGCCCAGGGAACATGATCAGTTGCTGCCTCCTTCCCCAGGCAAATGCTGGTCGCAGGCACCTGCTCCGCCAGCGATGGAAGGGGTGAAGGAGGAGTGGTGGCTCTTGCATTTTACATAAGAAGTAAGGCGAGGAGCCATCACTCAGGTTCCTCCTAATTCACTCATTCTTTCATCAAGCTCAACTCTCCCGCTTCTGCGCTTCCCCTGCCTCTTTCCTCAGCCCTCTCCACGCAGCTTAACACCCTATCAACGTCTATTTACGAGCCTATTCTCTTATCCGTCCAAAATTATTGCATTCTTGGTACAGGCCGCCCATCCTGATCTCCTTGCCTCTTCGTATTGCTGGTTGAGCAAGCACCCTGACGTCGGCACTATGAGTCGCTGGGGATACCGTATGATGGCCTTCTCGTTTGCTCTCTCATCGTCTGCTAGTTAGTGTTCTCATAGGTCTTTTCGAATGCGACGAAGACTATAATCTTGGCGTGGAGATCGAATTCGCTTTCGGGGACAGGAGCGATTCGTTTCGTCTACTGAACATGCTTCCTCAAACAGAAATGTGGCCACCCCGGTATCCACACGAGCGCCTCATATCCGAGCAACACGCCTGCATGCTAAATGACGCCGTCTTATACAACCGAGAACGGCTAGACTCCGGTTTGGGTGACGAACTCTTCGAGAATTTTCGAAACAAGGAGTATGAGGAGCAAGGCCAGTATCGAATTATCTTGGCCGGCGCTTTGATGATGCGTACTGGAGCCAAGATCAAGGCCAGCCACTTCCAGCACCTGCGCGACCTTGTTCCCAAGATACCTTGCCAACCCGGCTCTGCCTTGCCATTCGCGGATCTAGGTTTCCGAGGCCCCGGAAAAGCTCAGTTTCTCGCTGCACTCGACAACTATCAGCCAGGAACGCCCCGCGACTTCTACGAGCCAAGGCAAGACTAGACGAAGTCTCAATTTGTGGCTATCAACTAACACCTGGGATTCAGTTGCTTTCAGTGCGGACGGATTCACGCAGAACTCGGGAACCCCCTCAAGAAGTGTGGTCGATGCCAGACAGCCTGGTTCTGAGACATTGTAAGTTCTTGATTTCTTCGGTGTTTTTGGTCAATCCAGCTGACGCCCTTGGAGGACTGTCAGAAGGCCCACTGGAAGGTTCACAAGCCTCTCTGCAAACCCTATGATGAGAAGAATGGCTTCCCCAACGTGTGAAGCCTTATTCCAAAGTCAGATCGGACCTTGACAACGTCACATGATCAAAGGCCCTCATACTTCACGGCTTTTGACATCATATCTGGCAGCATGGCAAGAGGCACGGTTATGGATTTGGTGGAACAAGCTTCACTTGACTGACGACGGTGGACAACTTTAACTCATGCAACGTTTGCGAAATGGAGCCAAGTCACATCTCGACCTGACTAGAACTCATAACAGATGTTTTCAGAACTTTGGCATCCGTTAACAATGTGATATCGCAAGGTGACCCAACAGCCTCTCAAGCGTCTTGTCTGTATTAGATAAAGACGATGGGTCGCTATACCCTCAGTTCAAGACCGACATATGGCACGAGGGAGACTACTAAAAGCTAGCTACCTGCGACCCAATGATAAATTTGACCGCTCCAAGGACCCCAACCGCAGCATATGTCTCCCCAACTCGGCCCAGAACTATCTATCAGAGAACCTTGAGCCAAGCATCCAATCCGACTTGTCGAGCGCTGGTCAATATGTCGAAGAAGAAGACTTTGAGTAGCTTAGATGGAGAAGAGGGGATATCGGAGGGAAGACATCTTCATATTTACATGTCGTTGCTAGCACGAAGATTAGAGGAAGAACCATATCGAGTGCGACAAGAACACATGAAAGCATGATATTGAAACACTTGGCCTCCAAGAAGGCTGCGCCATGGTTTCTTGACCCTCTCAGTAGTGTCACTGGATTCCGAATGAGTTTGTCGAGGTCTCGAATGGATTCCAATCAAAGCTTTCATACCTGTTCTCCGGAGGCCTAGTTTCATGTTTCCCAAAGGCGTTAGCATCCGATTCAATCCCTAAGACTGCGGCTCGTTCGGCTGGTTTATTATTGTGCTACTCTACTACATCAGGAGGGGATGCAAGAAACGAAGCTCAACGGTATATGTCGAGGTCTACGGCGAGCTTTCCACAATTCTTATTCGCAACGGCACACAGGAGACTGATTCACTCCTTGAGATGTCCCCATTGTGCTGGGTGCTACCTTGCTATGATGAGTATGAAGATGCGTTATACTGATTTACGGCCAAAATATACGATGGGAAGCCTCACAAGGGAGTGTAGAGAGGAAATCCACAAGACTTCCACTCCCGAATCCTTGTCATCTAGGGAATTTTCTCATGCAACGAACTTGTCTTTTCATCCATGTGAGCCCAAAGGGACAACGCGAGAATGGGATAGAACTAGGAGATAGAATGAGGTCACCGGGACCACGGGAAATCGGCCCTAGATACTTGTTCAAACTTGTCTAAGGTCGTCACTTATCATACGTGATCTTATTTTGCATGGCAGATGGCAGCTTCCAAGTGAACATGGCTTTCTGTGATGTCAAACCGATACCGTTCACGTGGGCAGCATCGACGCCAGTGATATCTCGTCACACTCCCGTACGCGTGTAAGTCAAAGTCAACGCAGATTGCCTGCCACCGAGACTGCCGGTCTAGTCGTCGAGAGCCGCTCGCCTCGGTGTCTCTAGACAACCAAAATGCTTCCCTGAGTTGATAGTGTACAAGATGAAACGAAGGTTGAAACCGAAAAAAAAAAATGACTAGACTGGTGGATGGTGAATCCATGGTTGGTATCGCTTAAAGATTTCAGAGACATTTTCTCCTTTCTCCCTGCCAAACTAAACGCTCGATAGTCGATACAAGTTCAAACAGCAACGTGGGAACCGATTTTCTTCTGTGTGACAAGGACGGAAAGTGCAACGTGGTGGGGGTCTCCAAGTTGAGTCGGCAGGCAGCCATCTTCCCCTTATGGGTAGTCAACTCACCCCTCGAATCATCAGCGGACGAGGGAAGTGGCCGAGGAGTCTGAGGGAGCGGTCATAGACTAACTCGAAGATTCTGAAGCCATATTGAACTGTCGCCGATAACATTTTGTTTGATTCCCTATAGATGACTTTTTTTCACCCATTTTTTTTTTCACTCTCGGCTCTTATCAACAATATCTTTTACTCCAGCCACTGATTTTAAAGGGTTTTCTCGCCGACCGGAGTTGAAGACTTCAAATGGCCCCACGCTCAAAAAAGTCAAGCAAGAAAACGGAATACCTCAGGCTGAGGCCCAAGCCGGGCGACCGACGTATTTTCAAGAGGGTGGCTACAAAAACGCCGACGGGTAGTCAGCCATCTCCCTTTCATCATCGGTTCGTCGAACTTTTCATCCCTGCGTACTCGCCATTAACGGGAGGCCGGGGCCGGGGCCGGGGGGGTAATCTTGGAACATTGTCACTTTTCATTTCCGCATCTTTTCCTCTCTACCCCTTCACAACTTACCGGTATTGCAAGATTACATTGTCTCTCTTTTTCAAGCACGCGCCCGTTGGAACGGTTTCCAGTGCACGAGCTCTCAGGCGGCTCCTTTTGTCTCAGCTTGGATCGTCACCACGCCCCCTTCCCAGTGGAAGAGAAAGAAGCGATGTATGGATGTGTGCATCTGGAGCTGGAATCGCGTGGAGACGAAGACATTCTTCTATCTTGTGTCGCGTGTCTCTCGAGTTCATGACTTTTTCAAGTGATAGTCGCTCAGCGTCTCGGTTCCACGAGAGAAACATGGATACGAGATCCGCTTGGAGATGTCTACCTACGTACCTACCTCTGTGATATCGACAACGAAGATGACCTTTTTTTTCCCCTTTCGGTAGCGACTCTGGGGACTCGACGTTCTAGATCTCTAGATCTTGGCGCTAATTACGAATAGTCACAGGCCGGATTGGGGACTCCCGCCCGTAATCTAATCATTGGTCATGCTGCCTTTCAACAGGCAAGATCTTTGACTTGTAGGTACGGCCGTCGAGCGTCAAGAGTCATACGCCCGTGAGCCTCTGCTTGGCAGTGATAGAATCCGGCAAGACCTCGACCGGGTGGAGGGCAGCTGCGTCGACTGCGAAGGGCCCAGGCCGACGACCGCAGTCGGAAGTAGAGGCCCAGCATCCCCGGCCGCATCGGCCGCAGCGTCCCTGCACCGATGGTGTGTGCGTTTTTGCCGCTGCAAACGTCTGCAACCAGCTGGACACCAATTGTAGGCTCCGCGCCGCCATGCATTCCCGGGTGCTGCACGACGGGGCAGCCGGTCTTGCCGGTGTTCAATTCTGGAGCAATATCGCCCAAAGTATTAGGATCTAGGCCGGAACACCCCCGGACCCCAGTCATGGTCCCACGTTGAAAGCACAATGTAGGCGAGAGCCCTTCTGCACCCCTTGCATCGCCAGCTCTGCGTTACGATGGGGGGCCCGCCGCCACCGACACGTTTGTCGTCATCAGCAACGAAGAGGCGACTTGCTGACTCGAAGGAAGGCTGGTCGGTACACACACGTTGCTGTATTCTTGCTTTTCTGAGGAGTCGATTTCCTGCCTAGTCAGCTTAGGAGAAACACGTTTGATGTCTCTGAAGTAGGGGCTTGGCAGACATGTATTCGACGAGTGCGGGTGGCTACAGCAGAGCTCGTGTCTTTCAGGGTCGAGAGTGGTTCGCGCCCGATATTGCGATGTCAGTGTAACCGAACCGAGATCGCTACCACCTACGCGTCACAGAGAGGCAAAAGGTGCCGAGAACGGTGATATTACTTCGGTCGTGATTAGCGATGAGAATGTGTGGCTGGCTCGGGAGGGTGTGGCTGTCTGATGGTCCGATGATGTACCTGCCACGGCTGGCGACATCTGCGAATAGATGGGGAATCTAGCCGTCCATGGTTAACTCGACAAGAGATGGGAGATCAGATTAGCGCCAGAGTGGGAAGACTTACATCTACCACAGGAACTCGTCTACGCTACCTTAGCCCGTGCTCCCGTTGTCTTACTTCAATATTTGACCAATACGACCTTTCTCTCAGGCTGTCAACCTCAGAAAGTAGGGGAAATTAGCCTGTTTTTGGTACTGAAAACAGCTTGACGTAAATCCGAGTTTGACGAGTTTCTACGGTACTACGCTTATTCAACGTTACACAGGACTAGCAAATGTGTTCTGGACACAGTACGACTACCAGATGTTACGGCCGCCCGCAAGGACCCGGAAAACCTTGGACAACCGAAACCGTGGTAGTGTCTGTGTTTGTGCAACCCGAAGACCAGATGAGCTGAACAATTTGTAATACGGAGCGCAATCAAGGCCTTTGGTCTATGGGTGGTTTGTCGTAAGGTATTTGACAGTCTGGCCGTGTTATCGAGCCGCATCGCAGAGCCGGAACATTCGGTCGATGCATCCGCGGCCGCCGTGCAATCATCGACGGCGGAGGGCCAAATTGTGAAAAGAAAAACGGGCTGGCTTCGGAACAAACCTGGTCGTAGGTCTAGGAGCAAGCGCCCTTTGGCCGGTGGGACGGGAGTAATACCGAAGGCGAGCTGCAAGTTTTGTCGGGTAGCGACCTCCGCGCTCGAGTTCTGGCGCAAGCCAGTCTGCTTCCTTTTGCTTAGACGAGGCCTACTTTTTCTTTTCTTTCGATGAAAAGAGATATCGACAAGATTTAAATTTGACAGGAAACGTCGACTCGAACTCGTGACCTCCCGAACCCGAAAAAAATAACTCCGACAGCCGAAGTACATGTAAATACTTGGGACGGCGCGAGTATCATTGGATCAACATTGAAAATCATCAAACTTACTATGATCATAAATGCCAAAAAAAAAAAAAAAAAAAAAGAGCCATCCACGGCATTGTATAGAGCAACTGGGCAAGTTTCTGCTTTGCCAATTAAGGCTTGCAGTGGTAATCATTCGGCCATCGACTATGACGGATCTTGCTCGATGCAAGTATTCATTTCTCCGGCAGCTATGAGGGTCCAGCGTCATTCCATATGATACTCGATGCCCTCACCTAGAAGGATTTGCTTTTTCCCAATGCTGGCTGCCTCGCGCAACGCCCACTATGCAAGTCTCACTTCTAGCGTATTCAATCGGATGCACAACGGGACAGCCGCGTTGGCTTTCGCTTCGGGAAACCTAGCAAAAAACCCACGTTCTTCTTCAAAATCGTACTTACTATTCCTGGCGTGACCTACAGCAACGGTCTTAAACCATCCATCACTTCTATTGTGAGGCGGACATAAGCCCACGAGATATAATGCGATGTCCCGGGAGAGGAACTATCAAATAGAAGGACACCGACGCCTTCTGGAGATCCACTGTAACTCCTGCTCTGCATCTTCAAGACGTCTTGTGAAGGTTTCGCCTGACTAGGAGCGCAATTGGAGGTTCAAGAGCTGCCTGAGTCAATGGATTTTGCTTGCGAGGGAGGTGGTAGAGATGGAGTCCACCCCAAAGTCGGAAAAGCATTCAATCGAGCCTGTGGCGCATATTCGCTCGACGACACTGCATCTGCTTCTCGTTCATAGGCTGACGAGACCGTGGCCAATCACCAGCACTCATGGACTCCAGTGTCTTTTTACTGACGACGGTCCATTAGATGAGCCTTATAGCCCCTCTCAGGGAGGGCTACCTTGGCGGAACTCGACTCGCATCTGCAAATATGCGTGCGGCCGGAGGTCTTCTCTCAGTCATCAGCGTGATGTTTCCATACTGCTGCGAGTCCGTCCTGCGACCGAATGAGAATCCCGGAAATGGTAAAGCTGCTGCTGGCAACCCATCGCAACATCGCACAGTATGACTCTAAGCCAAAGTCGGGATGGAGTGATAGTTGGACCAAAATTCTACCCATCTTGTTGCTGACGATGAGGACTACAACTTCGAAAATGGTTAGCCTACTTCTATTGCATGCTGCCTTTGAGGCTCGAGAGTGGGCTTGTTGGTGGGAATGAGGCGACAGCCCAACATCTGACAGCTCTGTATGGTCTCGTGAAGGCAGGGCACCACGGCATTCGTGTTACACAAGGATGCGATAGGCACGGGCTGTCGAGCCGCAAGCGAAGGGCAGCTCTGAGGTAGGTCCCTGCTGGAGACGAGCTAGTGCATCAGCATAAAGCTGCAGGAAATGCTTCAGCGACACCTGCCCTAGTCATTTTTAACCATTGCTGTTAGCATGCCCCTTGCGCAAGACGCTGGTCCAGCTGGCGTGCCCCTTGCGTTTGGCAGTTCTCCCTAGAAACGCATTCGCGACATGAAAATGGCTTCATAGGCTCGTAGCTCATGAACACTGGTGCTACAGGCTGGTCTGCGAGCGGGGTGGCTTCCAGCTCAGTCGAACGGACTTTAAAAGCAAAAACTGAGGATTGTCTGTGGTAAAAGCGGCTGGCTGTGCCTATTCCGACTACAGATTAGAAATTTAGGGACTCTTCGGAGCAAGGATCTCTGACTAGAGAAAGAGACGTTTGTTGAAGCCGATCAAGCTCTTGGATCTGAAGTCTGGACCCTGCGGCCGGGACGTTTCGTGGCTGTAGTCTCATCTCGTCACGAAACCCAAGCAATTGGTGGCTGGACTGTTAACTACTATTAGGGGGAAACTTTGAGACTGCATTCAGCAGTGGAGGTTTATGACAACGTCCCGGCTCGGAAGCGGAGCTGAGGGAAGATTTGATATGGAGACGTAGCCGAGCGCCCAATTTTTGAGATCCCGTCGGGGAAAAGCAGCGTCCGGAGGGTAATTAAATTGCGTATTGGGTCTTTGACAGAAATGGGTTGCTTCCGAAGCCATGGTAACATCACAGTGGATTTTCTCTGGGTCGAATTGACGTTACCATGTTGGAGACAACAACGACTCGATCCTGGACCTTAATACATCATACTCCGTACAGAAAAGCCCAGAAGTAGGGCATTGAGTGGGCGGTTGCAAAGCTTCGCCTGATCGGCCTGTTTGTGCCGTCTGAGCAGGTGCCCACTGGGTCACCGGCTCGATGTGGCGCTCTGCGGTTACGGTCGCTGCGTTGAACTCTTCGGACACTTATCTCATGCTGATAGGCTTTGTGTGATCGCATTAGCGGCGGCGATCTGTTCGGCGATGTTCTCAGAGGGTTAGAAGTAACAGAAGTAGCGCCGCTGCCAGGTCCGTCTCTATTCCTCAAAATCGTTCGTCGTATTGCTCTGGCCGTGGGATGCGCCAATCATCTGCCATCAATGAATGTGCGCTCTGACGACGAGGCGAGTCGTAAGTGCAAGATCAACAGGCACGAGGTAGTTGAAAAGGTGACAGCCGGCGTTGAAGACGACGCTCGAGCCCGGTTGCATGTAAGCGAGAAAGGTTGCACAGGGTGCTGCTGTCATTATTTGACGGCGTTAAGTCCAAGCTTCCGTGATATGGAGCCGGGGTGAGGAGGCAGATCATCAAGGCATCATGTCGAAGTAGGCCCATTGGCGCAATTTGTGCCTGGGTCAAGCTGCCCGAAGGGTGCCTAAATCCGGGGGTCAACTCTCGTCTTCTTTGAGAGGCACGCCAGATGTCGTGCATGGCGTTGCTTCACGGCGAGTAGAGTGCGTAATTGCTCAAGGAAAGGCCTGTTCAAGGCCTTATGGTTTGTATACCTAGATGGTATGGGGGTGCCATGCTACGACGTAGGTATCCGTATACAGGTTCGTTTTTGAATCGAGTCTGCCGTGTATCATTTGTGTCATGCGTCTCGCATCTCGTCAGAATCGACCTCTGGTGGGTGGCGTTGAAGCTGTTTGCGACGAGAGACAAGACGGACTGGCCGTGATGGGTTTGATAGATGGCAGGAGTGACTGGTGGATGTCGTTCTTCCCCACTGACAGATGACAAGCAAACATGCTCGACATTGACAGGGGCACTGTGTTACACAGAGAGACTCTAGCGGGGGACGGAAGAGGATCCGAATCCAGCCTCGCAGAGGCGGCGTCATTGGCCCTCGGAGACTCTAGCATGGAAGACGGCTCGAGAGCCAAAGGTTGGGGGACCTGCATCGTCGGGATCCTCGGCGTATCTTGTTTGCGTTTGGGTGATGAAGACGGTTGATGAAGATGGGTGATGAAGGATGGTGAGGTAACTGTGAAGGAGTCGATCATATTGGCCGGCAGTGGAAGAAGAAACGAAACGAAACAATGTCATCAAAGAGGCAGCGAAACAGGCATAGAGCGTGCCGCGGCAAGGAGCCAGTAGGTCTGGGCGAAAATGATAGAAATGTCGAGAAAATGACGGGAGCAATCAATAATGATGGCGATTGCCTGAGGTAAGCACGTGGTAAGATACTTACCTCAGCACTCGGGCACCTTGGCGGTAAGTACTGTGGTAAGGTAGAGACGTAGAGGTGCCTCGAGGAAAAAAGGTTCATCACCTGCAGATGCAGGAGGGAAGGAACGAAGGACCCTTGTTCCGTGCACTGTTGCTCTTTCCCTCTTAGTCCTCTTCCAATGTCCTTACTCTGCCTCATTTTTCGCAGGAACCGAGTAAAAGTACATGTACGGATGGATATCTTACTAATAATGCGAGTAGCAGTGGGAGGAGGATCCGCTGGGAAAGATACCTTGTACATTTGACGGGTACGGATAGAGGCCCAGCAGGGGCAGAAACCAGCGAAAGAGGGCCATGCAGAGCTGGATGCTTCTGCCCTTGCATGATTGCATCGGCTCATGCGCTCTTCTTCCCTTTTAACATTGCCCTTTGACTTTCAATTGGTTCTTCGACTTCGAGCATGGGTAAAAGTAAGAATACCTTATCTTGCTCCTGCCTGACATGCTTCTCACGATCGGTCTTGCCTCTCCGTGTCATTAGCGGTGCTGCAGCTTGCTTGCTCTTGCCCTCCGAGCAGCTTTTGCTTCGACCTCGCGTCGTTCTTGCCCTCGAATTGTGTCGGAGCTCAATGCCCCCCTTCAAGAAACATATCCAGTCACAACGTCTGAGAACCCTGCACAATCCCTGCTGGGCCATGAGAGACCACCCCTGTCTCTTTCCTACCGTGTCCACCCACATCCACAGCAGGAGAGAAAGAAGGAAGGAAAAGAAAAGTCGACTCTGAGTGGGCCACTGGGAGCTGCTGCCCTTGCTCCAGCAATCGCGAAAGCGCGCCCCACCCCACCATCCCACTTCCAATTGCCTCTCCCGCCCGGCGGACTCACCCCCGGTCTGCGCCTTTCCAGGGATGGCTAAGCCTGTGGCACGGGCTTGAGCCTTGAGGTGAACTCCTAGGTACGTATCTTTTTAGCTTCATTGAGCGTCTACCTTAGCTTCTTCCCTACCCGTCTCCTCGCTGTCTCCCTCGTTTCTCACACTCGCACTCTTGTCCACGGTTCGCCCACTCACTCGTACTAGTCACTATTTCCACTCCTGCTCCCACGCCCGCTAGAACCTCATTACAGTCTCCAGTCTCTACGGGATACTTCAGATCAGAGACACTCTGACAGAGTCAGAGACTACACAAGACAGCAGCCACATTTTCCTTCCCCGGCGTTACTGCAGCTCGACATGGACATGGACCTGGATCTGGCCATCGACCCAAATCTCTGACCCGACGCTACCTCTGCATCCGAGCGCGCCCTCACTTTCACCCTCTCACACTCGCCTTGAGAGGTGTTCAACCCTCCGAAGTACCTCAGCTTTTGGCCCGTCCTGTCTCCGCGTTTCAACCAGCCTCGACTACCATATCTTAAAGCCTTCACTTTTCCGGACCCTTTCTCCATCCCCGTGTCCCTTGCTCTTAGTACCTCCCTCACCTCTGGTCTTTTGCTGATCTCCAGTCGACTTCTCATCTTTGATCATAAGCATCCTGATAACTCAATCCTCGGCTCGGCACCTTCTCATTCACAACCACACTCAAACTTACATTCGGTATCAGCTCCAGCTTCAACTTTCAAGCTGAGCTACCTTACCCCTTGCCTACAACCTCGTCCGACTGATACCGAAGGCCGCGGTACCTCTTTCCACTTTTTTACTACCTTTCTTATTCCCACATTGTGTCTCGCCCTTTCCTTCTGGCAACACAATTCTACAAAACGCCCCCCATTCCCACCAAACGAACCGGTTCGAGCTCGGTCGATAACGACCCAGAAGCCCAGAAAGAAAAGCTGCCCGCCATTTATATTATACGGCCCATTTCACCTTGACGACCTGTTTCACCGAAGCGTCGTACAATCTTGATCGCACAAGTACCGTCTCCAGCCAATCCCTCCACGTCAATCTTAGTCAGGGTCTCTGTGTGGCCCATTCCTCGGCTTATTGCCCTTGAGTTCGCTCAAACGACGTCGCGCAACGGTGGAACCTGTCCATTCTTGTGTCTTACCCTTCGCCTTATTACCGGTTCAACTCTCGCGTCACCTTTGGGTATTCTGGACTCACTCAGCCGATCCAGTGAGACTCGATCCACTCCAATTGTTGGCTTCTCCCGGGCTTCAACTGATCCTTCCCGGATGTTCCTGCCTCCTTCCGTGGCCCCCGAACTTCCTGTCATACTGTGACCTCACTTTGGCCACTTCCCAACAGTGCGGCCGAGGCCTCTTCTTTCCATTTACTTTCTACCTCGCTCCCTCCCTCGCACCACGTCCCTCTAACAGGATTCACCTCTGAAGTTTCTTCTCTCCTCGTCATAACACCCGCCCCTCGCGGTGCTCCTACTTATAACCACGACTCTTAACTGGTATGTTCATCAACCTTCGTCAACCAAAGTGGCCCTCCTGCCAAAATCGCATCCGAGCGTGAAGGGCTTACCGAACTCTCTTGAGATCAGACAAACACACGCAAGTAGCCGTCACTCGGCCACTTTCATCATGCCCACCAGCTTCGACCGCCTGGAGAAACTTTTCTCCCGGAGGAAGGACTTCTCCATCCAAACAAGTCCATCAACGCCAACCTTGGAGTCATCGGGTCCTAGGACCGCTAGCCTGGATCACAGTTTTCCCCAGCCGTCTTTCATCCGCCCGCGGGTCTCCCGCATGAAGGCCAGAGAGGAGCGCATTGTAGCCTCGCAAAATGAGAGACGTACCCAGAGCCTCCCAGAGAATCAGTCCGAGCGCATCTCAATACACATCTCTCACCTCAACAGCGCAAGCACAACAACTCTCAACCTTCCAACCCGCTCCATGTCGCTTAATCACCGCAGAGAAAGTCAGCCGGTGGCGAGTCTGCGTGGATTCGATTTTCCGTTTCCTCCCACATCCCCTTCCCCGGCTTCGCCTTTTAGTGCTACTTTCTCTTCGAAAACTCTCCCCACAGCGCATAAACTTTCCCTCGAGCACCGCCACAGCTCTGTCATCATCCCTCCCAGAGCAGACACCCCACCCACCTCGGACCACGAGGACGACTCAAGCATAAAGGGATCCCGGCGCCGGCCATCCTCTTCTCTCAGCAGAGATTTGCCGACGCCTGCCGCATCTCCAGAAATGAAGCCCATCCACGATATCCAATCTCGAGACTCTGCAGAGCTGAGCTTGGCCAAAAGGAAAGCCGCCGCTGCAGCCACCAGACGTCGAAGAGAGGAAAAGGCGGCGGCTTTGCGTAGGCCTCAGGGCCAGTCGAGACCTCACAGGTCCATTACTTCATCAAGCCAGATCCTCAAAGGTGGGGATGTCATGGATTTCTTCAACCTCTCGGACGAAGACATTTTGGAGGAACCAGAGTTGGAGGATGATGCAGACACTTCAATCATGCCGGCGCCTTTACGACTGCCACCATCCCCGCCAACTCCAGCCTCTACAGTGTCATCAGTTGGCTCCAAACGACGAACCTCTTCTATTCATGCTGACGATGTCGCCAAAGAAGGAGCGTTGCAGGTCGCTCAGATTGCGGCCAAGCACAAGTTCGACCTCGTTTATATCGTCAATTTGTGGCCCGAAGGAGCGTCAGAGCTATTGTCGCCCACATTTCGCTCTTCTATGGACTTCTCATCTCGACCTTCGAGCATGAGAAATTCGCTTCTTGGACCTATGGATGGACCGATGGTGGACACCACTGCTGGTATGACTGGACGACTGCTCGCCGCCTATGGCTTGTCGAATTTGACCAGTCCCTTCCGTATCTCAGCTACTGTTCAGTCCAGGATTTTGAAGCAGGAGGGCTGGATGGAATACCGCAGCGATGACGCGCAGGCTGGTGAGATTGCACGAGGGTATGGTCACGCTTTCCACACGGCCACTGGCCGAAGAAGCTCTGCGAACTCAAGTCCCCGAAGCCCGGGTGCGCAAGACATGTCACTGAACGATCGCGGCATTGTCTTCGCCGCTTACCGCTATCCGAGCAAGGATCCCGAAACAACCGGGTGCACCAAGGAGGAGCTTGATGCATTGCGCGCTGATGCTGAAGGCCTCGTCGATTACCTCGTCGCCATCCACAAGGCGCGACGCCTTCGAGACCCCATGACGCTACAGACGCTTGTCGACGAGGACGTTGCGCTTTAATAATTGCTGGCACCACACTTCAACCACGCCGCCACTACCGTTTTTGATTTGAACCGAACTCGATCAGTGCAACGGACATTAGATGATTACGACCCATCAATACTCGACACATTCCTGTTTGGCTGGATTTACACATTTTTGCGATTCGTCTTTGATATGATACCACATGGAGAGCGTCGTCCTTTATTTGCGACATGGCTTTCGTCATTTAGCTCGGAAGAAAAGGCATTTTAGTCACATCCAGGCAGTTCAGGTGCTAGACATTTGGCATCGACCTTTGGAGTCGTTGCAGAGGAGGCAAATTCGCCACGTGGAGGCGCTCCTCGGCATGGCATGGTGAAGATCGTTTCTGGACTCTTACGTAGCAAGTGGACTCGATCCATAATGAAAATAAAAAAACTCATGATACCTCAACCCGGATTCCCTCCCCAGCCACACTCGCAGGTTCCTTGCTCTGGCCACGGCCATAATGACCGCATGACGAAGCCAAGCGTACGCAGGCTTCGGCTTTACCGGCGTGACTGGTTCGTTTTCCAACAATCCGATCTTTTCTTAATGAACTCTTTTCATGCCTCAAAGCTACTTTTTTCGGCTGACATGGAAGACCATGAATCGGGTTGATTTGGGGGCTGAGCCCCTCAGCGTGGCGCATAGAGTGATTGCATGTGCTCATGGGAGGCCTGGCGGATGGGCACGTCTGACCGAGTCTGGTAGGGTCACTGACAGGTCCCATCTTCGTTCTCAACTTGGCCTGGCATCATCTATCTGGCAGCGGGCGATTTACTCGCGCCGGGGAATCCCTGGTCTTCAAACTTCCCGCGACGCTGGTTGGGTGGGGGTGGAGAGAGGGGGAGAAGATCCGAGTCCATTGTTTTTTTTTTTTGGACCTGTCTGGTCAGGCTTGCCAATGGTACTGGTAGTAGAGAGGGTGAGAGGGAGGCGAAGGAAAAGCAGGGTCAGGCACCGCCGCACCGAGGAGGACTCCGTTCGCCATGTGGTTAGAGGGGCTTGTACGATGGTACGCTGGTGTGGGTTCGGGGATGGAGATGGTATGGCATTCGCGCCCATGGGATTGTCGTTGCGTGCGTCGGGCAATTCTTTTTCTTCTGCCTCCTCTCATCTCTCTGTCCAACCCCGCTTTCTCTTGGGGTCCACCGTCCTCAGGAATACAGATTGCGAAAGGTGACATTTCCCGGTGGGAGTATCCGCATAGAGAGCAGACGTCGAAGACGTGGCGGCGGCAGTTCTGACGACAGTCTGACAGAGAGAGATGGAGAGAGTTGCGGAGAGCCGCAAACTCTGGCCGGACAATCATGATTTGACGAGCGGTATTGGACGGACCAGTGCGAAGCAAGGTACGACGTACAAGATGCATCCTAGTTCCACCAACATGATGCGTGCTCGACTACCCTGCACCCGCAGAACCCGTTTCGCTATCCGTAGGGTTGCAGTGGATTGGGGAGAGCTTTCGAGCTTTCCGCGTGGTGGGAGGGCACGTTCGTTTGGCCTTTATGCGCGTGCGCCTCCTCATCTATCCTTGGCAACGGGGGCAAAGGCAACTTTCTTGGCTTAGTAATTGGGAGAACTCACCTTGTCCTCTCGCTCTCAATGAGCGGGAGAAAGATGAGGGGTGAGATTGTTGTCGCCGTCGCCTGCCTAGGCTTTGGAGGTCCTTGATAGCTATTGCGCAATCACCATTGGACCATCTAGAGGAGAGAGGGGGAAAAAGGGTTTCTGGGTCTCTTGGGTGGCACTGGTGGATGCGACGGCGGCAGGACGGCACGAGCGGCGGGATGGGATGTTGCCGGTGCAAGCTGTAGCGTAACTACCTTTGCGATGGTGGCTTTCCCCCCCTCCTTGCCTCCCCGCCAGGATAGCATTTCCCTTGGTGAACCAGTGATGAACAGAGCGTAAGAGGATGCTACTCTCACTGAGAATGCGGCGCGCGGCTCGCGGGCGCGCGCATGTGTGTCTTGGTTTAGATGAGGGTGGCATGCTGGCCGGACGCATCTTACAGGGCTCTCTATACTGCCACCGCCGAATGGAGGCCACACCCTTGGCGACGGCGGCGCGACGTGCATGACTTTGCAGGTATTTCGATATTTCGCCGTGCCTTGCATTAAGTGCGTAAGGTTTCTCTGTTTCTCGGGCTTTTGATTAGCGGATGGAAGCCGAAGGAGGGTTGCAATTGTGGTGAATTGTGATGAAAGGCTTCTGCAGGTCTGGACGTCGATGAAGGAGGGATTGTTTGCGCTGCTTCATTCGCCTGTAGGTAGGTAGATTTCTGGCGTGGTTTGATAGACAGTGTCATTGCACCCGACGTAAAGCATCTCTGGTTCCTCAGACATTGATATTTCTTTTCGTTTCTTTTTTCGATGTTTGGGCAGAGCTTGACTCCGCCTTGGACCTTTGCGCTGCGCTCTCAGACGTTGAGAGGTGGCGTCTTCTGACTTTTTTTTTTTTGACACTGCCACGACTGCATCCGCCCCCCAAACGCAAGCCCTCAGATGTCGTGCGATTAGGACCGATCATCTGGCTCTTGGCAGGATGTAGGATGGTTCATTATGGTCGGCGGGGGAAGCTTTCCGAGGTTGCTAGTGTGTTCTGAGATTAGTCGTCGATTGTGTCGTTGCCATGGTGTTGTTAAGAACGGTGATTCGAGATCTGATTGATGGGACTAGACGATCTGGTTCAGACAGCTGGTTTCAGGGAGCATCCTTTCTTTTACCGGAGGCTAACGACGGCGCAGCGGGCTATTGCATCAGCGTCAAACGTCAGATCGAGCCAATTTGATACCATTGGTCCAACTCGACGATGGCCCGAGGTGCCAGAGGCGTCTTTCCGGCTCCGAACTGAGTTTGTGACACTTCAACCGGCACTGGTGTCTTGTCTTTTGGAAGAAGGAGGCGTATGAGAGAGATGGTTGCCCTTAGCGTCCGGGCGCGGGCGCGGGCCCGGCGGCCTCGGAAAGGGTTGAGACCAGACTGGATGGACTGGGGGAAGTGTCACTAGAGCTCCCAGGAACGACGCTAAAATCTAAACCTGTCTTAGATACCAACGTCCAAGTTTCAACTACGAAACGGACCTCACATGTCGATCGAATCTGATGGTGGGGGGGAGGGGAGACATTGATGAAGAGAGGAGGCTTTTGTGAGCTTGGTGCCGGGCTGGCGAGCGGCTGGCTGATTGCAATCGGCGTTGAACCTGGTGGTTTGTTAACGTTTAGTTATCTGAGAAGAACATCCAGTCTGTAAATGCCGTAGCCTCGCATGATTGAAACGATGTGAGCCACTGGCGATATGGTGATGGCAACATGAAGGGAGAGCGAATGATGATAAAAGAGATTTCATCTGCCACAATAATCTTCATTACATTACATGGGTAGGCGGGAGATAAGCGCTGCAGCGTTGTATCCACTCGAAATGAGACCCATCCTTCCGTCTCCGCAGGTTCAATGCCTCAAGAATCCAAAGTTTTCCAAACTTCATAAACCCTGAGCGGCATACAACTCACAATCTCACTGCGCGTCCTTGTAATGCCTTGGGCCAATGATTTCGGCAACAAACGCGCCATGGCACTATGACATGCCGATACAGTGCTGCGCATGGCCTCGTCATTGTCCTCCCCCAATGGGAACCATCCGCCGCTGGCCCCAAGGACTTTAATGATTCCGACTATATCGTTGGACAAAGATCTGTCAGAGCCAGCGAACCAGTGCTCTTTCATACAGGTACTAGACCAAGTCTCCGTGATGGTATCAAAAAAGTAACGAAGCGGACTCCACTTCGGATCCATGCCTGGTATTGCCGTCGGAGAAGCTCCATTCGAAATGAGCCATTTGATATTACGAATCAAGACTTGGTTGCCCTGTCCGGTAGCTCCAGGGATTGAATCGGACTCTAAAACGTTGATAATCGCATGTAGCGCAAGCATGCCAACGGTGCAAGTCGTGATGCCGGAACGAGCCTCCAAGGCGTCCACTTCGTCTGGAGACAAAGACTCATAGTGGGGGTACTGTACCAATGTCGATCTACATCCAGGGAAGGGGCCCAAATCGTCTAGAATCGAAGCCGTATTGCTATAGTACTCTATAAGTGTAGGCCCGACTCGATGCTCGACAACTCTCTTAGGATCAACGCCACAAGGGAAAAAGAATTCCAGGGTTCTGCTCTCCAGCGCTTTGCAATTGCATTGACATGCGATCAAGAGAGAGTCGAGGATCTCTTGGTCAAGAGGCGGGAAGTCCGGTTGATGTTGCTGCTCGGTTAAATATAACAGAGGCGGTATTATAGTGTTTAGACTCGGTGCCAGATGTTGGAAATGCAGGTTGCGCGAATAGGAGACTCTTGACATAGTGAGAAGGTGTTTTAGCTTAGAGACTGCCAGCCTGTCACCGGGAGGATTATGCCAGGCCGCACCCGGTTGCGTGAGAAGTTGTAGTGCTGCATCAGTCTTTTTAGAGACCAAAGCGAACTCGAGAGCGCTGTCGTAAGTCTGATACTTCGTGGAGCCAACAAAGGGCACTTCTGGCCTCGCCCCAAGGCTTAGCAGGAGAACAATCGAGGACAAATCAGACGCAGCGATAGCGTAGTACAGTGGCGTCGCACCAATCATTTCAAAACGCTTGTTGATGTCTGTCTTCAGGTCCCGTACGAGATGTGTTATAATGGGCTTGGTTCCGGAATAGGCAGCGGAATGGAGTGCGGAAACCACCATTGGACCTCTGTACCGCGTTGGATCAAGTCCTATCGACGAATCACCGTAGAAAGACCGGTTGAAGTGAGGAAATTTGGAAGAAGAGTGATTCACCCGCACGCTTTGCGATGCGCCGGAAGAGAGCAGCAGACGGGCAACGGCCACCTGTCGGTTGCAAATTGCAAGATGAAGGGGCGTCCAGCCGGGTACCCCGTCCGATACGTCGTCTGGTTGACCCAACGTCCCCATGATGCCCACAGGGAGGCATTGGCACAGAAAGCGCCCCGGCAATTCGGTGTCGACGTTTTGATCGAGGAGCCACCGGACGGTGTCGTAATGCCCGTGCTTTGCGGCGAGATGCAAGGGTGTCGCAAAGCATGCTTTGGACAGGATGACGTTGGAATCGTGCCTCCCTGCTCTCTCCACCCAGTTCTTCAAACGTGGAGGCGCTTCGGCAGGATAGACCTTGTTCAGGTCCGCGCCGTACGACAACGCATGTTGAAGAGTACGCAGGTTCCCCGTCGAAGCGCTCTTGACGATGATGTCGGCATTGTCCTCTCGTACCGCTGCGAGGTATACCTCACGCTGAAAAATATCGTAGAACTTACGATTGACTTGCGCGAGCGCAGCGAGGTCGGCACTCCAGTTCAAATAGTGATTGACGTGTAACCAGACTTCCGGGGGGATCATCGAGGACGCCATTTCACTGTGGAGAAGCCGACTTTTGCTATGATGAATGGTATGGGAAGGAGAGCAAGCGGGGAATATTTATACGAATGAGTTGCTGGGATTGACCGAGTATCGAAGGAATGCGTTCTGGGGATTTCGTAGGACACGGTATGGCCAGAAAGACAAAGTGGGAGACAAATTTATACATGCCAGCAGGTCATCAGGGTAATCACAAGCAAAACAAGCGAAGACTCGATCACCAAGGACCTGGACGGGGAGAGGAGGCGCTTTAAGGTTTGTGGTTGACTTCAGTGGGAAAGTCGTCGATGGCACCGGAGCCAGCTGAGTCATCAGAACGTGTAATAATCTGTTCAATCAGTAACGCCTTTTCTCCATGCGGCAATCTCAATCACGGTTCAGACTCGGCGCCGGCCTCCGTCCGGAAGAGAACGGCCCCACCGAGCCAGTAGTCGGACCTGGCTTCCGGAGTCTGCTCCTGCGAGCCACCGAGTTTCCGATAACAGTGGCTTACTTGCCTCGGACCGATTTAAGATCGTCTGCACCTAAAATTCGTCCTAATAGACTTTATTGAGGTCATTGAGGCGCATTAATAGGCTCTTCTCGTGCAATAAACTTCCTGGAGCAGTACGAGAGACAAGGCGTGGGTTAGCAGTACCCAGTTCTGATGCCGAAGATAAAGTTCCATTTAGCAAAAAAAAAAAACAAGTTGTAGATTTTGCAACTTATCGATGAGGCCTTGCCGGCTTTTACAGATGACGGCGGGCTCGCATGTTGCCAGCGACCCACCCGGCGACGGGTACCCGCACCGCCGATGCTTCGCGCCGCGTGCCGCTTCCGGTGAACCCCACCCACCAAAAGTTTCGTTTTTAGCCGACTTTTTTTCTTTTCTTTTTTTTGCACCAGTGAAATCAATTGAACCCTGGCAGGGACAGTAACAGATAAGGAGTGCACCCAACTTTCCCTCACCGATGAGTGAGAACCAGTGATTAAACATGCTGGGGCCTGCCCATCAAGTTTAATTATCGCAATCAATGAGATAATTCCTCGCCAGACACCCATCCTTTAGGCGAGCTGGGAAGAAATGACGGCACCGCGCTGCATGGGGCATCCCTTCGGTCAGGCCGCCGGAAACTAGTCACGCACAGCGACCGACTCAAGGGATGCGCGGGCTCGCTAGAGAAAAAGGCCGTGTTTGTCGCGTGAGAACCCAGTCCCGATCACGCAACGTTTACGAAGCGACCTTTTCAAGCTTTCCCGGCGTCGGAGGGGTCCAGCCCTGTATATCGGATCTTCCGGATGTGCTCAGCTCACTAAGTCACTTACCTACAGCAGGTTCTTGAATTGCAACGCTACATACATTCGCGCAATTCAGAGTCTACCTTACCGTCTGCCTCTGGTCTCTACCTTGGTCTCTGGAGAAATTAATAACATGCGGGTATGAATCATGCTGCCCGTCGCCCAGAGTTTCATGATGCACGACGAATCCGCAGGGTCCAACCCGTTTTTCCCGATGTGCATAAGTAGGAGGCGGTAAGAGGTTAACCACGTTATCCCGACGGTTCAAGGGCCCAACCGTCCGACGTCATGACAGGAGATCCCTCCATTCCAAGTTACAGCAATCTATTTCACCACGAGAGACTTTTTTCCAAGCCGAGGGTTACTGGCTAATGGCTGCCAATGTAAGACCACGTTCCCGCCGCTGGGGCCCCGACGCAGGCATTCCCGTTGACGGGTTGACGGAGCGGCGAACATACTTCAGCCGCCCGATGCCTGGAAAGCTGAAAAAGCTGACGACCTGTCACTCTTCCGTCCCAACTCACCTCATCTCATCTCATCTCATCTTACTTCGCGGCTACATACGTCAGATACCCTACTGCTGTCAAGTGGCTGTCATCTTCGAGTCGCAGATTGCCACTTCTCAACAATAGAAATTAACAAGTAATCAAGAGAGCGGAAACTGAAACGGCACTGGTGTTGTGGCATATCAGTTCAAGCTACGCTGTCGCTGCAAATAAAGTCCACCACAAACGCCAGCCTCACATCTTCACAACCAACAATGACATTGCCCCATCCCCCACCCCCGCAAAGCTGTCATCCGTTCTTGGCCCTCCCCCTCGAACTCCGCCTCCTCATCTGGGAAACCTTTGGCTCGCAACCCCGCGTCTTCGAATACCGAGAAGACACCCACCTCATCAAACCGCCCCGCGAGTATCGGCACCCGCGCGCCGCCGGTCTCCTCACAAACGCCGAATCGCGAAAGGCGACCCGCGCCCTCCTCCGTCCCTTCCCGTACCCCTACGACGTCCAAAAGGATTCCCGCCCGTCGCCGCCGCCGCCTCTGGAATTCGTACCATTCTCGGACATTGTCTACCTTCCGCCGCTCGTCTACCGCACGCGTCTCGGAGCGTGGGACTCGCTCTGGACCACCAAGCCGGGCATCGAAAACGTCGGGATCCACTGGTCCGTTCTCCTCGATGAGCGGCGCATCGCCGAAGCGCTACGGGCTTGCTCGCGCTGCTTCACCGATATGAGGAGGCTAGCTGTTTTGATCGAGTTTACGCCGCTCCCGCAGCCCGAGGAGGAGGTCGGTAACGGTGGGATCGTCAGATTGTTGGGCCCTGCGGAGGATGACTTTCGGCTGCCGAGTTTGTTTGCCGGGGCGCATGGGTTGATGGATGAGTTCTGGACTTGGGGGGAGCTGAGAACGGCTCTTGAAAAGGTCAGGAGAGTGATGAAGTGGGAGAAGGAGGTCGAGGGGATGCTGTACACCAGGGAGGTGGAGGAGAAATTGGCTTGCTGAGCCAGACTGGATGGGCATTCGACGGCTTGACTTATCTGAACCTGAGCCAGGACGGACGACTTATATTTACTGAGGTTGTCTCGCTGAGTCGAAAGGCGCGAAGAGGCGCGCTTTTTTTTTTTTTTTTTTTTTTTTTTTTTTGGAAACTTTTGGCGCATCGAGCGGAGGATATGATACCATAATAGGGCGATGGTGTACGGCGTTCAGTGTTTTCGAGCATATTTATAGCAAAGCTGATATTTATCTCTCACTCCCATGTGAGAAGACAAGACATTTGAGTGTGGTTTGGAGCCTAAAAGCGTTGCCCTGACAGGTATTGCGGAGGAGTAGGAGGAAAAGACTGGAATGCTTTCTTCAGCTTATACGTCTGAATGGTCTCAGGAATAATTCGAGGAATCCGATTGCTAGAGCGATGCATATGTCCTTCGAATCCTTCGTCGTCGCGTCCCTCTTCATCGTTCTCTTCGTGGTCGTCGTCCTCCTATTCACGGTTGTCTTACTCATCCCCTCAGTCGGGAAGGACCGGTCCTGACGCGCCCAGTTCACAGGGCCAACAGTGACGCATAATTCTTTCCCGCGACGCCTTTCCGTGGCGTCGATATTACACGCCTGACCCCATATATCCCCGAGCTTGCCATGGCCACGTTCTAGAGAATCGGATCGTAAGTGGTCCTGCTCAAGAGTCACTGCATCCTCGAGCTTCAATCCCGCTTTCCAATCCACATCGTCGCCATCTACCTCGCAGGTGACCTTGCAGACCAGCAGAAATGCTGATTGGGGCTCTCCTTGAAGAGGAGCATATCCCGGCCGGTGAGTCCTTTAAGTCTGCCGGAGGAAGTTTGGGCTGATGTCTGCGAGTGTTGGAAGCATCTGATTTCAATTTTTGTCCATGCCATCGCCTGGATACCTTGGCGTCAGAAACAACGATTTTAGCAAGGATTGCCGAGGAACTTTGTCACGAGAAGGAACCAACCAAAGGGAATATTCAAACATCATAAGCTGCTTGGCGGCCTCGACATCATGCTTCAAGATCGCATAGTGGAGGGCTGTATCGATATCGCACTTTGCTACGTCCCAACGAATCCGATGTGAAGAAGGATCCAGCGTCGAAGGTGATGGAGAGATGCAATGAGAACAATGAGTGCCCGATATTGAGACAACATAGGCATAGAATGATTGTCGAGACTCGACAATGACTGACAGGGCGATTCGCGGGGCTGTGTCGCAACTATGGACTCACATGGAGGAAATTGGGATTGTTGAAGCCCGGCCATTTCAGCAGGTCGTTTCCAGGGGCAGCTAATGGTTGGCACGCGCCAAGGCACTCGGAACCCAGCAGTCAGCCAGAAAGTTTACATGGTATGATTGAGAGCAACAAAGCCAAAAAGAAGAAAAGAAAAAAACCGAACAGCACTTGGCGGATGGCTGCTGGAACTTTTTGGGAATAGTCGCAATGTGTCTGTCACATTGGACGGCTAGAAAGGGATGCTGCGGCGTCGTTGGTTCCTGTCCGTTACCGCCGGTGCCGAGCCGGGCGAGAGTGGGGCCGTACTTCGGGATCAGTGGTGGGGTGCCCGGCATCCTATCTTATGATAGGACCCATCAGTGATCGGTCCGCTTTGAGGCGCCTCAAGTTTTGACTGTGATACCGGAGATGTCTAGGGAAATGAGAAACAAAAGGGTGATTCAATATAAATATAATTATACTCTGCTGCAGACAACGAAATTTCCGTTCGAGTCGAGGTTGAGTCTCATTGGTGCTGGTGAGTGCTTTATCGCGGGGATAGATAATCGCACTCTACCATCAATGAGGAATGTTGAATGGCTGGAGATTAACACCCAGCAGGTTGTTCGCACATGGCTCGTGGGAATTTGTGTGATGTTTCTTGATTTAATCTATGGTGTATGTAGGCTTGGCGAACGAGCAAAGAGCAAAGTCCTCCACGGCACAACCAAGCAGCCTCGAACGCCGACGATGCTCGTTGCTTGGATAGTCGAGGCTATCGGCTTCTCGTAGCTCTATGGGGCGTCTACCAAAGCTCACACGTAGGCTGTCTCTGAGGGCAGTTGAAAACGCTGCGAAAGTCCTTCGAATTATCCAAGGGTCCCTTGATGCGAGCGAATCCTGGGGAGTGCACGTCGGCCCCGAGCAGAAAGACGTCGTATTCCCGCGAGGACGACACCTCACACCAAGTTTGTGCCCATTTCAAGAAGAACAGCTGGTCATGCGAGAAGCCCGGCAGACCAGGCAGATCGAAATCCTGAGCCTTCTGGTCTGCCTGTAGCTTCTTCCACGCCGTATAACTTGTTGCCACACCTCCAGCATCTGCTATATTTTCACCGAGTGTGAAGTTACCTTTGACAGGAACGTCCGTACCGTTTGGCGCAATGACGGTGAACTTCTGGTACTGGTCTGCGAAGCACTTGGTGCGGTTACTGAACGCCTTGAGGCTCTGTTCATCCCACCAATTTGCAAGGGAGCCGTTGGCAGCGTAATTGTGCCCACTATTGTCAAAGCCATGGGTGAGCTCATGGCCGAGAACGGCGCCGAGAGCACCATAGTTGATATAAGAAGGATAAGCAACGTTATACAGGGGTTTTTGTTGGATGCCAGCATTGATGACAATGTCATTGAAGGTCGGAGAGTAGTATGCATTTGTTGTCGATGGGGTTTGCAGCCAGATATTTCTATCTGTGGGCTTGCCGAGTAGAGCCCATGACGACTTGCTGGAGAAAGTCGCAAAAGCGACAGCGTTGTTGAAGTAGGAATTGGTCAGTTTCAGACCGGAGTAATAGTCTGCAAGTTTGCGTGGGTTTTTGGTGTCTGGAGACACGTCCGGATAACCAATCTTCCTAGAAATTGCTTTGACCTTGACCTCGGCCTCTTTCTTGACCTCTGATGTTAACCAATCCTTTTCGCCGAGGCGTGAGATAAAGGCCTGCTGAATCGTGCCCATCATGTTGACAGCCAGATCACGAGCTTCGTTTGAGTATGCCTTGTCAAGGTAGAATCGACTGAGTATCCAGCCAAGGCCGGCAGGTAGACCACTCCATGAGATTCCCTCATCAACATGACCGACGCATCGCTGCCATCTTGGTGGCTTGCCAACCAACTCTGGGTCTGTGGCGCGAAGCTTGTATTTCATGTCATTCAGCCTTTCCGTGACATCTGCCTCGACGAAACCGGAGAAGGTGGATACTGCCTTCCAGATGAAGAAGCCTTGGACCGTTTCAACAGTAGAATTGGAAAGAAGCTGAGATAGATTTCCAAAGTAAGCGGGGGAGAACACAAGTTGATCCGGCGTATAGTCAGCGGGAATCAAGTTGTTGATGACGAAGTCGTGACCGAGTTCTGGGGCTACGCTCGTGACCTCTGCCAACTTGAATTTTCTCGCGGGTGACTGGAGCGTGTCAAATTCTGGAACAACCCTAGGGAGATGGACCTTACTCACACTTGCGTTTGTCTTGCTGTCATCGGTAGCCTGCAAGGCGGTCGCATCCTTTTCAAACTTAGTGACGGCTAAAGCCAGTCTCTGGGCTTTCATAACATCGAGTTTGCCCGGATGTACTGCCTGAAGCACTGCTGTCATAATGCGCTCATACTCCGCAACAGTGTCGTTATTCTTGGCTACGGAGCCGGTGAGCAACGGTGAGCCCCCGGGCACGACGTAAATGAGCGTCTTGTTCTGGTTCATATCAGTAAGAATTCTTAGTGGTGTGGTCAAATTACTGAGCGAATGATTGTGACGACACACAGAACTGAAGTGAACATACCGGATTCTGGTCATCAAAGTCAACGGTGATTGTCTCGAATGTCGAGATGCCGAGCTGACCAAAGAGTAACAGCGTCTTGCCCATGTTTTTGGCATCATTTTTCGAGATCTTGCGTTCCCTGTCCTCTGTGCTATCTGCTACGGGGAAAGCTTCCGTGATGCGATTGACGAGATTGATAAGGGGGCCCAAGCCTGCCGCCTTGACGGCGGTGTCATTGAGGCAAGCATTGTAAGTCTCCACGATGAGCTGGAAATTGTCCCGATCCACGCCCACCTGCTCTTTTGACAGCGATTTCGTGATGAATCCGGCTTCGGGCCCAGTGGGATAAGAACCTTCCAAGATGTTCTTCAACACCACATAGACGTCGCTGCCGACGACACCCAGCGAGGAGGTCTTGCCTTGGCCGGCCTCTGGCGCGTGGCTTGCTTTCCACCCAGAGCACGCATCTGCCAAGAACACATATCAGCCAACCATAGTCATGTAACGTACAGAATCCGCGGCAGTGCCGAGTCGGAAACAACGAAAAGAGATGTGAGACAAGGATCTAACTTGGGCGCCGGGAAGCTTAAGCTGAAGGCAATGCAAGTGGGGGAAACAAAAGCTAATAATGGAAGTCGTGCGACGCACATTTGTCAAAGTCTGTGCACGGGTCGATTTCAGTATAGTTCGGGGCGAGACTGAGGAGGATGTTGGAGGCGATCTCGAGACATATCGGTGTAGTGCAAAGGCTGCTACCGGCGGCCGCCGCACTGAGGGGAGCCATTTGACCAACTGTCGAGCAGTACCTGAGACCGTCTTACGGAGCTGTCATTAAAGGTCAGTGACGGGGTTTTTTGGTAAGTTGAAGTACCGTACAGACCTTGACGATGAAGACGCGACCTGGCGAGCAGGTCAGGAACGCTGAGGCACTTGCGTGAATCAGGAGTGCGTTTCACCGAGAAGCCAATGATCGAACCAACAACGACAATGAAGAGGAAAGCCGGTGAGGATCGGTTGGAGCTGGTTCATCCAGTGTGGATTTGGGGCCGAGCTGGTCCCTATTTATAATGGCTCGGATAGGTAGAAAGACATGCTTTTCTTGCAAACCTTTTTGGTCTGGATGATGTTGGGCATCGAGGACCCTGTTGATGTCGCCAAAAAGACAAAGGCAGCAAGGTGTTGATCCAGTCTTCTAGTCTGGGGGTACACAAACAGGTGCTCGTCCATCTCAACTTCCTCACGATCTTCATTACCTTCTTCATTACCTTCAGCCAAGGCAGAGTCCAATTACTTGCGCCTTCCTAACCCCATCCTGAGACGTGCTGGAACATCGCAGGCGAAGCTGTCTTGTCTCCTTTCCTGCCAACATTGCCATTCGCCAAAACTACGCCAACCCAAGACCGTCGAAATATCGGAACTCTGTGTGGTGACGAAGTCGACTCGGCAGTTTTCAGATGTACATGCGGCAAAGACAAGCATAGCGGAGAAAAGAACTTCGAAAGAGCCGCGCGCCAAGGATTGGAGCTCTGGCACGGTAATCTCCGACCTTACACTTCAGCCGCGGAAAGCTGATCCCGTCTCCCCATCCCGGATCCCCCGCGTAACCTAGCTTATTCTCTCAAGTTGAGTAATCCGACGTCGCTAGATTATCTTCTTACGTTTCCACAAAAACATCGCTCGTGGAGGACTTGGGCCGGCCATCAGATGCTGACGGACAAAGTGGTATCAGCCTTGGCCTGCACAGGACGAACAGGTGGAATATGGGGCTGATGTATGGCTGCGATTGAGCTTGTCGGTGTCCTGTTAACGGCAGTGAAGGATAGGGCATCCATTTCTCACTCCTTACACCAGCATTCAGAAGCTGAAAGTTGGTTGACCAAATGAATGCCTCATATGGCGAACCGTAAGAAGACAACCATTTACCCACCAGTTAAGCAGTGCCGAGAGTGCATGCACGCCGATTAAGCAACGGCCGACTCTGAGCAGGCTTATATTTAGACTTCTTGGGGTCGCTGGTTCAGTAGTGACCTCTGCAGAATAGACTTTAGTATGAACCTAGCTGCGGAGGCTAGAATACGCAGGCAATGCGCCTCGCAGAGTCCTTGAACCTTGGAATGAATCGCTGGGGATTTTCATCCAGGATCCAATGGGATGAACAGAAACCTTCCGCGGTGGCCGCTTTCGGAAACGAATGCGACATGATCATTTCACTACACCACGTAAGTAAAGCATGCAAAAACTGAGGAAGTCATTCTTCGGACGCAGAGCCGCAGATGACACTGAGGTTACCATTCCTGGCGCTCAAGCCCAGCAACGGATCTCTGAACAATATCAAGGGTTCGAGACTAGAAAAGGAGGTATGCTGCATTGGATGAGGCTGACAGCAACCGGCCGTCCAGACGACTCGAAGACTTTGGCGCAGCTGATGGTCCGATGTTGGTGCTTGCCATCTCACGGTCTAGGTCTGTACCTCGTGTGACAACATGACAAACGCAATGTAATGGCACCTGAAGAACCAAAATGATTGGAGGCTTCTCGCTGACGGGCTGTTGCGAACCTCTGAGAACATAGGAGGAGGACTGGAAAGGTGCTGTCACGAAAGACACTTGGCTGAAGGAAGTGGGCACGTGGTGAACAGCTGAGAAAGGTCTGTGCACCGCAGCTGAGGTAAAGAAAGCACAGACCATGAGGAAAGGCAAGTGGGGGATACCCCGGAGCCAATGCCCCGCAAGTTGATCAAGCCACGTTTACCTTCTGGTTTCATGCGCCACAATGACGTTGATGTCAGTCACGCCTGGTTCCTCGAGGAGTATCGGCACCCTTAAGCGCCATCTCATATCTATCTGATCACCTGAAGCTTGTGGCCTCTTCTCCTCCCTTGCCCTACGGTTGATATCGCTATTTTGCCATCTAGAACAAGCCTACTGTACCTTTAGTCCTACCGATTATCAAGATGGCGAACACTGGCGCCCCTCCAAACTACTGTAAGCCCTCCTCCGATACCCCACCATAGATTCTGAGCCGCGACTAACACTGCGCTTGAAGACAAGATCCTCGAGATCTCGGAGGCGGCAACGACCCAGCAAGTTCGTGATGCTTACAAGAAGTATGTATCCTACGATATTGAAGTCCTCAACAAAAATCCCTAGGTACTGACTTTTCCTTACAGAGCCGCCTTGAAAACGCACCCAGACAGGGTCCCCGCCGATTCGCCCGAGCGAGCAACGCGCACCCGCAAGTTCCAGCTTGTAAACGACGCATACTACACCCTTTCCGACACTCAAAGGCGCCGCGAATACGACGCCCAGCGAAACATCTTTGGCGCATCCGCCGGCACAACATACGGCGATTTCTCCGACGACGATGACGACCCAGCGGAGGAAGTTCCCCCACAAGCCGGCCCCAATCCACAAAATGCCTACTCGTGGGCATGGAACTTCTTCACCGGCGGGAAGCAAGGCCAGAACGAGGGCCAGCGCGCGCAGGCAGACAACGCACAGTTCGGCGATGTGTTTGAGGAGATGCTGCGCGAAGAGGGCATGGCTGAGGAGGGTACAAACCGTCCGACAAGCTCGTTCTGGAGCATGGTTGGCGGGCTTAGTGGAGGCGCGCTGGGCTTCATCGTCGGGAACATGCCTGGCGCGCTGGCGGGTGCTGTCGCTGGAAACAGGCTTGGGTCCGTTCGAGACGCGAAGGGCAAGAGTGTCTACGCTGTTTTCCAGGTCAGTGCGAATCTGGAGATATCTACCGGGTAGATCCAGTCAGCCTCTCGCTCCAGCTGGTGGTACCGCTAGGTGGATAGTTGCTAACGCGTCGCAGGACCTCCCTCAGGCAGATCGTGCGAGGTTGCTTACCCAGTTGGCTGCCAAGGTGTTCAGCCACACTGTAGGAGCTTAGGAAAATTTGAGATTTCAGACGGGTTCAGGATTATATCACATGGGCAGCTCGGAGTTTGGGTCGGATCAAGATCGGTAAGAATAAGCAGCTTTAACGTAGGCCACCTTGGCACTTTGGCATCAATATACTAGATAGCGTTTATCCCATCAAATGTTTTGGTAAAGCGCAGCCAGCCTATTCCCTACAACTTCGACATGTTCATGGATTCTGACTCTGCAGAAACTTTGGTCATTACTGGTCGCCGACTGGCTACCTATCTGTCAGAACCCCACCATTTCCCACGGGGCACTGCACAACCGGAATTTGAGCCTCCGCAATCGTGACGGTGAGGCGGGGTGCAGCGGGGCCAGAACTCACGAATCATGGGCAGCTTCCCCTCCCCGATTTCCATCAACAGTCGCTAGTCAAGGTGCCAGAGTGGTTAATGGGCTGCCCTGCTATCAAACCTTGATTCCAGATTAGGCAGTGGCTTCGGTCGCGCAGGTTCGAATCCTGTCCTTGACGCGTAAATCTTTTGATATTTTTATATCTATCACCTCGACACCCGCAATGTTGTTACAATGGCCTCTCACACGTCTGAACGGGCGGCAGTGTTTCGGAGCGGGCCGCCTTCCGCCCCATATTTCCCGAATACCGAATACAGAAGACCGAGAGACACTCGAACGCTCCGAAAGTTACCTCAATTAAATCCCGTCCAATGGCATGTGTATGTGTGTATATGCATGTACTCATTGCTCAGGTCGAAAATTTAGATACTCCCCCTACGCCGCACTTGAATGCGCTCTGACATCCTCTCATTCTGAAGGGAAGCCATTACTTGCGGGAGCCCATCGGTGATGGACGCCGTGAGCTTTGGGCTTAAGAGACGCTTAGGGGGCTTTGTGAACTGCTCTTCGATCTCAACATCCCAATCAGTCTGACTCGGCGGACTATCCTTATGGTATTCTGATGACCCGACTTTCTTCATGGAAGCTGGCGTGGCTGTCAGCTGCAATTGTTGACCCGAACCCACGAGCTTCATCACCATCAAGACCCAATTGAAAAGGGCCAGTGCCACAACCTCAGAAACTTTCAAAACGTGCTGAGCAGTGACTAAGCCAACAGATCGAATAGGCTTGTCTGGAACGCTCTGGTCGCTGCTATCATTGACGAGTGTCTCGTCACCCGCAGAGAATTCGCTTCCGTTCTCTACCGGCGACGATTGACGGACGATCTCGACCGTGGCAGGCTGGTGGAGATACTGCATCAAAACATCCACTCCCGAATCTCCCACCTCATCAACTTCTTTGGAAGGGATTTCTGTCGAAGGGGATATCTCTGCAAATGTCGCTGGCATTGGCGGTGGCATCTCTACAGGGGTGGCATCGTGGTTCTCCTTCTGCATGGCCAAGTTTAGACCATGTGCGATGACATCGAGCTGTTTCTTGAAGACGGATGTCACTGAAGATAGGTCGATCTCGGTGATCATCGAGTTATCGGTGTCGCCCGACTTTGAGCAGAATCGCAGAAGCTTGTGTCTGCTTTGCCGCATCTTGCTCTTGAGTCGACCCTCGACTTCGACGCACATAGTCACCGGTCGACCACTGTGCTCGAAAGCGAAGCCGGTATGGAAAACGTGCTTGCGAAACGGGTTGCTGGCCGTCTCGCTTTCGTTGAGCTCCCACTCCAGGGACCTAAACCCCTCTCCGTCTTTTGCCCGCTTTACCGTTCCCTTGAAGGTCCAGCTGTCGACAAGCTCTCTCGTCACGCTATGACGAGTTCCCATTCCTCCCAGTTCGAAGAATCCTCCAGCTCCTATAGTAGGCTCGAAAACTTTGTGTTTGATCTCGGAAGTGACAATCTTTGGACCTGTGATAGACTTAGGTCCAAAGAAGTCAGTCACTTGAACCGCGTAGTCCGACTCCAGCGACGTCCGAACGTGTCTTTGTCTCCATTGGCCTCCATCATCGACTTTACATGTATCTTGCTCGGTCAAAGTGATGAGGACAGTGGCGTTGCTGAGGTCGTGCCCCGGGGGCTGATGAATCGTCATGTCGATGTAGACAATGCCGGCCGGATGTCTGCTAAGGCCAAGGACACCCCATTGTGCCTTCTTCCAGTGATATTTGCACTCGACTTGGACTTTCCCGATAGCACCTGATCCCACACAGAGGTGAGACCCACGGGCTGCCTCCTGATTGAAGCGTTCGAAATCTTGTCGACCAAATCGGCGAACTCGGAGCTCGGGACGAAATGAGTGCTGTTCCCCGATTGCTTGATGTTGAACAACAACATTGGACATGTTGAGAGTTTTCTTTGTTTTCGACGCAACACAGGCAATTGAAACATCATGATGGTGTTTCTGGAAAGTCGGGTAAGGCTCTGACGGCACAATGGGAGCAGGCTGGGGGAACCTGCGACACACCACCCCATCAGGACGGCCAACTGAGGGGTTTCTCACCGTCGTTTATGCACGAAAGCCAGCCACGACTGTAATTGACGCGCATATCCACGGCGCTTCTCATGGGTCAGAGATAGTCTCGTCCAGTTGATTGTCAGACAGAGGGGTAGCGGGCTTCGGCACGGAAAATATTTTCATTGGTTTCCTCGGTTACACGGGGTGGCAGGGGCAATGGCAGCAGCATGCGTGGCCATGCAAAGTTATGGCGTGGTAGACGCACTCGCCGACCTCCATTTATTTCTCCTTTCTTTGTGAGTCGTGTTCATTTTGGATCCCAGTCATCATATACCCTTCACAACATTCGAGATGCTTATAGCTATTGGAACAGAAGGACATTCAACTCTTCTCACATCATGTATCCCCCTCGCCCGCAGACGGTTATGAGCGGAACGACGCTCAACGATCACGGGGATGAGGAGGAGGAGGAGGGATATCAACTACGAAGAGCACAATCGTTCCAACAAAAGCAAAGGGAACGTCCTGCACGCAATGAAAGAGACACTTTCTACAGCATTTGGCCGCCACCATTACCACCACAGCGGTCTACAATACCCGACAGTCTTAGATACTTCCAGCAACCTTTTCTCTCCAAAAGACTCATGGAAATCACTGATAGTTCCATCTACGGCTACAATCAGATGAAATATGGTACTCCAGTACAGCGGGAGCCGGTGAAGCAGACTGGAAGTGGTGTACGGGGACCCCAAAGATCAAAAAGTACTTTGTCCTACGTTGAAGACTACGATTCTGAACAGCTCTTATCGCCAATCGATGAGACACGATCAGAACCGCCTCTTGAAAGTCTACATCGAGGTGATACCCCTCCTGGAGCCAAGTCCAGCCGCAGCATTCATGTTCAGATCGACCCTCAACGCCCCCAAGATATTACAGTCCACTCAGAACTCGATGCGACCGATGATCTGGAGGAAGACTTGGAAATATATTCAAGGCTTGTGAGATTGGGGCGATTCAAAGCTGCTCGGAGGCACTTCGACAATTGCCTAGTGCATTTCATCGATAACTCATACGTCTTGGATCACTATTGCTCAGCTCTTTTGGCAATGTCGGATTTTCACGCACTCTCTCAAATTTCGGAAACTTTTGACTTGAATCTTCGTCCAGGAACCGTCCGCGCCAGTATTTTCAAACGTTTGTGTCGAGCTGAAACCTTCTGTGGGATCAATGCTCGATCTGAGGGGCCAAATCAAGTGGTGCCGAAGTGGACGGATTGCGTGAAGACTATGGGAGAACGCTGGCCTAAGCTGGACTCAACGGAAGTAAGTGAAGGAAATGGACATGGCCAAAAGCTTAGACGACCGAGGCTAATCCTTACCAGCTCTCAGTATTATTGACTGGATTTTCGACCGAATTTGGCACCAACAACTTTTACTTTGGGTCCCTGAAACTCGCCGAGGTTTACCTACACCTAAGAGCAGAAGGTAGAATTTGGGACTTCAAAGATCTGCTACACGAGCTCTTGTTTGTGCAGCGAACTTCCGTTTGCAAAACACTGCAAGAGCTGCTTCAGTACCACGGCGCCGAGACCGATGAAAACCTGATCAGGCTGGTCAAGAATATCGAAGAAGACTGGGGCATAACCAGGGCAGATGAGGACTCGTCATTTGCTCTGCTAGATATCTTCACAACACTAGCTCTCGCCTCTATGAGCCGGGATACGACTATCACCATGGTCAAAGAAATCTTTCAAATTGCCCAAACGCATGCCCAGGAGATAATTGGAATGAAACCCACCAACTCAAAGTCTCGCCCATATCTTCGCTGGATCATAACGAAAGTCTTGCTCGAGCAGTACGCCGATCCGAAAATTACCGGATTCTTTGCCCTATCGGTTCACCTCGATAAACTATCAGGAACGCGTTGGCGGCCTGAGTTGGCCGTACCCATGGATTTGATGATTCTGTACGCACCAGATGAAGACGAAGCCCCCGAGTGGCATCCTGACCCATCCACTACCCGAGGGCACGACGGAGCTCTTCGAACGGTTCTTGGGGTGGCAGAAGAGCTAGGGGATGTTCCGATGCAAGCAACTTGTCTCCAACTACTTATCTACCAAAGTTCGCAACCACAGGCCTTACTGAATAAGCTAGGTGACTTGTGGCGCTCAGTGGGAGCACGAAAGGGCTATCTTCAAACTCGCCTTTACAGTTATATCCCGGAAGCTTCTGCACTATCCGGGAATCGCGAGAGTATTCGTCGGGATATTCTCCTCGCTGACGAAGTCTGCTCTGAAGGACCAGTACCGAATGCACAGTACATGATCTTGAGAGCTTTGTCACAGACCCAACAAGAAAAGAACATATTCATGAACAGAGCGGGGGAAGCTCTCTACTTATCAAACTCTAATTCCATGTTACAGCAAGACTCCGATAGGCTCGAGGGGACACCAAATGATCCAAGCCCCGCCATACTGATTCGCGATGTACCAATACCTCCGCCGTATGCACCATCATCACGAGTTAGGGATCATACCGAAGCTGGGTCATCTCAAGTCAAGTCGCGTAGCTTGGCGAATTATGTTCCCGCCAGACGAATCACTTCACACATGCTGCCCAAATATCATCCAAGCCACGCTACAGTAGAGCAGACTTCGTCGAGAGATGGCAACATCAATAGCAGAAGGCTGCACGTAGACGAACCATTTCTGCCGTCAAAAGAGATGAACACATCAATGAACCCGCTAAGACCATGGTATGAAGACACAGGTCATTCGATTTCGTCTGCAGCATCCAGCACGCAACTCCCCCTTACATCTTCTCCGGCATATACACGGCCCACCATTCCTTTTGGGGAAAGAAGAAAAACCTCTTCTGAAGGGAATACGAGTTTGAACAATAGTAGTGTTACGTCATCGCAAGACGCAAGTAAAAAAGCAGCTAGAACCGAGGAGAAGCAAACAAGGCCTACCAAGTCAGAAACGACATATGCGACATTTGGAAGTGAGCCAGCTCGGGAGGAAATAGGAAGATTAAATGATCGCTTCAGCTCTTTGGGCATCGGAGATGGAGGTAGAGCGTCACGGGGAAAGCAGGCAGGCGCAAATACTACTATCAAGCGATTCGATGATCGGACGTCAAGGGAAGGACAAGGGCGACCAGATTAAGACCATAGGCTGATTTGCGAAGGTTGACGCGACTTTTCACGTTATCATACTCATGGGATCGCATTGGCTGGCGACAGACATGACTATGTAGCAAATTTCTGTTTCTGTACCACATAAGACTTCCCTCGCTGGTTCAGCCAACAGAACAAATTTTCCATGAGGTGCCACTGATCACAGGTGATGCAGAAGTTGAATCCATGAGTGTCAGGTTCATCACTAACAACCCCTTCTTTGGGTCGGTGACAGACCACGATATACGGCAATGGCACTTTAGAATGACCAAGTACAGCCAGGCATAAATGGACTGACCCAATAACTCTCAAAATTCACTCAGTGAGCCGTGATTCTGTGGTGTCCCTTACCACCTCGTCTTACAACCTCAGTTGATTTGGTCAGCTCAATTGATTCAGTTGTCAGATATAGCTCTTTTCTGTCACTGAGGATGTCTCGTAGCCAGAAAATATTTGGCTCATATATAACGATGAACCTGCTAACCATCACCGTTGCCCTGTAGCGAGCCAACACCTTCAGGTCAGCCATTGAAAAAGTAGAGACAAGACTGGAGAATATTATAATTCCGTCGATGACGTGACATGGATCAAGAAGAGACGTGAAAGACGACAGTACCATTCAATGTAAGTTTCATGCTCTTCAATTACCGGTCTAGTCCAAGTGTCATCACCAAGAGGTTTAAATTGTCGCAAAACTACTTCCTCAATATATCCATGTCGTGAGCCAGAGGTGATTCGTGTTTGGACCCAAAAGCCTGCAGCCGCGGAGACGTAGGAGCTGACACCAATGATACTCCAAAGAAACTCCAGATAGGTCAGATGGGGTGGTGGGAGGCATTTATACTAACAACCATCTCCCCCAACTGATACAAAGTGTATACATGTTGATAATGACCGTGGTCGCAGCAAGATAGTCGTGTGACCAACACAGCCACCTTTCTAAGCGGCCTGGACGACCGTTCGGTCTACAACCAGAAGTGTCGGGGCTAGGCCAGCTCCATGAGGTTGAGGTACTCGAATGATCGGGTTGGATAGATCAGGCGATCCGGCCTCTAGCTAGCAGCAGGAGATGTATAGTGGTCTTTGACCAATGACGCAGAGCGTCAAGGTTTCTTCTACGCTGTTGCAAAAGTGGCGAGGATTGTTGGCATGAGAACGATGACGACTGCGGCGGCTGCCATGTTGCTCGTAATACAGTCGGACAAGTTGCCCAGGATGCAGTTTGCTACGGATTGAGCGACCCTGTTGGTGTTGCCTCCTCCGGTGAACCAGTCGATGGTGCCACCCCCCTTGGAATTGTCAAGTTTATCTCGTACTCAACAGGGCGATGCCCTTCATGATAGCTTCGAAAATATGTCCGAACTCAGGACACTGGCTTTTGAACTGGTCTTTAGCAACGTATACTATGGGGTATGGCCAGCAGGTCGAGGTAACGAATATAGAGGGGAAATGTTTTAGGCACCTTCAACACTAAGGAAAATCGTTGTAGCAGTTGCGTTGGATACACAAACCCGAAATCGCCGAGCAACTGAGAGACTACAAGTTGGGCACAAAATTGGTAATGAGAGAAGAAACAAGGCAGAAACTTGATGTAAGCTAGGACCTACAGGGGCTTTTACTCTTAACAAATAATAGCCTCAACCGTAGCCTTGGGAAAAGTATTCAACAACGCCTATGGTGGACAGCCGGGTTGCCGATCCTGAATGTAATGATATTTTAGTAGCCGATAGGTAAACCCCACTGCATGAAGCTGAACGAGAATAGCATCCGTCGAGCAGCCTTTTTTCGAAGGAAACATCCATGAAGAATATCAGGGGGCGTTGGTGTTCCAATAGATGAGCAGTATCTGAAGGCAAGAGGCTTCGCAGACAATGATCAAATGGTGTTCTCGTATGCGTTTCTCCCATCTGGCGAGCTTACCCTCCCCCAATGGTATCAAGACATGTATTCGGAGCTGCGGAGTCTACACAACTGGAATCACCCTCAGCATGACTAATTACTGGAGCGATTTAAACGCAAGAAACTTGTCGAGGCGGCATGAGGTTAGACGGGGGCGGAAATCAGGAACTTCGGGCTATGCATGTGTAGTGTATAGCAAGCTCAAGCGTTCAGTTGTCCAGAATGTTGTCTATTAACCGACCAAATCGAAACTGACTCGTCCTGCCAATTGATACAACAGAAGCTCATTCTGGTTGCATTGAAGATAATTGGTCAGTATTTTGAGGTAGTTTTAGAATTATGAGTGATAGGACCTTGCTGGCTGGCTCTCGGCTAGATTGAGTTGTGCTGGTCGAAGGTATGGCGTCTTGGACCCTCTAGGCAGACCACCCGTATAAATCTTTTTTAATTCGGCCGGGGCAAATACCCACTCCACATGCTTACACTCTGACGGATTAATATAAAGTGGATCACTCAGCTCGGTCTCGGTACGAACGGATCCCTTGGGCTTGCGAATTGCCGGATAGCCATACTGTGGCATCAGGCTGGCGTCGTTTAAGAAGCAGACACACTTAGACTTTTCAACTATTCATAACTTTCCGACATCCTCCGCGGTCCACACTTCGCCTTTTGCACCACCCAAGGCAAATCACCGGGATTTTCGGGATTCCGAGCAACCTAAGTGTGCAACATTTCAAGTGGGAAAATTCTACCACGACTGCTCTGGACGGAGAGTGTGATCCAAAGGGCAAATTTGGACTGGTGTGCCAGTGCAGCATCCACACTTGGTTCTCGAAAACGCGATATCAGTCTCTCAGAAATCTCTACCGCGTCCGACTCATTGATACCACCGTCTCCCCTTCGTTTTCTACAATCTCTTACCAAGCCGGAATGCCCTTGTCGTTGCCATCCCTACCCTACCCACCCTCTGGGGACGGTTTCTGGAATCCAGTGACAGCAACCATCAACTGGTGCGAAGAGGTGGGCTTCTTGCACGGTTTTCTTAGCAGAATATCGATGAAGATTTCAAACAATAGATTGAGGTAAATTGAGACTAACTGACGTCTGCAGGACTACTATGTCACACCATACGTGGCCGAGTTTATAAACACTTTGACAAATGCGATATTCGTCTATCTTGCATTGGTTGGAATTTCCAGCTGCACTAGAAACAATCATCCACGTGTATTTTTGGTAGCATATGTCGGGTATATGACCATTGGTATCGCAAGCCTCGTCTATCATACTTCCTTGAAATGTTTGTTGCTCCGGGAGTTCTTGACACTGCCTTGCTGCTTTACTGACATTCGGCAGACTGGATGCAGCTGTTCGATGAGCTGTCAATGATATACACCACATGCATTCTCTTCTTTGCGGTATTCTCTCATGGTAAATCTGCACTGGGCCAGGCTCTTCTGGGCCTTTTCGTTACCGGCCTAGCCATTTTCATCACCGTTTATTATCACTATCTCGGAGACCCCGTCTTCCATCAAGTCATGTTCGCAATACTCACTGCCACCGTTGTCTTCCGAAGCATGTATATCATGGAGAAGATACTCCGGCCCAAGTCTACCCCTCAGAGCAGGGCTGAGATTCTCGACACGCAACTCCTCAAGAAAATGTGGACATTGATCGCTTGCGGCCTCATCTCCATAGCCATTGGATTCCTGACTTGGAATCTTGACAACATTTTCTGTTCACAACTCCGACGATGGCGAAGAGAGCTTGGGCTGCCTTGGGGCGTTCTTCTTGAGGGCCATGGATGGTGGTGAGTGTGATACTTGATCGGATGCATGGGATACACTGACAAAGGAGCCAGGCATCTATTCACTGGTATCGCATGCTACATCAACGTAACCTATGGCCTCTGGCTACGGTATTGCAGAGATGGCAAGAAGGAAGAGGTTGTCTTGGCATGGCCCTCGATATTTGGCTCCGTTCCCACCGTAGAACGAGCTCAAGGTAGAGAAGTGGACCCTTCGAAGTCAATTTCTAAATCGGAGTGATCTGCAATGAATCACTTGCTGGGATTGCGCTGTCGATTGCGGATTATGCTCCCGATCAAAGCGGTGCTGTGATGTTGGCGAGGGTGCTGCCCGTGTGTCTGAGCTTCTCCTGAGTTCTCGTTTCTAATGAATGGGGGTTGAGGGGTAGTGAAGGTATTGATGCAAAGTATGCATGACAGCAAAGCGGCTGAGAAACATTGCCTGTTGTGGCATCGCTAAGCGATCGAATCGCAGACGCACAGGATGGAACTGTGCTGTAGTCATAATCCCGCCAAGTAAGTAGACGATGAGGGACGGAAGAGGCAGCCACTTAGAACATAGCGAGGCTAGGTCAGTGCGTGGCCGATGGGGTGGGTGTGAGCTACACGCTACCAGTCGCGTCCTGAACAAGGAAACCGGTGTGAGGTCTCAGGATAGACGTGACTGTATCCAATACACAACTCGAGATAGTAATCCACTTAGCTTGAAATTGTGACGCCATGGTGACCCTACGTGCAAATACTGACGCGATCTCTCGTCCTTTCATTCCTTTCAAAATATGCTAGTCAATGGCCTCCTCGGGCCGAAGAGCCCTTCATGAACTTGATCAGTTAGGTATTGTTTTCTGTAGGGCGGAAAGAATTGTCTCCCGACATCTTTCCTTGAAAAAGTCCTTCTGCAGTCCCTCATAATACACTTGTGGATGGTCTTAAGCCTCGAAAGTCAGATGAGCGTTCTACACCGTCACTTTTCATCTGAAACACCCTTTTCTGATAGCGAAGTCCAGTCCAGGAATTCTTTCTGGCAGGTTTGCTAGGGAACATGATACCTGCCGTAGGCATGGCCCGTCTATGAGCTCTCACAAATGGCCGGCAACATGTCTTGGCTCTACTGTCGGGCTTGCTCCTTTCAACCACACTGTCTATCCGAGATGGGAGCAGCGAGCACAACTACTCATTCACGTCTCGTGAGATTTGATCGGAAGAACAGTACCAGATTATGTGACTCACCATGGGAGGAAATAATCTCAATCATCCTTGCCATTCTCAATATTCTTCTGGCAATGGGTTCTGGCTGGGGTACATACCGAGACTAATCTACCTTTACAACAGCACCATTGGTGTGGCTACACTCTGACGACACATGCCGACCGGCAGATATACTAGAGCATGTCCGCCATACCACATTGACGGTGCATATGGAGCCCATCAGGGGGCTTCCAAAGCCTTTTCTCGACAACCTGGCGATGCCGAACGAATATTGGAACAATGGCTTCGTTGCGCTGATTTGCGAGCGGCGACATCACCACAGTCTTCCTACCTGGCTCTTTGGAGAGTCACCAGAAGATTGGGATAAGCTCCACAATGCCACTCAGCCACTTCTTGTGTTGTTGTCATCGTCGGTAGGGGTTTAGAGGACCTAAATGCCTTCTATTTCTACTTCTACTTGTATGAACAAGGGGCAAATATCACGCAGGTTCTCTCACCTATGAGTGAGTTAATATAAGACACTGAGAACGAAATGCACTTTGGCGATCATGTTGTGACTGGTCAGCTTTATGTTTCGGTCTGTATCTACGCGATTGTATTCACTAACCTCCTATTGCCCAGTTTGCACATGATACAATTTCACGATAAGAAACCTACCGGCATTTATTAAAGCTAGCCCTCCTAAGGCTCCGCCTACAAGTAGGATGATGAGGCTCTATTAGTAGACAACGGAAATGCGGGTACTTCCTCTCCCGACTGGAACGACCTCCATCAACCAGACGTCTGCCACGAGTCTAACTTTGTAGTACCCTGTAGTTTACAGCGGATAAATGACTTTTGAGCAGAAATAGATTTAGTCTTTGGTCTAGATAAAAAGACATCAAGACTACGGCCTTCCTCTCAACTACATTTGTACCATGATCACTTATAGTATTCAGTTCAAACCTGTTTAGACAAAAAATACGGAGCAGTCTTGGAACTTGGCAATTTGGAAGCCCCCATCTGAAGGCCGAGAAACACAATACTTGGCGCTTGGCATGATGTCACAATGGTGTATATGGCGTTAGTTACTGCCCGCAGTTAACGACGTCGTTTTGCGACACATGAACATTCAGCTGGTTACTGGGAATGGTGTAGAACTGTCTAAGAGTACTTGAAAATGCGAATAGAGTACACCGGCAGATAGGTAGTAGATTCGATGAAGGTCGAGCTCAAGAGACCGTGATAACGTCGCCTCGTCAACTGGTATTGAAGCCTAATGAAGCCAAGTATGCGCCCTTGAAGTTCAAGACCTTGGCACTCAAATTAAAGTCATGGCTCACGCCTTTGAATGCAGATCCGTTGGATCTGAAACGTTGGACTACGGACATTTTGGACAACCTTCCTCCCAACGATCATGGTCCAAGCTGACAGACTAGGAGTATGTGGCGCGCGACTTAGGCCGTACTGAGTTAGTGAAAGGTGCAGCTTATCCAGGCGGTGCAACTAAATTTGTGTTGAGGCTGCGAGACATTGTAAGCATCTAACCCGCGTCGGGGTAAGCGCCGTTCCCGTCCGTCCCCAAGGCATCGACCTACCGGCTCCAAGGGGGAGGGGGAAGGAGAGCCAGAGACATTTGAAGATCGCAGAGCCTCCCTTTCATATCATCACCACATGATCTCATAGTCTGTGCACACCAAAACAACAAAACATCATCCAACGGCGACAAACACGACTCAAGCAGTGATTCCCCAGGATAGTGGACTCGAGGAAAGCAACGTCATTGAACACCGAAGTCCATACGGAGGCAAGATGTCGGTATCAGCTTACCTCGCCGCATTCGGCAAGGCATCGCCAGCCACGTATGCCCTCGGCACCGGGCTCCTCGTTACATCGTCACTGTTCTTTGGAAACATCGGGCTGTCCCTCACCGGGCCCCTCCCAATCATCAGGGACCAGCTTGGCGCGTGCACCCTGAGCTCCAAGCAAAAGATTAAAGTATGGAGGCTCTTCTTCGACGAAGCCGCTGTGAGTACCGTTCCCAGGATCTCTCAGGATCTCTCCAACCCCTCTCTCTCATCGCCAGCAGTAATCTCACACGCTGAAGTCGTCATCTTGATTGTGTGAGATGACAGTCTTGTGTCTCGTCCCGCTCCCGTGAGCAGAGAGCTGACCAGCCTCATTCAGAAACACATCATCGGCGGCACCTGCGTGACGGCGGCGCTCCACCTGGCAGCGTTCGCCTTGAGCGATTCTCCCATCCCCTGCAGGCTCTCCATCATGTCCGCGCTCTGCAGCATCACCGTATTGCCGTACACGCTGATGGTTATCATGCCCACCAACGACCGCCTCATCGCCCTGGACGACAAGGTGGCCCTGTCCGAGCTCGATAGGAGAAAGGTTGGGTGGTTGATTGAGAAGTGGGATCGCCTGCACAAGGTCCGCTTCCTGATGTACGGCAGCGCCTGGGCCTTGGGTCTTGCCGCATTCACATCATCTTTGTGAACTTCACCTCCGTATGAAAAAATACTGATGGAAGGGGTTCGGAGAGTAGCCGTCTATCAGGCTTTGGGAGACGTTTCATTTTGTATTTTAGCAGAATGAGTGGCGGGTTTGAGGATCTGTGATGGTTCAGCCTAAATTTCTAGTCGTAATGTTAAAGTTTATATGAGAAGACACGGTTAAGCTGGTAATTATCGTTGACCACGAGATACCGCTTCGCCCGCAAGACCAGAATGAGGCTGAAGTATAGGTCGTAGGGAATGGTTAAGGCGGCAGGACATGTCAAGGAATCCTGTCGTATGCTCATAGTAAGACCCACCACCTAGATGTGCTACAAATTCAGAAACCCTTCTGGTTAAGCTTGATAATAAGCAATTATCAAGGGGGGGCCTATTAGGAACGAAATGTATGTGATGAAACCTGAAGTCTCATGGCCAGAAAGCTTCTGCGGAAGCAGCGCTGACGTGACCTGGAACAAGCGCGTGCCTGTCTCCAATCTGAAGGTTGTGTGGGAGTGAAACTTGCCCCAATTTCTGTTTCTGCTGAGAAATCAGGGCCTCGGACTCCGTAGAAAGTTTGGCGGCAACGGCACACCACCGCGCTCTGGGTCGATCGCGGTTGGCCGATCATACCGTCAAGATCCGCCAGCGGCTTTCCACAGATGGCTGATATAATACAATTCCCTGGACTACCTGTACTGTGAGCAACCTTGTCATGGCACGGGAAATTAGTGTCGCGACGGCTACTTTGAACGATGATTAGTTAGAAAAAGTACGGAAGAGGCGCAAAGCTTGGTACTCTGAAGGCTATTGTTTGAGGCGTAGACTTAGTATTCAATGTTGGACTGAACTTGTTTTTCTCGTCGGACAGAGACGGGAAGGACAGCTGTTGACCAAGAAAGAAGATTCCTTGGTGCAACAACCCAATGCCATCATCCCTTCGATCCCGGAAACTATGAGTCTATATGGCCAACCATGCGCCGCCGCCCAACTGAACTCCAAATAGACTTTACCAAACCATGTCCAGAAGCAGAAAAGCCCTACGCGTAATGAAGCAGCCTCTTCCCCCTTACGTCTCAACCCTACGACGCTTCAAGGATCCCTGGTGACGAGTATGCGGCTACTCGCCCGCAGCGTCAGAGAATCTCCGAGAGATTGCAGGATATTTTCCATTTGTTTTAGTTCCCAACAATCGTCCCCGTCGGTGATGGGGAGTAGCGTAGTAGGGTTTAGCCGTTGGAACGGGCCCTGTCATTGAGTGTCCAGCCGTTTTGAATGCCAACTTAATGGTGTAGAAGAAGAAAAGAGAAAACGACGAGACCTCTACAGGGCCAAGATGGCAACCGTGAGCGTCGCAATCAGAGCTGCGAGTTTCAGTCCTGCGCCGGAAATACCCTCAGCGGCGGCGCTCTTGCCAGCACCAGGCAAGCCGGTGTTATTCTGGCTCTGCCTGAACAGAGGATCCATGGTAGCGTTCTTGGTCACGGGTACCTGGGAGCCAGCGACGCAGAACTGCGTGGGATTGCTCCAGGTGGCATCGACGACGCGCTTCCACGCGTTCTCGGGCTTGAAGAGCATCTCGTGGCTGTAAAAGATGCGGCAGTTGGCCGGCTCCCAGAGGAACTGCAGCGGCGTCCTGGCGTCCGACATGGAGAAGGCGTTCTTTGCGTTGATGGCGCCGGCGCTCTTGGGCGTCGTGGCGCGCTTGATGGCGTAGCCCTTTGCCAGCTCGCCGATCACGCCGTTCTTGATTTCCTCCTTCTTGTCCTTGGGGGTGAGGGCGAGGATGGCCTTTGCGTCGGTCGTCAGGTCGTTGAAGGCGAATACTTGGGCGCCTTCGACACCGGCGATGGACTGCATGATGCCGCTCTGCGGGCGGCCGCCGATGACGGTCGTCTTGATGCCCATTTGGAGGATCAGGAGGTAGGAGAAGATGGTGCAGGTTGAGCCGCAGGTGCCGTCAGTGAAGAGGACCACGTTCTCGGGCTCAAAGACGCGAGGGGGTGGGTTGGCCCTGCTGCCGACGCCGGTGAGGTTGAATGTCGGGTCCGATTGATTGAGGGGAGTCTGCTGGTATGCAGTGAAGGTATCTCCGTTGAGTGAGACTGGTGCGAGGATTTGGTCGACAGTCGTGAAGGCAGCTTCATCAGGAGTGTAGACACCTCCGGGCAGCAGGTTGCTGACGATGGGGCTTCCGCTCAATGTTTCTACAGCATCCTTCTCCTCGGGTGTAGAGGGCGTGAAGTTGGAGGGGATGGCGGCGGAGAGACGAGCCAGGTTGGTGAGACCTTCCGACAGACGAAGGTTATCGGCCTGGAAGCGGTTGACCTCGGGGAACAACTGTCATAGCGGGTCAGTGGGGAGCTAGGTAGGAGGGATGGTTGTGAATCGTGACAAACCTGTGCAAAGAGTTCATATCCTGCTACAACGAAACCACCGCCGTTGGCAGCAACATCAATGACGAGACGCTTCTTTCCGGCTTCCTTGCTCTTCTTCAGGAACGTGGCGACGGTGCTTTGAAAGTTGGTCAAGTACTCAGTAGGATCAATGGCGTCGGGAGGGGAGAATGACGAAACAGCGAGGACAGCAACATCGTCGTATCCTGTTCCGTTGAGGAAGTAACCAGAGGTGGTGTTAGCACCGCTGTCACGTATCATCGGATAGGGATATCCCTCAATCGTCGGCAGGGGAGGCGGCGGCGGGTTAGAAGTCTTGGGCGGTGTCGGGCTCGTCTGGTTGGGCTTGATGCCGGGCTGCGACGGTTGGGGTTTGGCCGGAGTATCGGGGTTGCAAAACTTGTTGTAATAGTCCTCGCCGCTGTTGACACCGGTAAAGTTGGCGCCGGCGCGGATGAGGGCGAAGCTGTCCTCGGAGCGCTCTTCGCCGTTGTCGTAGGTGATGGTCACCTTGGGGCCCTGGAAGGCGAGGGAGGCGGCAACGACGATGGAGCCATCCTTGGAGGCGTATGACTTGAAGTTGGAGTTCCATTGCGAGTCAGGGTCCTGGTAGCCGCTGAACTTCAGGTTCAGGTCCTCGATCATGGTGGCGGCGTCTCTGCCGTTGATCCTAACGATGGCGGGGGGAGTGGAGTTGCCGTCGAGCTGGGCTGTTGTGACAGGTCAGTTAAGTTGGCCACGGGATACAACAGTATGCATTGGAACTCACAAAGGTGGTACAGCTTGGGCACTTCAACGCCGTCGCGCGAGACCGAAACGATGTCGTTAGCGAGTTTGTTGCGGAAGCTGAAGCCCTTGAACACATCACCGCGGAAGACAAAGTGACCATCGTGAGCCGAAGCAATCAGCTGGAAAATGGCGAGCTGAAACTCGTACTCGCTCTTGTACGAGCCGGCCTCGGCCTTCTTATCAATCTCGTCGAGACCGCCTTCGATGTCGGTGGCCGGCAGCATGTACGACGCCGGCGGGTTCTTGAGCCACGATAGCGTGGACTGCCATTGGACGTAGGCCTTCACGCTCTTGATGAGGTCCTTGGCCGGGCCCTTCTTGTTCGGCACTGTCTGAAGGCAATCGAACGCCAGTTGAGCAGGGACTTGGGGTGTTGCTGTTGGGGTAGCTTGGTTAGCGGATCGCTGGCTTTACACATGACGTCTGACACTTTGCTAGGAGATCTCGGCGGATCTCTAGCATTTCTTCGACCCCTCCAGTAGTACCATTCTTCCCCAACCATGGTCTTCTCACGACGTACCTTTCGGGCTCGCCATAAGGAATTGTTGCACCTTGGGCTGAATCTGAGCACATGCCTGGGCATTGCCGCCAGGGATCGTTCCATTGGGGGCGCTGGGCGTCGGCGTTCTGCTGCTCGTCGGAGTGGGCGTTTGTCCCGGGGCCTGGGGAGCCGGCACCGCCAACACGACGGCGGCCGAGGCCAAAGTCCACCAAGTGAATCTCATCTTGATCGTCTTTCGAGAATTGCTTCCAATATTTTGGCCTGGTTTCCTTTTCTCTTTTATATACGTCCTCTCGTCTACTCCGAAATGCGCACGCTCTCTCTCTCTCTCTCTCTCTTCTTCAAAGGATCGAAAAGAATAGATAGCACAGCTATCGGCGAGGCCAGCTCAAAGTCTCGAGACCGAGACGGCTCTGAAAGGAAGGGAAATGTTGGGGCAAGAAGCAATTCGCCGACGCCTACGAAAAGGATTCAAAAAGAAGCGCCCTCGGAGTTGACGGGTCGACGAGCATATGGGGTTTTAAGAGCTGCATTGTCCTCCTCCTCCTCAACACGGAAACAGTGCAGAATGCAAATGCACTCGTGAAAGAGGCCGTGCCCCATTCTCTTTCATTTTTGTCCTTGGCGGCGGGCGTTCTGTCTGTTGCGGCCTCCCCATGCCCACACACGTCCCGAGTTTGTGTTCCCAAATCATGAAGCCATCATGAAACACGACAACCCTCACATCTTCAGATAAGCATCCGCGCATCCTGGGGCCCGGCGCTGCAAGATTTAAACTCGGGCAAATGGCAAGGGGACCCCTCCACTCCCTCTCAGGAAATGGCTAGATCTATCATCTGTGCACCAACGCAAATACAGAACAGGTCTAGGGCGAGTCCCTCTCCCTTCCCCTTCCCGAGGCTAGTGTGCGGCGACGCTTTTTGAGGTGGAGCAAAAGGACCCGTCTGTCCTGTGCTTGGCGGTTGATTGGGTTGGTGTTTCGGTGCAAATCGAGGGGTTCTGTCTGAAGTCCATGGACAGGCCATCCCCGACGACCACCACACGATACAAAATCTCGATTAGCGATACTTCGGCCGGCTATCTGCTGGCTGGGCGTTACGAGCCTCTCGACCGAGCAGCTGCCAACTGCGTTCTGTGCTGTGACCTCTTTTCCGTGCCTCTTCTCTCCCGTCTCTTCCCTCCCCCTTTTCCCCTCGTCCCACCCTTCTTCATCCCGCCAGAGCCTCATTGTCCCCTGATGCTCACATCACATCCGTATCAGCGCGCCCGCGCGCCGGTCAAGCTTCTCGTCGCCTCACCCTAGGCCCACGCTTGGCAGCCCTACCCTGCTGTAGCAGATCCCGCCGGAGGAAACACGATCCGCACCACTCACGCTCAACATCACCAACCACTGACTCTGAGCAAGCTAGATGTTGTGTTGCGCGCAGGCAGGGAACCGACTCGCGAGCGTCTCCAGACTGCTGGCCCCTTTCTTCTTAGTGTTGCCCGGCGCTAGCTCGGCTCGAACCCCACGGGTCTCCAGCCAGTAAACAACCCTAAAACGTTTAAACTCTCTTCGCTTGTTGATCAACAGAGAGAGGGACCCCCCCCCCTTTTTCTGCCCCCCGGCTATTTCAAATGTTCCGTCTACTCACTTACACCGGGGACTCTTCTGCGCGGAAGCCTGTGAAGAACAAGCGCGCACGGTTGGGAGAGTCCCAAGCAAGGCCGGGGGGGCCAGTTTACACATGATATCTTGTCTAGTCCAAATACAGTCCCGATGGTTATACCATATCCGCTTCATTTGAACGCGTGTACCCTCTGCCACAGCGGAAGAAGCCTTATTCACTTGACTCTGCCTCTCTTGATTCTTCCATCACCCCCGAAGCTGCGTGGAAAGAATAAACAGGCGAAACTCTAGTCGCATCATATGATACCACCGGCGAATTAATCCTGTGCGCCACGCGGGATGTTTGTCGATCCAAGTTCACTTTCACGCAACGTCAATCCTACCCCGCGGGATGCGGGAAGCCGTGACATGCGGACAAAAAAAAAAAAAAAACCAAAGCCAATTCTCCAGATCTTGGATACGAAAACGAAGAGCAAATCCCTAGTGAGAAAAATAAACAGCAATCTGCAGACAAAGTTTGGCAAGCCGCTCGCTCTCTCTCGCTCAAATCAAGCACGGGTATCTCAGCATCCGCCACTCTCCCAAGTCCAAACACCGCTCCCCCCAGCCGTCTCTTCCGCGGACGGCAAAACAGAAAAGCCCCTTCCCCCCTCCCTCGCCCGAACTATCTTACCGTCCGTTTTGTCGTTGGCCGTACCTTCTACCTTCCCTGTCCATCCATGCAATGCATCCAGCCTGCCTACCTCTCCCTTGACCAACCCCGCCCGGCTCAGGCGATGACACCCAAGGCCTCCATTCCCAACAACCCCATGGCCAAACTCAATCCCGCCCCCGCTGCGGCGGCACCCGCCAGACCGGTGCCCCGCGCCGCGGCGACGCCGCCAGAGCTGGAGCTGGGAGCCGCTACCCCGCCCGTCGCCGTTCCACCGGTGCCGCCGCCGCCACTTCCGCCGCCGGATACCGGGCAGCTCACCGTACACGGCAGGGCAGAAATGAACGGCGTCGGGGCCGCGGTACCGGTCTCCACCGCCCCCGTGACTGTGAACACTGGCGACTGCGAAACAGCCGTCACATTCAGGACAACATTGGGCGTGTCAACGTTGAGCACGGCGTCAATCATTTGCACGACGCCGTTGGCAATCAGAATATTGGTCTGGATGAGGCGCGCCGAGTTGACAAAGATGTCATTGTTATAGAGCGTAATGTCGAGACTCTTATTGCCGGCAGCGGTCGCGAATTCGGTCCCGTTTGTCAGCGAAGACGCCTGCACCACCCGCGACGGGACCAAGTGATACTGCAGCACACGGCGCAGCGCCTCCTTGCTCAGGCCGGCGAGCGAGCCGGCGACCTGTTGGAAAGCGGCGTTTCTCGGCGCGAAAATGGTGACGTTGGGGGTCTCGGCAAAGTCGGCGACGAGCTCGGCCGTGTAGAGCGCGCCGAGGAAGGCCGTCAGGTCCTGGTAGGCGTCGCGGGCCGTGGTTTCGAGGCGCGCGGGCGGGACCATGAGGCTGTCGATGATCTGGATGAGGCCGCCGTCAAAGGGGACGTCGGTCTGGAGGACGGTCGTGCGCGATGCGACGCCCGATGTGATGACTACGTCGTTGTTGGGTTGCTTGGTGACGAGCGCCGTCTGGCCGCCGGTCACGTTGGAGAACCGCGCGTCGGTGAGGCGCGTCGATACGATGCGCGAGTCGCCTGGCGAGAAGGCGTTCAAGGCGACTTTGCTGGTGAGGATGCCGTACTGAAGCGCAATGGCGATGGCGTCCTTGTTCGCGTCCCAGCCTTGGCCTTTGAGGTAGGCTGAGTCAATCGGAGCGAGGATCTAGGGTTTCGTGTCACTGAGTTAGCCTGGTGTTCTACGTTCCGAACTGCCGTCGAGGTTTGTGACGTCTATGCGCTGTGCTGGCTTTTTGCTAAAGTGCTGCGATCCTTTGGTTTGATTTTGCATCAAAAGTCTCTCCATGACTGGTTCGAAGATGGCGGATGAGAGCGAAGGGTGAACCTTACCGTAACACCGGATTCGGGCAACTTTGAAAAGATATCTGGGTGATCCTGCGGCGGGGGTCAGCTGTGACTGAATGTCGATGATGTTCAATCAAGTCTCGAGACTAAATCAAAAGTCGTCACATGAACTGCAGACGAGGTGTGGAGAAATGCTGTTCGCTTTCTTCTTACCTTTACGAGTCCGCGGAATGTCGTCAGATTTGCTTGTTTGCTGAGTACTTCTTCTAACCCCTGCGCTGCGACTGCAGATATGCCTGACACCGCCAATCCGACAGTAGCCCATAGGGCGTTTGTGAATAGCCTCATCATGGGTACTTTTTTGCGCAGTGGTTCAAGCGCAAATGAAAGCCTGACACCTAAAGTGCTTAAAGGTAAGGGTTGGGATAAACGGTTATAGAGATGTGAGGTGTTGACGGCGTGGTCATAAACATCCGCTGCATGCTCGGGACAGGTAGCAATTCAACGACAAACGCCCTTGGATGGGATGTTTGTGAAATCAAGGGAGCAATAGATCAAAGAACCAAAAGGTCCGACAAGAGCTCCGAGCGTAAAACAGGATGCAGGTGACATTTTGAAGGTGATTGATTCTTCTGTCAACCTTGCCCATTCCGCAATCCCGCATCGTGGCGGCGAGCCGGGCCTGGACCCTGGTGAAGCAACGGACAAGGTCGCCATGCAGCATGGCATTGGATCGCAGACGGGCTTTCCTTGGCGTCGTTCAACGCGACCCTGTCATCACGTTCGAACAAGCAATCACGCAGCTCGAGGACTTGCCTAGCTTCTCTCTCCCTGGTCGCAATTGGCTCGAAGGAGCCGACAATCCAAGACGCAGCCACTCTGGGGGTGGCGTTCACTCTCGCAACGTCGCAAGGATCGTGCGAAAGGTGACGAAGGAGAAGCTCAGAATGTGACATGGACAGCGCAATTAAACGCAGAGGGCTGAAGGGAGGCCAAAGAGGGACTGAATGGAACAGAATCGGGAATGGCGGCGCGCGTTTGCTGCGCTGACACGCTGGTCAGCTTTTAGTGGCTTGCTCTTGTGCCTGGACTAGGGCCAAGACGGTTGCATCGCGTATATGTGTGTGCCCAGACGAACCGGGGTGTCTGGAGAAGGGTCATTTGTTTAGCACTCCAGGAGTCCAGTCAAACGGCACCAAATTGAGCCGAGTTCAATGCGACTGTGCCTGGATGCTGTCCTTGAGCGGCGCGGGAGATCTTCATTGGGTGGGTGGAATGTGGGCAACTCATTTCTAGAGCAGATTGTGGACGAGGGGACTCCATTCATCCAATTACGCGCAGACGACGCCTTGAAGGAGAATTGCTTGATGGACTCATTGAAATATCAGCAATCCGGAAACCCTGTCCTGGATGCTTGAGCTGTTAGCCGGGATGCTCTGAGTGAGAACCGCGACCAGGTCACCAGGCCGTCCGTCAGGCCCTGGGTGTTCGAGGTATTTTCGGGCCTCAAAACTGTTCGACAGAGGCCAGGGACGCCATTCGGCGGCACAGCTCAACTGCCAAGCTCATACCCTGCATCTAATTGATAATTACATGTCAGGCTGCAACAAATCTGACCGAATCGGGTGCAGCCGGGTTCACTACGAAAAGTGGCCGTTCCCATGTCGCCTCACGCTATTTCAGGCATCTTTTTAAAACCATCGTCTCGGCGTTCAACAACGGTCGGCCCCGCTTTATCGGCAGACCCGACCCGTTTGTCGGCGCCGCACCTGCCGGGTGGGTCCCGGCCGTCAGCTTCAGTGGGCTCCCTTGCCGAAAGCGGATAATGCAGTGGTGGCTGAGCAGTAACGACCCCCCAAAAACAAGCGCCGTTTACGGCAGTGGGCAATGGTGATCATGATAGGGCCACTTCGTTCCACAGCCACGGTTGGTGATGCAATTGAGCATGCGATCCGCTGGTCGAGTCCCAGATGCCGCTTGCTTTTCTCGTTGCCTAATTGCGACAACGGGACTACAAAGAGGTGCGAATTTGCACGCATAGCGGAAGGACATGCCAAGCTTTCCATCTTTCCTCTTGTAGAACATCCCATTCGTTCCAGAATAACAATGGTTTACCCTTCAGATAAACAAAAAGAAGCAGCGTATTCATCCACCGATGACGCAGGCCTGGGAGCCCCTCCATCCTACGAAGAAGCCGTGCCAAATGCCGCTCAAGACGCACTACCAGAATACACCACCCCATCAAACAATAACCACCCAGCCGGGTCCTCATCATCCACCGCCCTCGCAGCCGCAACGATCAAATTTCCGCCCACACTAAACTGCTATTTCCAATGGGCCTTTACGCGAACCTTTATCCTCGGCCCCTCCAACGAAGAGAAGCTCTTCGCAGCGTCGCTGCACTCGGGCTTCCGCACCAAAAGGAGGGAAATCAACCTCCACGACGGGCCCTCGGACAAGCACCCCGTCCTCGCGACGATCGGTAAGCCGTGGACCGCCAAGACCCAGACCTCTGCGACGATCACAATCCCGCCCCGGCCAGAACGCGGCGATACGACAGCATTCGAGACGGAGATTAGCGGCGTCCCGTTCAGCCTGGACCAGACGGCCGCGCGCGTCTTCTCGATCGCCGTCGGGGGCAAGCAGACGGGGACGGAGCCGAGGACCGAGAGGTTCCAGTGGAGGAACAGCCGGGGCGGGGAGGTCTCTGAGCTCGCTCACGGGGGCACCTACGGGTGGAAGCTGGTGCGGTTGTCCGACGTGGCTGCCGGCGCCGGCGTCGGCGCCGCTGGCGGGAGCCGACGGGAGAGGGACGCCGGGTTCACCAGCGATGGCCACGAGATTGTCGCGGTCCTGTCGACGAACTTTAAGAGTTTGACCAAGGGGTTGAAGTTTTCATTTGCCGGGTCGGGTTTGACGGGTACGTTGGGGGAGAAATGGGAAATTGTCACGGTCGCGACCGCGTTGTGGACCTGGTATGCCCACATAGAGGGCAGCGAGCATGCATGATGTTGACAACGAATTCAGATGGTCATAGACCTGTATCTGCGATTACGTAGATACTCTCTAATCTATGATCAGAGCGAGCACCCTGATTCTTCCTTTCGCTGATAATCGGAATCCTGGTAGACCGTTGGCAGATTGTCGTGTAACGAGGATATCTCGGTGCGAGATTATAGCGGCATTTAGAACTGTGAAAACGAGGCCCGGCTGCCACCCGTTAAGTAAAGGAGTACCTAAGCAGAGCCTCTGCCGGCCCGTCGACCCCACTGACCCGAACCCCGCTGGCCGAACTGCGCCTCTGTCAGCTTCAGCATCTACTCCGCAGCAAAGAAAGATCGCTCCTTAGCACAGGTAATCAATCCACCTTGCAGGCGTATTTGTCAAGGGCGCGCTGTAAATCCTAGCAGATGAATGATAGCCACCTTCCTCTCAACATAATCTCGTCACACTTCTCTATTTCCCGGGCCATTGCCTAACAGCCGCAGCAACGTACCACCGTGGCCATGTCGTCCTCTAGGAAGAACCTCGAGGCGACTTTTCGTGACATCATCGACAAATGTAACTCGGGCACAGAGGAGGGCTTGGAATCCGTCCTACACGCAACTGTGGGTTTCAACGGATCAGACTGCTTGAGAAGAGACTTTCCTGAGCGACTGAATGGTCGTGACGGGGTACACAGCACCAACGTGGTGAAAATCGACACGATTCTACTTGATGAACATGGGCGCGTTGCCGCCCGTCTCATCAACAAAACGACACTGAGAGACACCAACAAGGTCTTTGAGTATGCAGAAATCATCTTTGCCGATTTCACCAATAATGCTCTCCTCACATGGCAGACATTACGAGACGAGGATGGCATTCAAAGTCAACAGTCAACGATCCCCGTGACGCCTTCGCCGCCGTCTGCAGTCCGGTCATCATCTGCAATGTCATCGCGAGACCTGAAGTCTTTTTATCAGAGATACATCGACTGCATCAACAAGAAGACAATGGCAGAGGAGTTTGCCCGGTTCTGCCAACCAGAGCTGATACACAACGATCACAAGCTCTCGATCGCCGAATACACGCCCCTGATCAGCGACAGCCAGCATGCCATCGAGGGCTTACTCTTTACCATTGAACTGCTCTTCATGGATGAAGAGACGCAGCAGATTGCGGCGAGGCTCGAGTTCACGGGAACTCCTGTCCAAGAGTGGGGAGGCGCGAAGCCCAACGGCAAAGCAGTCAAGTTTCATGAGCATGTCATGTATCAGTTGGAGGATGGAAAGATCTCGAGGGTGTGGTCGGTTCTGGAACTGGATGCGTACCGCCAACAGATGATCTGACCTGGAAAGAGCGTGCTGCAAGTCGTTCTATTCACTTTGATTGCTGGCGTCTGTTAATGAAACTCTTCTCGAAGAGAGTCTACAGAAGTCTTCCTTGGCTGACTTGAGCCTGGCAGTTTTTTGTCTACGCCTTGGCGAAGGCGGAGGAAGCTGCATGTTCAACACCTCGTCTCAGGATACCCATACTTCTGAACACTTGTCCTCATACGTTCACTCTTTTACTAGGTGTACTTATGAATAAATCCTACGCTAGCCAGCTCAATCGGACTGTCAACATCCGAACAATGGGCATCGAGGACCTGGCAGTAAATGTCTACTAACAAGCCCTATCGACTGACCCACTGCGATTGGCCGGGTTCCTGCGCAAGCGGGTGGTGCCTGAAATGATGTGTCCCCGGCTTTGCCCGAGGATGCGGATTGGGCAAAGCTCCTTTCCAGTCCAAGAGAAGATCAGTTTCCCATCGCGTGAAAGAATACTTGCGTCCGGAGTTGAGAACGGAGAAGAAGTAAGAGTGTCCCCATGATGTCGAGCAACCAACTATCCCCGATGGGAGCGGGGGAGTGGGATGCCTGTTTGTCCTTGCAGTAAGTCGAAGGAAGCAGCAGATGGGCAAACGAACGAACGTCCAGAGCAGCTACATCTCTCATTGAAGCGGTTCGGTCCAATATCGACGGCTCGGTCTTTGCTGCGGAGTGTTTCTATATGTCACTGGCTTGAGGGCAGCTGATGGTACAATTTGGGTAGGGCCTTTAGGAGAGCACATCCTCGAAGACGCCATGGTAAAGTCATGATGCATGCCAAGCTCTCGCCTATCACAAGGGACAAGGTGCTCGCCGCACATGAGGGGCTTACAAGCAGTGACACAGAGCCAAGATCTATGGCGGTAAAAAGGTGAGCCCCGATATTGTTCTTGATGCGCTCGAATGAGAGGACGCCATCGCCGCGCTCGGAAACCGGTAGGTGACGAGGTGGATCCGGGGGACATCCCAGACGAGGCCGCGGACGGCTCCCTCTTTCTCCAACTCCCCCTCATTTCCATTTCAAGAGTCGGACGTCTCCCATGGTCTCCTCCAGCTTTTCCCCACATCCAGGAAGGGAGGAAAGAAAAATAACGTTGTCAGCTCGCGTTCGCGCGCGAAGCTTCATATTCAACCGGCGCGCCTCCGATGTAACGGTATTGTTCTCACAACCGTCCAATCCGAGCCTCTTCTCCGGCCCCAGACCCTTGCTTCTTCCGCAGATGAAGACGCGAAATATCGATCGAGCCGAATCATACAGGTAAGAGTCAAAGAGGTACCACCGTAGAGGGCCGCGGGGCAAATCTTGCCAAGACCCTTTCTCTCGTCTTCGGGCCTGAAGCCACCGACATGCGACGCTCACGATGTGGGTTCCGCCGTCTGGGCAAAAACGTTTACTCCGGGTAATATTTCAATCTAGTGGAATGCGGGGTGGTCTGGCACATCAAGAACGCGGTCCATTGCGAGACGATCCTTCGAATCGCTATCTATCAGGGTGGAATAAGCACAAGTCACCTCCACCCGGTTCACATGCGATGCTACGCAAATATGGCATCATGTCCCCGGTCCATTGACTCCCGTCGCAATCAGCTCACCAGTAGCCCAGGAAGCTGGGGTTGCTTATAAAGTTGACGCCCCTCAGTAATGGACTTATTGGATCTTCTTGCTTGACACCCTCGCGTCATTGTACCCCCAATTGCAAGCATTCAGAAAGCAAAATGGTGTCGCTCAGGTCGGCCATTCTGGCTGCTACCTATGCTGTTTCGGCTGCCGCTGTCGATGTCTCCGTCAAGGCCTCCGGTGGCAATGCCACCAGTGGTCACCAGTACGGATTCCTCCATGAGGTCAGTAACCCAAGGCCGTCTGATGCTCGATTCTTTAATCTAACAGCTGTGATCTCCAGGACATCAACAACTCTGGTGACGGTGGCATCTACGCCGAGCTGATCCGCAACCGAGCCTTCCAATTCAGCCCCAGTTTCCCCGTCTCTCTCGATGCCTGGCACTCCATTAACGGCGCCAAGCTCACCCTCAAGAACCTCAGCGAGCCCCTCTCCACCGCCCTCCCCGTCTCCGTCAACATCGCCAGAGGCAACAGCTCGGGCGCCATCGGTCTCGAGAACGATGGCTACTGGGGTATGGATGTCAAAGTGCAGAAGTACACCGGGTCTTTCTGGGTCAAGGGCTCCTACGACGGTGTCTTTACCGCCAGCCTCAAGTCCGCTCTTACCAATGACGTCTTTGGCTCGGTCGAGATTGCGTCCAAGACCTCTGCCGACGAGTGGATTGAGCACGAGGTCGAGCTTACTCCCGAGAAGGATGCTCCCAACAGCAACAACACATTTGCCATCACCTTTGACCCTGCGGTATGGACCTCCTGCATTCCTCCAACTCAAGCAATATGTGCTGATCATCTTCCTTTAGGGCGCTGCAGACGGCTCGCTAGACTTCAATTTGATCAGTCTCTTCCCTCCCACCTACAAGGGCCGCAAGAACGGCCTTCGTGCTGATATTGCCGAAGCTCTGGCCGGACTTCACCCCGTAAGTAACCTCTGCGGTTCCCTACAACCGGAACGCATTCCTGACCAAAATACAGAGTTTGCTTCGCTTCCCCGGCGGTAACATGCTCGAGGGCTTGAACAACGGTACCTACTGGGATTGGAAGGACACTCTCGGTCCCCTCAAGAACCGCCCTGGTTTCCAGGGTGTCTGGGGCTACCAGCAGACTCACGGACTCGGACTCGTTGAGTACCTCGAATGGGCTCTGGACATGGGTCTGGACGTTGTCATCGGTGTCTGGGCCGGCCTCGCTCTCAACGGCGACGTGACCGCAAAGGAAGACTTGCAGCCCTTTATTGACGACGCTCTCGACCAGATCGAGTTCATCCGCGGCCCCGTCGACTCCAAGTGGGGTGCCCGCCGCGCCGAGCTCGGCCACCCGGAGCCCTTTACGCTGGAATACGTCGAGATCGGCAACGAGGACTGGCTCGCCGGCTACCCCGGCGGCTGGACCTCCTACAAGGAGTACCGCTTCCCCATGTTCATGGAGGCCATCAAGGCCAAATACCCCGACATCACCGTCATCTCCTCCGGCGCCACCACCGACGCCGACGGCTTCGACATTCCCGCCCCGGGCATCGGCGACTACCACCCCTACCGCACCCCCGACGCCCTTGTCGACGAGTTTGACCGCTTCGACAACGACATTGGCCACATTGTCGGCGAAGTCGCCGCCACGCACCCCAACGGCGGCACCGGCTGGGACGGCAACCTGATGCCTTTCCCTTGGTGGATCGGCACCGTCGGCGAGGCCGTCTCCCTCATCGGCTACGAGCGCAACGCCGACCGCATCCCGGGTACCTTTTACGCACCCGTCCTCCGCAACATGAATCGCTGGCAGTGGGCCGTCACCATTGTCCAGTTCGCCGCCGATGCGGCGCTGACCACCCGCTCCACCAGCTGGTTCGTCTGGGAGCTCTTCGCCGCGCACCCGCTGTCGCACACCCTCCCGACCGTCGGCGAGTTTGGCCCTGCCTACTGGGTCGCTGGCAAGAACGAGGCCAAGGGCAGCTTCATCTGGAAGGGTGCCGTGTACAACACCACCGGCAGCGCCGATGTGGACATCAACATCCAGTTCGAGGGCGTCGCTGCCGGTACTACCGCCTCCTTGACTGTCCTCACGAACCCCAGCGGTGACCCATTCGCGCACAACGATCCCCTCAACGGTGGTGAGACTACCGTTGCTAGCAACACTAGTACTGTTGTTGCCAATGATGATGGGGTCTTTGCTTTCAGCCTGCCTGAACTTAGCGTTGCTGTCCTTGACACTGAGGGTTCCAAGGGTAATCAGACCGCACGTGCTATCAGACGCTTTCGTGGGTGAGGGCTGAGAGACATGAATTGGCAGTGTTGAAACGCTTGTATATTAGAACGTTGGATAGCAAAAAATCAGTGAACTGCAACAGTGAATTGTTCATCTATATCTCTTATTCTCTCTCGGTTTCGTGAGGCGGTGCAATCGGGCTTGGGTCATTAATGTGCCATGCGGGCTCACTTGACATATGTAGCTTCAACGTCATCACGAGGAATAGAAGGACACGCTGTATACAACATCGCCATGGCATGTTACGCAGCGACATAGAGCTCATATGTAACCTTGGCCTAACTGACCTTTCATTTGGCAGATCAGGCCCCAAGACTGATTGCATGATGAGTGCTGTCTTATTCCATCAAACCATGGGTATGTGGAACGTTCATCTCCTTCATGCCTTGACCTTACCTACTTGACCAATCGTCAATTGAGTTCTGTTCTTCGGCCCTTGTACTCCGACTCGACACGCTCCATGTCTAGATGGCACGTACATGGTTGCACCTAAGGAATGTATTGCATACGAATACAATATCCTGAAGTCAACAGGTTCTTATCTCACGCCTTTTCTACTACAGATTCCATAAACGGCTTCCGGAGTAAGGCAAATTGAACGTGTATGAATCTCGTATTAGTATAGCAGTGATTATCGACAGCCATCAATCAAAACCTCCAAAGATTTGGCTCCGTAAGCAGCGCAGCAATCAATCTTTTTGGACACATTGCTTAAGGAGAGCCACCCGAAAACTTCAACTCCTGTCCAGAAACACCTTTCAGCACGTTTCCAATGCCAGGCACCTCACCATTTCCACCTTGCATGATCGCAGGATAGTTGTCCGCAATCAGTTGAACTCCGGAGTTGAAGCCCTTTCCATCGAACTGACAATGGCCCCCATCTGGCTTGTTATTCGCCGTCTGAAGCTTGTTGATGGCCTCCGTCTTCATGCCCATGTCCTTGACAACCTTCTCGTATGCCTTCATAGTAGCGGATATTGATGGTTGGAGGTGTTGCAGCTCCTTTTGCGTACTCTGGTAGTGAAGCCGCGTCTTTACGAGAGCGTCACGAGATGCCTGCGAAACTTCGACGCGGGGTTCCATCGCACCGCAGCCCAGCATCACTCCGTTCCCGGCGAAATTGCCAATGTGTACTGGCATAAAGAAGCCGGAGAGCAGGAGAGACCCGCCAGAGATTCCAGAGAAGAAGACGTTGGAGGAGTTGAAGGCCATGTACTTGGGCAAGGTGTGTAAGACCAGATCGTTGACCGCCTGCGCGTGTGCCACGCCGTCTGTGCGATTGAAACCGGAGCCACCTCCCCAGTGAAGGTTCTTGTCCGGGGAGAGTACTGCGACGCCCGCCAGGTTATTGTTTACGCCTTGGTTGGGCATTTTGAAGAAGGATTGACCACCGTCGCCGTGTAGTAAAACGTGGAGCCCGAGATTGCTCTTGGCGCCTGTTGCCTTGCCGCCTCCAGGTACCTTACTTGCCGTTGTGAATTCACCTGCTGGGCCACTGATCCGAAAGCGAATTTTCAAGTTGCTAAATTAGGAATTAGCGCTTGCTTGGCATCATACAACTGTCTTTGGAAAGGACGGCGCTCACTTGATCGTCTCCGTGGTATCAAGAATGATCGAGCCATCCTTGCCTGGCATAATTCCCTGAGGGATCTTGTTCGCTTTGTCAGCAGGTGACTCTTCTCCTTTCTCTTGCGGTCTGGGTCCAGGCAGACATTGGACACCACTGGAAAGGAGGACAAGCGCTAGCATCAAAGCGCACTGTAAATGAAAGATGGATTTCATGTCGACTGCAAGTGATTATCTGAATCACGGCTGATATATGAGGCCAGTGGGGATGGTTGAAATGTTTCCTTGAAGAGACTAAAAGAACCAACGCAACACGTCCAGACCTTCATCAGCTATGTCGGCTTCCACAGTGGACACAAATGGTAGGCAGTGGCGAACCACTGTATTAAAATGCCTTCGTTCCCTACCAAGTAGCCATGGTGGCAGGTTTATCATCAAGGTTTCCTCGAAAAGAGTTTCATCTGAACTATCGCGGGATGTTTTAGCTCGGATTCGAGGCTCCCGAGGATGAGGACGAGTAAGGTGGGGAACGGCACGACTAGCAAACAGATAAATAAGGTTTTAAGTAGCAGAGGCTAGTTTGTGATTTGTGATTAACTGTAATTCTTAGGTATGCAGGATTAAGTAACGGGAGGCCAACCCTGTGAACAAGTAGAATCCCTGACGCATCGCGAGTTGAATGAAACGGCTGTATACACAGCTTGGTAGGCGGCATACGATTAGCCCGCACCAACAGTCCCAAAATGAATGGAAAGTCGTTCAATATAGAATAGTTTTCGTTGAGTCCTGTTCAGTCATTGATAACCTTTATAGCTGGGGGATCTGCTGAATGCTGTTGGGACTAGTCGTGCTGGACACTTCCCCTCTTTCTGTGCGGACCTTCACAAGGTAACTAGAGAGAGCTAATAGGAGGAAGTTGCTCCGTAGCACTGGTACTGCTGAACTGCAATGACAAAAGCTTACCTAAATGGACATATCATAAAGTAGTTTACTATGAGAAGCACATATTCAAGATAGCGCAGTTCTTTGGTGTTTCTCGCGCGACACAGGATCACTGGAATCGCCTCGGTGGAGACTCTGGCCGGGATTCGACCGGACGATGGTTCACATCCGCCCCAATGACCCAGTTCCATTGGATTGATCCCCCCACCAAGTGTCCCCGCGTGCCCGCCTTCGGACGACAGCGCACCGATGCGGAGGTCTGTGGTCCTGGTTCCTTTCAATAAAGATCACAGCTTCACGACTCTTGGGTATCGCAAGATTTACTCTCAATCTACCTTCCCTTACGTTTTGAGGTCCAATAAACACAACAAATACCGTCAAGATGTCGATGTCAACCGAAGATTGCGCAAAGTCCCGGCAAGGCTTCCCCCGCCCGTTCCCCAACACACCGTCCAACGTCCTGGACCAATTGCGAGTGACGGGCAAAGTCATTGTGATTACCGGCGCTGCCGATGGCATTGGCTACGCTGTTTCAGAGGCCATGGCGGAGGCCGGCGGCAACGTCGCTCTATGGTACAACTCGTAAGAGAAGGCCTTTCCTGCTAGTGTTCCATCTCTTTGGAGCCGTCTTTTTTGACTAGTGACGTCACAGAAATGACGCTGCAATCCAAAAGGCACAAGGCTTGGCAAGCACACATAGCGTCAAGACCTCAGCATACAATGTTGATGGTTAGTCATTTCCGACATGGTCCAGCTCACTCCGCAAGTGAATGATACTAATATTCAATTCTTAGTGTCCGATTCCAACCAGGTGCAAGAGACTATTGCCAAAGTACTGAGAGATTTTGGCAAAATTGATGTGTTCGTTGCCAACGCCGGTGAGAACCAACCACATAAATTGGGCTGAAAACGAACTGTGACTAATTTCAGTCCAGGCATGGCCATTTCCAAGCCTATTTTGGAGCAAACGCTGGACGAGTACAGGAAGCAAATGTCGGTAAACGGTAAGCCAATCAAAGGAAGAATCGTCAAACAAGACGCGAGCTGAAGCTTTTGCCAGTTGACGGTATTGTGTACTGTTCCAAGTACGCCGGCGAAGTCTTCAAGAACCAAGGGTTTGGCAACCTCATCATCACTTCAAGCATGAGCGGCCACATCGTCAACGTCCCTGTTGACCAGCCCGTCTACAATGCGACCAAGGCGTACGTCACGCACTTTGGAAAGTCACTCGCTCGCGAGTGGAGAGAGTTTGCCCGGGTCAACATTGTATCGCCGGGCTTCTTTGACACGAAGATGGGCGCTGGGCCAGATTCTCTGCAGGAAGCGTATCGTATGGCAGCTCTGGGCAGACAAGGTCACACCAAGGAGATCAAGGGCTTGTATCTGTATCTGGCGAGTGATGCTTCTACTTATATGACTGGAAGCGATGTGCTTATTGATGGCGGTTATGTCTTGCCTTGAATGAGGTGAACGTGGACTCGAGGAGTTTGATGACATAATGATTTAGAAACATTGGAGATAATACAACGTCCAAATAATTGAGACTCTTTTGTCAATCAGAGAGTGGTGTTTCTGTAGTGATGAATAAATTCTACGTGCCGCGTCGCCAGATCAGCGAACAAAATTCATATTCTGTCGAATCTTAATAATATCTCCTGTATCAGATCAGCGATTTCGTTTGATATCAATCCATTCTGCCACCTAGTTCGTGTTTCAAACGAGTAAAAGCTACTAGAGAAGTGTATAACCTCCCAAAACATCCATGTCCCTGAGCTCCTCGTCGAAAAATCAACCCAGAGGCTCCGATGGAACAGCCTCTCTCTGAACACTGGTTCCGACCAGACAACGTATCGGAGCCGGAGGAGACTACACATGTCTTTCAGCTCCCCTATTCCCGAGGGAGTTTGGAAAAGATATCTTTGAAATGCGACATCTGTAACGCCGAGTTGCGCCGTGCGGAACATCTCAATAGCCATGTTCTCCGGTATCTCGGCGTACGCCTTTTCATGCCTGACATGCACTGCCAGCTCTGTCCGAAGGTAAGAAACCCCATGCGGTTCCTAAATTGCGAAATCTTCGGACACTGTATGCGTGAATGTGCCCAATCGAGAGCGAATTAAGGGGTTGATTCTCAGACTTGGGCAGAGACCTACTTCAACGCCACATGCAAAGTCATATAGATGTCAATCTCCATCTACAGGCTCTGATACGCCAAGGAAAGCCCGTCGATCCTGCGTTACTAAAGCCTGCCGACATGGTGCTCGGTGCTGCGGACGCAACCGAAGTCGGATCCAGGGACTCGATACCTGGGGCTACAAGAGGTTTTCAATTGGGTGTATCCTGAATTACTCTGCACAGTCACGTTCATCGGCAATTCATGTTGATGGTAAAATCGACATCGCTTGAAAAGCTTGCCAGTACATTGTGAAACATTGCATTTCTTCTTGTCATTTCACAGTGTACTTGTACTTTGGTTCCTATAGTAAGACCTTGAATCACAACGCAACTAGAACTCAAGATCTTTCTCCACCACAACGTTCTCAGCTCCAATCACCGCGAACGACTTCTGCACATCAAAGGATCCTGGCAATATCTTAAAAAGTGCCTTCAGCTTGTTTTCATCGCTTAGGAAACCAACCGCGGCGTCTCGATCCGGAAACCAATATTGCTCAAAAGCAGCCATCGTAGACCAGTCGGAAGTAGCAAAAGGCGTTCCGGCGAAGAAGCTGGCAGGATCCTCAGGGGTAACCTGTCGATTGAGAATATATCTCATCAAAGCCGTGCCAGCCCCTACCTTCGCGATGGACGCCGCACGGCCAGAGAGGTCATCCGCGGTGGTGGTTGCGCCTTGGCACTTTGCTAGGAAGACAAACAGCATTGCTGCTTTGGTGCCACGCTTCTCAAAGAGGATCGGGTCAAACATGATTTCTGCAAACGATTGGCTGAGAATGCCGGTCTGCGATGTAGTGTCCGCGAAAACGTGTTGACCAGCAGAAGCTTTGTATTCAGGAGCCTGAAAGGATCCCCAAAGGCCGTTCAACGATGCCCATCCCAGTGTTGTCACGGCATCCCAAGAATCCAGGCCTCCGTTTGGAATACCTTGTATCCGGACCTGAGGCATTGCGACAGCCTGAGTATAATTTCGCAGAATGGGAACCACGTTGGAGATATGTTTCGTCATTTCAGCGTGGACGCCAGTGTATTCCTTGAGAAACTTCTCGGCGGACCAACCGGGGATCCTCCTGGCAGCAACAGTCATCTTGACAGGGGGTCTGTTTTGGTTATACGCTTCCCTGACAGGTGGGATGACCGGTAGTAGGAGATGGGAGTCGTGATTTCCGCCAAAATGAATGACATGACGTCCTTTGTTGACAGTCGCCTCGTGGCGAGCGACGGGTATTCCCTGAGGGTACTTGCCGTAGTCGTGTCCAGAGACCACAAGGGTAAGTCGCTCCCCGGCTCGGAACCTACAGCTAGTGGGCTGTATCTCAATCTCAACAGGCACCACATCTCCGGCTTTCAAAGGTTCCAGATCTCGCCGGTGGAGATGAATCGGCTTCCAGGGAGTAGAGGCTTCATTGTCCAGCTCGCGCCGAGAAGCTCGAAGCCAGCCGAAACCAATAGGCCCGTTGTCCACGACAGTGATCCATGGGAAGTATACTTCGTTTCCATTTCGGTCCTTTTTCCGCAAGGTGACGAATAGATCCAGGTTATCGCCACCATCTGTAACTTCCACCCAGAGTTTAAGCTTGGCATGGCCTGCAAATTCGAAAGAGTCTCGGAGAGGAAGCTCGAAGGCGACTTCACCCCCGCGTGCGTCGTATGAGACAAGGTTCTCAGATGGTTGAGCAACCTTGCTCAAGCCAAGGCTGGGAGTCGGGAAGTACTGCGTGTACTGGGTCTCCGGGATGGGAAAGGTTTCACTGTATCGCCATTCTCCGATATAATAGCGCTCCCTCATGGTCCAACGGACTTTGGGCCAGTACTGAATTTCCGTCGGCAATCCCAACAGATAATGGTCGAGGAAAGCCTTCTGACGGTTCAATGACTCTTCAGTGACCGACCACTCCCATCTAAAAATACATGACAGAAGTCAGCGGGGTTAAGAGGAGCAAAGATGACGGAAAACCGACTTTTGATATTGATGAACCTCGAGGTACTTGTCTTGAGAGGCAATCTTGTCCCAAGCGTTAAGTGTTCCTCGAGTGTGTAGGGCGTGATCGCCCCATCCACAAATAATGTAGGCTGGAGCATTTATCTGACTGAGTGCTGGGACTTTGCTCTGCCAGTACTCATCGAAGTATGGGTGCGTCTTGGGCCCGTCTTTTGTGTCCTCGACCAGATTACTTCCCCAGTTGAAAAAGTTCGGATACCTTGCAGCCATTCACAAGTCAGGTTTACCTCCTTACAGTCTCATTTGATCTTCAATCATGGAGAGAGACTCACACAGCACTGAACTGGGTTTCGGGAATTCCGCCCTTGAAGGCCATTTCACGATAAAGGTCAGTCATACCGTCGATTGGGACAATGGCCTACATTAATTAACATTAGTGATGTAAAATCCAAGCTTATCAAGGTACTTAGTGCTCCATACAGCAAGAGATGGAGGTTGCTCAGCTGCCACGAGCCATTGAACCATTGCATAGCCACTGGCTCCATACATGGCAATCTTGCCAGTTGACCAAGGTTGTTTTGCAAGCCATTCGACAACATCATGACCTGCCGAAATGCGTCAGCTAATCTTGGTCCTTCAAAGATAGCCTAATATGCCCGTGATCATATCTCGTGAAGGTGGCATTTACCATCGATTCCCACATCTCGAGAATAGTAACTCTTGTCGCCGTCAGACTGAAAGGAACCTCTGGCATCTATGCTGGCAACAATGTACCCGCGAGGACACCACCAGCCAGGATCCGCTGCTTCGAATTGATACTCTTTGGTAATTCGGGCTTTGTCTAAGCCTGCGCTAGGTGGAAAAACTGCAGTGTCGGTAGCGCCATCTTTGCTGTACACGCTATAGTTGAATATGACGGGAAGCTTTTGCCCTTCAGTGAGGCGAGGTCGATAGATATTGCCACGCAAAATGGTTCCGTCTCTGATTGGGATGGCAACATCCATGTCCGAGATAAGGATTCCATCGGTGAGGGTACGAGGATTGGCATCGTTGACGCCCAATACTTGCGGATTCCAAGCTTTGGCTAACATCAGCAAGTGTTTTGAACAAACTTCAGGCCGTTTTGGACGGCGATAAACCTGGGATAAGGAGTGACTGGAATCCCACCTTTGATGAAATTTCCTAGTCTGTGGGTTTTTGCCAGCTCGGCTTTGAGGACTTGGACGTCAGCCATACTCTCTGAATCTTGCTGGATGGATCAATGATGTAAAACTTGGAAATGCTGGAATGCAGCTGGCAGATGATGAGGTGTGGGGGAAAAGCAGGTTAGCAACTTATATGATGTAACTTGATCACAACCACCTTAGCCTTACTCTCCTAACTTGATCCTTTCACCGAAGTTCCCGTCTTGAATGACGAATGACATCTGAGACAAACTCAAGATTGGACATTGCGGGGATCGGACATCGTTGGGTGGTGGGGCCGAGCCGACTGGACATTGCGGGGATCGGACATCGTGGGGTGGTGGGGCCGATGGTAGCTTACGTCTCGGTACCCTCGGTACCAATAGGAGGCTCCGGATTGTGCAAAGAGGGAAACATGGGGGGATTGCGATCCCTGATGGCCTGTTAAATCGGGAAAATATTGGTCTACGGTTGTACAGAAGAATGGGTTCAGGTTTGATCTTGCCGCTCAAACCTTCGGTCTTGATCGGGTTGGTGTCGTTTGTTACCACATCAGGCTCCTCAATAAGCCAGTCGTTGCATACGGAAGCCTCGCAGGGGCATCATATAATCATATTATGCGTGACTAATGGTAGAAGAGAACTTGCTGCGAGCTCGTTACGTGCGATTATACACTAAGTCACAGATCCCAAGTTTGGGTACATTTTCCGATTAATCCTAGTGGTTGCACTGGCTGGCAGGCTTCTGGTGCTTAACTCCCTGGATGCAGTTGTTGGAGATATCGAGAACCTTCTTGTTCAACAGGGCAGTGCAGGCCGGCCCCAGAGTTCCACTGAAGTTGTTCTTGGAGAGGTTCAAGGCGCCCAGGGTGTCGAGCTTGCACAGTCCTTCGGGAACGGACCCAGACAGCTTGTTGTCGCTGACATCGAAGACAGTGAGGTTCTGGATGGCGTAGTTGCTAGGCAGCGATCCGGACAAGTCATTACCCGAAAGAATAATTTGCTGGAGGTATTTCATGTTTCCAACGCCTTTGGGCACAGATCCGTTAAGCTTATTGTTGGCCAACACGAGCTCGCTGACAGGGGAAGAGCCGATGTTGTCGGGGATGCCGCCTGAGAACTTGTTGTTGTTCAGGACAAGCGCGTCAAAGCCGAGGTTGAAGACCTCTTCCGGAATCGGGCCGGAAAACTCATTGAAACTCAGACCGAGGTAGGAAATGTTCAGGTCAAAGACACTCGTCGGGAAGGGTCCGGAAAGCTGATTACTGCCGACGTCGATTTCATATAGCGACTTGAGGGCCGAGAGATCCTTGGGAAATGTTCCCGTGAAGCCGTTGCCGTTGACGTGGAAATAGGCGAGATCGAGCAGCTTGTCGAAGAAACCGTCCAGGACAAGATGCTTTCCCGCAAGCCCGGCGCCATTAAGATCGACCCCTCCCAGGGAATTGATTCCGGTGTCGGGGTTCTTGCCGCAGCTGAAGCCGGCGAACTTGCATACGTCGTTTCCGGTCCAGCTCTTGGTGAGATTTAAAGGATCGACAGCGATCTCGCGCTTGAATGACAGAACAGTAGAAAGATCTCTCGCCAGGTTGGAGCCTTTGGCGGCGGCGGGCGCACCGAGCGCAGCGGAGAAAAAGAGCGACGAGAAAAAGAGCGAAAGAGGAGCCATTTTGTGAAAGAGTGTCGGGACTACCAAGCAATAGCAATCACGAGGCTCCCCATTTTTGATACAGATGGGAACACTTAAGAGTTATATACCGGCCGCGCCCTCCGGCCTGGCTTGCTCTCCTGCGCCTCATTTCTGGTGAGGTTGGGCAATGTCACCGGTTCGCAGAGCCTTTGAGTTTTCGTAGTTTAGTGCATCACGACTCGGTTTGATTACGCCCCCACAAATACGCTGGCGATATGAGCTGTCATTGTTTATTAACCTTCAGGCTAAGGCGTCCATGGGGCAAACAAGATGAACACATAATCAAACAGGCAATTCCGCTTCAAACTTTCAAAGCAATGCTCTCTGCGCGTACTACTTGTCGGGACGAGGCAGTAAATACTCATGAAAGCTTCAAAGCTAGCTTTGAAGCTTGTGGGATCATAACGTAGTGCGCCCAGCCCGACTGCGACAATGTTCATTGCTTGGGAACAACGTCGGCGCGTGCAGCATAATTTATGACTGAGCCACACAAGAGCACTAGGTGTAGCGTACAACACACGCCCGAGGCAATCATAAGCAGCTGAATACCCTAGCCTCACGACCATAGCCAATATCGTGTAGGTTTCCAATCACGATGCGTGGTCCACACCTGTGTCCACATACCTACTTAGTTAGACATGCATTAGCGGGAGTCTACTCGTCAGTTTCATCTTGAGGGTTTGACGACAAACTAAAACCAAAGATGGACACAACAATAGAAGCTAACTACGTACCCAAGTCTAAAATGCCGGCCTCAAATGCCACGTTCTGAACTATTTACGAACCATCCAACCCGCTCAGCGGAGTCTTCTTCGTCTTCATAGTTTCATGCCTCAACACCAAAGCGATTGCTCACGACAGGACCAACGGCAATATGCTAGTACCTCATCGCTCGCTCGTCCAAAACGCCAGCGCCTTCGTCCTGATGGATATCTTACTAGCAAATGGTCCGGCCTGATTATGAATCTCGGAATTCGGCCCCTGGCCCAGAATGCGTTGGCAGGGCGCGTCACTGGCGCGCAAATGAAGTCATCACGAAACGGCCGTGTCGTTGCTTATTATGCGGTTCAGGATTGTACGAATCTTATTTGACCCTCGTCCCTGATCGAACTATTCATGATGGTATCCCATGTTTAGCATTATTGGTTCTCTTGAGCTTTTATTGCAAGGCTTTGAAAAAGAAAAGTACAGCAAAGGAAAAACAAATGCGTAACCGTCACTGCTTACATGGTGCCATTAACCGGGCCGCTCCGGGCCTTCGCAGCGTCAAACAGGGCCCGGATGTCGACCTGCCATTGTGCGAGATCGGGCCGGAGGACACGGCGGTCGTAGGTGACCAGGCCGTTGACCTCGCCTTCGACATCGGTCGTCTGTGTCCAAACGCCGCCGCTGCAGGCGTACATCTCGACCTGCTCGCGGAATTCTCTCAAGAGGACGCGCCCACGGTAGTTGTAGGCTTCGAGGTTCTCGATGATTTCGTAGGTTGAATCGATCGAGTCGATGGCTTGCTTCACGTTCCAAAGGCTAAAAGCAATGTCAGTTCCTCCATATCCACGTCGAGCTCAACATGGGACTCACTGCTCAATCGAAACATTGTGGCCAATGCCTCCAAACTCGCCCTGGAATCCGATGCGTTTCTTATCGTAGGGAGAAGATGCGAGAGAGTAGAACGGTGTGCCACATTGAGGGTTAGCGTAGTGGTGGTTGTCAGAGTAGTCACCGAATCCGTGATCATACCAGCCGCTGTTGGCATTGATGAGTCTCGTGGGGTCGATTCCGCGAACGACTTCAACCAAGTGGGCCTCGGGGTAAGGCGCATCCCTGAGTTGGCCCCAGCCTTCGTTGTAGATAGTCCAAGTGACGATGCTGGTATAGCTCTTGTGCTCCTCAACCATGAGCTTCAGCTGACGCTCAAATTCGGCTTGTTGGTCGGCGTTTGGTAGTCGAGCCGCGTTGGATGGCAGACTTGGCATGTCCTGGATGACCAGCAGGCCAAGGGTGTCGCAAGCGTGGTAGAATAGGTCTGGCTCAACTTTGATCTGCGAGGTATCAGCTTCCGAGCCCCGGGGGGGGGGGGGGGGGGGGGGAAAAGAAAATAAAAACACCCCGGTGTTCGAAACCCGTTTATTTCCCAGTTTCTTGTAACCCTCTAACACGGAGGACTTTCCCCCCACCCCGGGGGGGGGGGGGGGTTGCAAAGTAAATGATAAACCTACGTGCTTGCGAACCATGTTCATTCCGATGTTCTTGATAACCTTCAGATCGTAGGTCATTGCCTCTACACTCGGAGGGGTATGGAGCCCATCGGGCCAGTAACCCTGGTCGAGGGTTCCGAACATGAAGATGAACTCTCCGTTAAGTAGCGGACGCTTGATGCCGCCGACGATCCCGGTTGAAATTGTACGGAAGCCAGTGTAGCTGAAAACTTCGTCGCTGCCTAATCTCAAGGTGATGTTGTACAGGTTGGGGTTTGTCGGAGACCAAGCGTCTGGGGATGGCACGGTGAAGTTGAACGCAGTTCCCGAGCTGCCGTTGCCCGTTCCTACTGGATTCCCGTCGTTGTCGAGGATCGTAATTTGAACCTTCGATGAGGTGTTGGAGGAGCTGTGGACAAGCGCATTCACTACGAGAGGTTAGAATTGACATATTCTGACGCAAAACAATGTCTCCGAGTGCTCATTACCATTTCCGTTGTGGTCAGCTGAGAGATCCAGCTTGGTGATGTAGGTTGACGGTGTGCTCTCTAGCCAGACCGTCTGCCAGATACCAGAGCATGACCGGTAGAAAATGTGCGAAGGGGCCCTCGTCTGCTTGCCAATTGGGATTACGTATCCATCCGCGTCTGTGGGATCAAACACAAACACCAGCCTGAAGACTCTACAGTTAGATCGCGGGATCGCCAGGAGCTGCCCAGAGAAAAGTGCTCACAAAGTGTTGTCTCCACCAGCATTGAGGTAGGGCGTCGCATCAACCGTGAAGCGGAAGTATCCTCCACGGTGGAAACCAGCCTTCTGACCATTGATGAAAACGGTCGCCTCGTAGTCAACAGCTTCAAAGTTGAGAAGCACCGATTGGTTTCCCCAGCTACTGGGCACTTGGAACGTCGTTGCGAGCCAAAAGTGAGTGACACCGAGCTCCTGTATCCCAGACAATCCGCTCTCAATGCACGACGGAATGAGAATTTCCCGGTCGAGCACGGCGCTGGTCGGCGGGTGATTGACATCGTCGTCAGCGCTCGCGGCCCGGTAGGTCCACAGGCCGTTCAGATTGAGCCATTTCTCTCTGCGGAGCTGCGGGCGTGGGTGTTCCGGCCACGGCTTCGTTCCGACCTGGGTTGTCCAGTCTGTGTCGAGGGGCGGGCTCTGGACCTGGTAAGGTTCCGCGGTCCCCCCCGTTGGTGCTGAGCCTCTGGCAGTCGTCGTTGCGGTTTGCGCGTTGGCGGCGACGGTGAATGACAGCACCGCCGCTGCGGAAGAAAGGAGTGACTGCGTGAGACGCATCGTGGGAATTGGGACTGGACTCGCGCGCCGGATGAAGAATGGAGAGAGAGGGAGTCCCAGTCTCAAAGGGGCTAGTCGACGGGAACTTGGGAAGCTATCGACAGAAGCTGCGAGAAAGAAGTAAAGAACGAAGGATAAAGCGCGAACAAGAGGGGTCAAAGCATTCAGGGAGGAATACTCCTGTTATACTCTTAGCCTGCTTGAGAAAGTGAGGAAGATTTAAAGTTTCTTCGCACTTGGGACGATCGTTGACATTCAACTGACTTGTAAGCATTCGTATTAACACCTGCGGCGCGCACAGCTTCCTCGGCACACATCAGATTCTCCACCACTCCCGGACATCTCGGCATTGAGTCAAGTGATATGGTTTTGGGACCTGACTTGGCGCGGGAAGAAGCGACCGCAGGCTTTTCGAAAGTTCCTTGCAGCCCAAGGTTGGGCTCGCGGTGAGTCGGTGGCGTGCCATTTCAAAAAAATACGAATGCAATGTTGCGCGCCGGTGAGTTAGTATTTCCCCGCACTCGAGGAATCAGCGTTCAGGGCGAATGTCTGGTTTCCCTTGTCTTGGCCGCTGCGCCATGAGGGGAAGATCATGCAGGATTCAGCCTAGTGCTACTACGCCGTGTTGGTTGGTTGGGTCGTCCGATGGCATAGGAGGACAGAGGACCGTCGCAAATAAGCCCAAGAAGCCCTTAGTCTTGCACTATGTAGGTTGGTACAATGGGCAGCACGTGGAGTTGTTCGACGGGTGGCACAAAAGTGCTGCATGATGTGGTCATCTGGAGAGGGGGAAATGGCTGGCCACAAGACCTCAGGACGGTTGATCTTGTCTATTCTCGAATGTCGAGCAGAAAGGGCCGTAAGCTTATCTACCTAGTTTAGGCTGACACCTGTGGCCGACGACGTTGAATGGGACTGCGGAAAAGGAGAAGCGGTGCGGATACTGTATGCCCGTCTGAAAATTCCAATCCCTGACCGACCATTCCCTTGTTCCCTATCCCCAAAGATCCCATCCTGAGGAGGTGCAGCCGCTACATGAGAGGGATCTGGAGCATCATGCTGGTTTAGTTCTTGGGACGAAGGAGTGATCGACAGGTTCTCTCGACTAGAAGAACGCCAAAATCGTCCGGTTCTCGTGGCGAGCTGTCACCACTTGCCAGATTACAAGGGATCAAAAGACTTTGTCCACTTCTCCTCATCCATCTATCTCGAGCTAGCCCAAGTCATCGGACATCTGCATCTCAACAGGCACGACACCATCCGAGAGTCTTGCCTTTCCTCCACTTTTCTCGCTGATGCGGGGAGCGGTAGATTCAGTGAGCATACCCGACTGGCTCTCCTTTCTCTCCTCGTCGCGGGAGGGGCTGAACCTTGTTTAATCCCCGGACCATGCATGCGGGGGGATGGCTTGCTCGAGATCGACGGCAAATGTCTTATTTTCCCACTTTTCCTCCATCGGCCTGGGCCCAGATGGGCGTGGGTAAAGTGGAAACTATCCAGGTGATCCTTCCTTTTGTTTCAAGCGATCCAATGGTCTTGTTGATACTGAACTGATCATTGCCATCCGCGGCGTACTTATGATTTTCACGTGGATACATGTCTTTGGGCATGTCCCGGGTGTTGACGGAATAGCGGTCATGACCGTCTGGCCCCATGATGAGCTTGGGAGCAAGTCGACCAAGATACGTGACACTGGCATACACTCGCAAATTGAATGATGGAACCATGCCCATGCCGGATACATCTTCACTCCATCGCTGCAACCTAACATCCCCGCACGTTTCTCAGTGGTTGCCCAACCTGGATTTCTTGTCGTTTTTGACCGTCGATCCAGGTGCAGTACGGATGAACATGTGTGGTCCATTTGACAGAGTTACTGTACACCAAGGTGCCGTGGAGATCACGCAAACGATCTTGGTCAGAAGGCGCACATAGTTGGTGTTGGGTCTTGTGAGCAATCGCAATTCTTTGCGGCTTCTGGCTTCGTCGTCGAATTCGTGTTTCCCAGTCTTATATCGGTTATCTAGTCATTACATGGATGTCTGTGATGATAGTTTCTCAGGGTTATGGCTTGAACCAAATCGATGGCGATTCTTTTCCCTGCCTCTTCGATCCAAATCGCCCCGAATCGCTTCTTGTGCCCTTTAGACTTGGAATAAAGTAAGACAGGAATATGGTCATTCGTACACAGTCTCTTGGCAATGACCCAATTCTACAGTCAGCCTCGTGCGAGCAGCAATTTCTGCGAACAGACGCAGCGCGCCTCACTTTCGCAATCTTGACCGTCTGATTGTACCGAATGCTTCGTCTGAACACATGTACCTACCCGAAACGTGGATGTGGATGCATTAGTCCACCCTTTATCAGAAAGTTTCGGATCACCAGGATGGGAACATCGCGAAACACCAATCATGAATCAAGCTAACGAGCGAGCTTGTGGCCGTGAGGGCAATCGCCTGTCTCAAATTGAAACTGGCACCAACTCTAAAGTTTCCTGGGCCTGTCATCAATTTGCGGTCGAAACTGAGGGAAAAGCCTGTCGCCGCCATCTTCAGTTCTCGTGCGGTCCGGAGGTACGATGTGGCTTTCTTATGACAACTGAGGGTCATTCGGAAGCGCGAGGCATACTAAATTTTCCCACAGACTTTGTGCATTTAAATGTATCTGTATCACGTTCGAAATTTCGAGTCCCAGGACAAAAATAATGCCTAGAAGTATAGAGAATAAGTTATCAAAGAGATCATCAATTTATAACGACGTTCTATTGACCCGCTCTCGTCAAGGGCTAATTGAATATCCTACTACTGTGTATCCAGATTTGAACTAAAAAGATCATCAGCGCGAAAGTAACCCTATCCGACGGAGTTATGATAGATTTGTTTCAGTAGGTTGTATGGCTCGGCCTCATGTCTGCAATTTTTGCTTCCTTGCTAAGGACAGAAAGCGCCGGTGTTGCCTCTGACTTCACTCAGATTCGAGCTCATTGTAAATAAGTGATGGACAATCGTAGAATCAAATGTATGCGGTGTGTATCTCCGTGTTGATTTCCTCACCCACAGTCCTTCGACGGGAGCACTCACCATGGCCGAAGCAGGCTCTTCCCAACTTTCTCAATGCTAGAAACCTGAGATTGGCTCATCTCACGCGCTTAAAATCTTGAATAATGTGATAAAGATCATCAGAGTGATAATCTGAACCACTAATTCAAATCATTTGCGATTTTATTGAGCTCTGGCTTGGATTGAGAATGCAATTTCGCTCAGCATCGCAACATCTAAACGCCTGCGAGAGAGGCACGCGTGCCTGTTTGTTACTTTACCTTATGTGACATGTACTGTGTGGAATTTCTATTATTCGTAATTGATATGATCGCGGCTTTCCAAGATGCGGATATTGTGTTCTGTTGAGACTGTTTTCAAGAGCTCCAATGTCTACTTTCATTACGAAGTGCGGCGCTCTGCACAAATTCCTACTGGTGAGCAAATTCCATGACGCGTTTGATATGGCCCCAAGATACGCGACCTTCTTTTACTGAACTACCTTAGGCCTATCTTTGCGGCTTGGTCAATAGAGTGACATTACAAGATAAGCAATGTGCATAGATGCAATGCTCCAGATAAGAGCTCACTCTGCATTGGTTATCTGCACAAGCACATCTCGTATTACCCCGCGGTCCTGAGAGTGAGGCACAACAAATACCGATAATTCGTCTCTCAAGTTACAGTGCTGCGGCTTCTCAGGGCACAATTGACCGATCCGGTGGCATTGCAGACGAAATTCAGCTATCTATTGTCGATATGAAGCAGTTTCGGGAGACTTATGACAGGGATAACGGGGATGTTGGTTATCACAACGATACTACTCGGCCCGTGGTGTATGACGACCTCGACCCCTTTGGACATGAAGAAAATCATCAGGTGCGTCTAGTCTTCAGAGTCCCAAAGAAGAAGGCCAGAATGTTGTTGGATTGACAACAGACTGCAGATCAAATACAAGACGATGTCCTGGAAGCTTGTCGCGGTGCTCATGATAGCCGAAATCGTAAGCAACGGCATGCTGTCCTTACCATCGTCCTTGGCGGTCGTCGGCATAGTCCCAGGAGTGATTCTCATCGTCTTTCTCGGCATATTCGCGACCTACACATCATGGCTTCTTGTGCAGTTCAAACTACGGCACCCAGAGGTCCACTCCATGGGCGACGCTGGCCAGATCCTCTTCGGGCGGCCGGGGAGGGAACTCCTCGCCTTCGGGACCATCGTCTTCGCCGTCTTCGCTACGGGCGGGCAGCTGCTGGCGGGACAGATCGCCCTCGCGACACTGAGCGATAATAAACTGTGCCTGATGCTCTACACCGGCATCTTTGCCATCCCGACCCTGCTCTTCAGCTTCCCGCGCACAATGGACCAGCTTTCCTGGCTCTGTATCCCTGCCGTCCTCTCGATCCTCGTCGCCGGCATCGTAGGCATGGTCGGCGCCGGCGTCCACCCGGCACCCGGCCGGCAGGTCAGCGTCGCCGTGTCGTCCGACTTTTACACGGCCTTCATCGCCATCACCAACCCTGTCTTTGCGTACGCGGGCCACTTTATGTTCTTCATCCTCATGTCGGAGATGCGACGGCCGCAGGAGGCGATGAAGGCGGCGTACACCCTCCAGGGCTTCGCGACAACGTTTTACGCCGTCTTTGCGGTCGTGAGCTACGTCTACCTCGGCAGCGAGGTGGCTTCGCCGGCGTTCAGCAGCCTGGAACCGAGATGGGCCAAGGCGGCGTACGGGATCGCGATACCCAATTTCTTACTTGCCGGGTCGCTCTATGCGCACACGGCGGCGAAGCTGGTGTTTGTACGGATTTTCAGAAAGAGTCATCACCTGCATAGCCACACGGCGGTCGGGTGGGGGACGTGGGCGGTTCTGGTGGTGCTCATGAATGGCGCGGCGTTCGTGCTCGCGGTGGGCGTGCCGATTTTCAACTACCTCATCGGCATCGCGGCGAGCTTGTTCGCAGCGTGGTATACGTATGGCATCGCGGGCGCGTTCTGGCTGCACGATAACTACCACGACTATGATGGGTGGAGGCAATGGGCGCGGAAGTGGTTTCAAGCCGCGGCGGCGGTGCTCACGTTTGCCGTTGGTGGCTTCATTTGTGTTGCTGGGACGTATGTTACGGTGAAGGGCATTGTGGAGGCATATGAGTCTGGTGCAGTGGGGGAGCCTTTCAGCTGCTAGGCTTGAGGCTTGTTACTGAGGAAGCCATGCGAAATTGAGCCATTGATGCGATCGTAAAGGGAATGCCATAGAGAAATCCAAAGTCTGCCCAAAATTCCTCTGTTCCCAAGGCCATGATAGGGGACATCGATGTCTTGGATATCGCGACCCGGAACCCTCTCTGAGGCTGTACCCGCCGATCAGCAACATGTTCAGGACACAAAGAAAGTAGAAGACTGGGCACTTGGATTTGACAGGAATAGAATCGAGTTGTAACGGAAACAGCCACACAGCCTGCGGTCCGTTGGCGGGAACCGTTGGTAATCGTGTCCATACAGTCCATATTGTGTAATTCCACGCGAGCCAGGGCTGCATCCGGTCATATCTCTCGTAACGGATGTACTCCCAACCGTATTGCTCAGCCACATGACGCCAACTGCAGCATACGCTGATTGGACATTGCTAGCAGCATGTGAAGCGGAATACTGTGACTGCGTTGGCGGCTGGCCAGGGGAGTGAGCTGACAGAAGATTCTATTCAAGTGTCCCTGAAGCGGAGACGAAGGACAAGGGTCTCCCTGAATGACGTCAAGCTCGGTGTTGGAGACCGCATTTGTTCCGTTCCATGCTCTCCTCCCCCGGCTCCCCTCATATGCACCATGCTCCCTTTAGTCTCACTCTAATTCGTAGTCTGACATATCATCCCTGAGCTGTGGCCGCTTGCAAAGGTGTGGTGGTGTGTGCCATCCGTTGATTAATTCTCATAAACCTCCATCGAATCAGACGAGACACGCGATCAACCAAGCACCAGGACGCCGTCGGGCAGGGCTTCAATCCCCTGTGTTTCACTAGTTCCAGTCTTGGCATCTCGATGGAACCGACTCTCAATCCTCGATTCTATGCCCAGAAAGAAGACGCCCAGCGTCGCATTCATACAGCGTCCGGGTTGCCAAGATGGCCTGCCGATGATGACTGGTGAAGTCATCGCGGCCAATTGCACCCAAGTGGGCACCCAATCGCCGCGAGCGCGCCAACGCGGTTGGTTCCTGGATTGGATCCATCACCGACCGGCCTTCCAACCCTTCCAAGTTTTGGCTGGCGTGCTCTTCTCCCCGTTGCGCCGGCGCCAGCCACGATCCGCTCCCCACCTCTTCGCTTGTAGAGACGTCTTTGATGGAAACGGTATGATAGTGTGGCGTTCTCGTTGAGGCTTTCAGTTCGTCCACGACTCACAGCCCACACCGGACGGCCACACCCCCCCCCCCCCCCCCCCCCCCCTTGGAGAGGCGTCCTTGGTGGAAACGGTATGATAGGGTGGGGTTCCCGTTGGGGCTTTCAGTTCGTCCACGCCTCACAGCCCACACCGGGCCGCCACACCCCCCCCCCCCCTCCCTATGCCTCCTTGGGCCCGGCAGCTGTCTATCCAGCGTCCATCGTTCTCACTGTACCGTCGGTTGAATCTGCGGTGTTACTTTTGGCGCTACCTATTCATGGCAGAGGATGAAAGCTCATCCCCGCGTTTTCGATTTCTTGGATTTAGGGCCAGGCCTAAAGTCGCCTTAGCCAGGGATCCAACTTCTAGAATGAGATGGGGAACCACCACGTCTCTTTTCTCCCCCTGGCGTGGATTCTGATTCTTATTCTTTTTCTTCTTTAGACTTAAACGTCAATGTTTCTTATCCATATTCTCACAGGGCCGCCACGAACCCCCAGGTCCATATTATCAATCTCAAAAGCGGCCTTCATCTTCCAATTCTGTCACTTTTGTCATCTATTGCCCAAATAGTAGTAATCTTCTCTCCCAGACCTCAGTCTCTGTCCCTGCGAAAGGAGTGAGCTCACAGGCCCTGCCATCCCTCTCCTGTGATTGCGGGCGATGTGACAACCCCTACCACCCAACTGCAGGTGGCGACATCATAGTGTGCCTCGAACCGTCCAACCGCCATCCGCACGTCAGAGCCTCCCCGTCACTATCTTGCATCCCTGACGGAACAGCCGTTTTGGTTGCCACGCCCTCTCCGGCTCTCACGATGTCCTTTGTAAACCTCTCCCGCCCCCCTCTCGACCATCGCCCCCCTCTCGACCATCGCCCTCATAGCGATACACACGTCCGACCCAAGTTCAATTCGCAAAACACATCTGACCGTCTAAGAGAAGGGTCAGGTCTGCGACCCAAGCCGTATCCAATGGTCAGCAACATCAAAAAGGGCAGGAAATCGGTTTTCAAGGAGCTGGGACTGGACGACGACTTCAGCGACGATTGCAGCTCGCCCGTCGCTGAGAGTTTTCAACAGTCCTGCGGCCGACAGGAATCGATGGCCGGCGAGAAGGAATTTGGAGATGTGCCTGGGCGGGGGGAATCGAAACGCTACGGCACTTCCAACGATGACGAAGACGATGTAGAAGATGACGGCGATGGGGACCGCAGACGTTCCGAGACTGACCAGCGCGAGACGGCGGCCGAGTCCAGACAGCCGAGCTCAAGTCAAGCTGTGAAGCTGTCTTGGTACAGCAAGCTCTCCCAAGGTTATCGACGGCCGAGGATCAAGACGGTCTCTAGCGCACCACCGCCAACGATCTCCAGTCTGCAGCGGCTCGGCATGATTGCCATGCTCATCGCGGTCATCATTCCGGCATTCAGTTATAACAATGGTCGCCAGAAAATTGAGAGCGGGGCGGTCGCTGGTGTTATACGGCCCCGAGCAACGTCGCCGACGAACGTTTGTCTGAGATGGGCTCAGCAGGGTGAGTTTTAGCAGAAAATGGATGAACGACTCTGCTAATGGTGACCAGCGGCTTTACTTAACGGGACCCTTTACATGTACGGAGGTCAATCCAAGACGGAGGCTTCGCAAACCGTCAACACTTGGAGTACGACCTGCAAACCCCTCGATTGAGGCTTAGAAAAGAATCTGACGTGCGTGTATAGACAATGACTTCCTCACACTCGACCTGAAAAGGTCATGGGACACGAAATCGCCCTCTATGAAGGGTATGACGATACCCAATGGCCCTCCCGCAGTCGCAAACGGCTACTTGTGGCACGACTACGACTATCTCTACCTCTACGGCGGTCAATTCGCGGACAACGACGGCGCAGAAGGCACGTATGCCACGGTTGCTCCCATGTCAATCTGGCGATACTCCGTCAAGGACAGCTCCTGGCTCGAATTCAGCGACCCCCGCACATCGGCCGGAAACTACTCAACTGCGGCCAACACCCCCGTTCAACGCTCCGCCGAGGGCGCCGGCATATCAGTGCCCGAGCTCGGGCTGAGCTGGTACTTTGGCGGCCACCTCGACTGGCTGACCACCGCGGGCTGGTCGACTCAGACTCCGAGGGTGTACCTCAAGAGTCTGTTGGAGTTCACTCACCCTGGGTTCCTAAACACCGGGGTCGACGCCCTTCGGGCTGCCGGCGCTGCCGACGGCGGGGTCTTTCGCAACGTCACCGAGGGCGGATTGCAGGAAACCGACGCGTTCCCGGAACGAGCTGACGGTGTCTTGGTTTTTGTGCCCGGGTGGGGTGCCAGAGGCGTGTTGGTCGGCATGGCGGGAGGTTCCGACAAGACGTTTGTCGACGACCTCGGCACCCTTGACGTCTACGATATCGCCACGTCCGAGTGGTATCATCAGAGGACGACGGGCGACACCCCATCCGTCCGCGTCAACCCATGCGCCGCTATCGCGAGCGCCCCGGACGCCTCGAGCTTCCAGATCTATTTCTTCGGCGGCCAGAATCTGCAGCCCTTTGTAAGTTTGGACTACGATTACGGGAGACACTCTTGGTGGCTAATCTTCGATGCAGGGCAACCAGACACAGTACAACGACATGTACATCCTTTCCATCCCCGCCTTCGCCTGGATCAAAGTCGACGCAACCGACGGCGTCCCCGCCCCCCGCGCCGGCCACACCTGCACCATGCGCGACGGCCAAATCATCGTAGCCGGCGGCTACCTTGGCTCCGACGCCGGCTGCGAATCTCCTGGCGTCTTCGTCTTCGACGCGAGCAACCTACAGTGGAACAGCGGCTTTGTGTCCGGTGCCCACGCGGCGGACTTCAGCTCCGAAAACTCCGTCCTGGCCGGGTCCTACGGCTACAAGGTCCCCGGCAAAGTCCAGAGCGTCATCGGCGGCAGCTCCGAGGGCGGGGCCACCGCCACGACACCCGCGGCCGGTCCGGCTACGGGTGGGCCGTTCAAGACGGGTACGCCGCCCGTTTTTACCGTCACACAGGGTGGCGCAACGGCTACTGTTACGGGCGTGGGACCTACGAGCACGGCTGCGGGCCCAGCGCCGACAAAGGAGGATGGAGGCGGAACGAACCCTGGTCTCATCGCGGCGGGCGTCATTGCCGGTATACTGGGTGCGCTGGCCGCGTACCTCGGCTTCTGCGCGTGGTTGTACCGTCGCCAGGTCGCCGCCTACAAGCAGCACCTGTCGCAGGTGAACCGGTACTCGGGTGCCAGCTCCACGCACTTTGGGGCGGCGGGCTTCTTTGGCGGGAATCGCGGCGAGGAGAGGAGGGAGCGCGGTCACCGCCGTGATACCAGTACCGTCAGTGACGAATCCTTTTCGTGGGTCGGCACCGGCGTTGAACCCAAATGGATGACGGACGATCCGGCCCCGGGCTTTGGATCCGGCGGCATGGCCAGCGGTAGCGGCGCCGCCGGCGGTCTGAAGCGGAAGAGCGAGGACGTGAGGACGTTCAAGAGCGGGCCGAGTGGGAATGATCCGCGCACGAGCTCGAGCAGGCGCGACAACACGGATAACGAGAGCGTTTCTAGCACGGAGCAGCTGCTAGATGGGCAGGAGCCGAGTTTCTTCTCGGTCGTCATGGGGCCTAGACGGGCTTTGCGGGTTGTCAACAGCACCGAGTAATGAAATCTGACATGAAAATAATATCTGGAGAGACAGAGGGGGGGGGGCGAGCGGGATAAGCACACACACGAGGATACACGACTTTTTCCTGTATTTACACACACACAAGTCCAAGAGGGAGGGGGAAAGGGGGAGGTAACCCGCAATCGCTAGATACCCTTCTCATCATGTACACGCTTTTTTTCTCGTTGAACTTTTCATATCAAAAATGAGAAAACCTTGACACCAACGTCTCCATCCAGGTCGCAAGGTTGCCCTCGGGAGTCGGTGTTTCCTTGACCGCCTCTCCAGAAACCTGCGGAAACGATCGTCGTCCCGTCTTTTTCCAATTGACTTTGGCCCGTATGTCTTGGGTTTGTGGAACGTGCTCGCCGCCACCTTTTGAATTGAGTTGATGGGTTTCAGACCAGCGCATGCAGAGACAGACGGATGCATGGCCATCTGAGACAAAACCAACGACCATTGGCGGAGAGCAGTACGATTTTCCAAGACAGCTTTGGACAAAAACTCCCAATCAATAGTGAATTAAAGCTTGCACAAACGCACATTAGCCAAGACAACATGGACTCGTCGAATACTTTGGGCCGGACAGAGAGGAGGGACGTGCCGGGTGAGCTCGTACAGCTCGTACAACTCGTACAACTCGTGCCAAGGCACCGAAATTGGGGAAGGAACATGCCAGTTGATTGAGTTAGTAAAAGTATCACCCGCACGGAGTACTCGAGTCGTGTCTCTCCATGTCTCTCCATAGCCATTCCGGATGGCTCTAGCTCGCAGAAAGGCGGCACTCGGTCCTTCAACGCTTGTATACTCGTTCATTCGGAGGCTCGCGGATGAGGGAATTTGCTCGAAATGCTGAAAAAGATATTATACAATTATGTACACGGTGAATTCAAAGTTTGCGATGGAGCCCGCACTAGACCCCAAAGCATCCTGTCATGGAGAAGCTGTGGAGAAGTACGGGCAGCCCGTTGACTCGTCAATTGTTCATGGGCTGGCATCCCTATCAAACCTTGATTCTTGATGCTATTTCTGCGCACCGGTGTGCGCGATCAAGAGAGGTTCTTCCCCCAAACGTGTCTCTACAGACTATCAGGACAAGTAAGAAAACGTCTCGACCAGTCTTTGACTCTTGACGGGTCTTTAGGTAACGCGTTCCTGAAGACCTGTCACATTTCCAATCTCTTGACTCGTACCCACCTGAAAAAAATCGACATGGTCCTTGTGGCGACATCGACAGCATCGCCGTTCCCCTATAAAGGGTTACAACGTCGTCCCGTCACGTCATTGCGTATCCCCAGGGTCCTGACTCAATGTGCCTCCCATCACACCCACATAGCCCTAAACAAAGCAACTCCCGGTAATACCGATGTGCCATAAAGATGAACTCTAAAACGCAGGCAGTCCGCGGCGAGAGAGTCCCACTATTTGGGCCGGCCGAGATCTATACGACTCTGTACCTGGCGCGGCGTTCGGGTTTTCCTGCGCGAACCATCCAACCTACCCCATTCGTCCCAGCCGACGGTGGCTGATTGGCACATCGACACAACCTCAACCACCCACACACACCCCTCACTCACTTTACCTAACGCTAATGTCGCGGGCCGGCCTGTCCCCCACACCAGACGGGCATGCCGTGGTGCCGGCGCCTCTTTTCTTGCGAGGATCAACAGCCGCTAGGCCTCATTCCAGAGCTCTCGCGAACATCGCATCATTCAGCTGCGATGGCACGAATTCCAATCCCTCCACCCGGCGCGCTGGCGGAGGAAGAAGCGTAGGAGGATGGTTCATGTTTGTTTATAATGGGCGGAGGAGAACCACTCCTCCTTCAACATCTCTTTGGATAGCCTCATCAGTACAGTTCAAACACCCGTCGGTACCAAAACCTAGCTCTCGTTCATAGGTTTTCTCTCTTTCCTTGTCGCTCTTTAGCACTCCCCCGCCATGAAGTTCTCTCTCAGCTCCCTCGTACTGTCAGCAGTATCGAGCCTTGTCCTTGCCCTGCCCATCGAAGAGACCCAGATCTACGACGCCATCATCGTCGGCGGTGGGCCGTCTGGTCTCGCCGCCGCGAGTGCCCTCGGCCGTGTGCGCCGTCACACCCTCCTCATCGACTCTGCCGAGTACCGCAACGCGCCCACAAGACACATGCACGATGTCCTCGGCTTTGATGGTGAGTATTCACTGCTCAATGACCATGTCTACCATGTCTGTGTATAGTTACTAAAGCACAACCAGGCGTCACTCCGGCGTGGTATCGCTACTCCGCCCGCAAGCAGATTGCATCCTATGAAACCGTCACCTTGACCAACGGCACAGTCACCAAGATCGGAGGCAGCGATGCCACCGGCTTCGTCGTCACCGCCAACTTCGCCGACAAGTCGACCAAGACCGTGCGTGCGCGCAAGATCGTTCTGGCCACCGGTGTGAAGGACGACCTCCCCGAGACCCCGGGTCTGTGGGAGAACTGGGGCAAGGGTATCTTCTGGGTATGTCTCGCGGGCATCTTGTCTCACGCCACACGTTTGATCCTAACAAAATCCCCCTTCCAGTGCCCCTGGTGCGACGGCTTCGAACACGCAGACCAGGCCCTCGGTCTCTTGTCCAACTCCTTTGACGAATTCCCCTCCCTCGTCCGCGAGATCCTCACCCTCAACACGGACATCATCGCCTTCGCCAACGGCACCGACACCCCAGCCGCCCGCGCCGAGACCGAGGCCAAGAACCCCAAGTTCCAAGAGTACCTCGACATCCACAAGGTCCCCATTGAGAACCGCACCATCACCCGCATCACTCGCCTCAAGGACGGCGCCTACCCGCCCCACGACCCTGCCCTGCCCACCGCGCCCGAGCACGACCTCTTCTCCGTCAGCTTCAGCGAGGGCGAGCCCGTCCAGCGCGCCGCCTTCTTCCTGAGCTACCCGGACGAGCTGCGCAGCAGGATCGGCCCCGAGGCTGGCGTGCAGCTTTGGGGCGGACGCCTCGCTGCTGATGTGTCCAAGGGTTATTTGACAAACGTGCCGGGTATCTACGCCATTGGCGACGCCAACTCGGATAACAGCACAAACGTCCCTCACGCGCTGTACTCGGGCAAGAGAACTGCAGTCTTCCTGCACGGTAAGCTTTATCCAACTCGCTTTCTAGGGGGGCTCTCTGCGATAAATACTAATGATTGCGGCAGTCAAACTCGCAAAGGAGGACCAGGCCAAGGAGACTGGCGTCAATGTCACTGCTTTGAAGAGAGGGTTGGAGATTGAGGAGCGCTCCTTCTGGGATGCCGCGAACGGCAAGCCCACCGACATTCTGTATGCCGGCGAGTACGACCAGTAATTATCGGATATGTGGTACACATATCTCACCAAAAGCATTTGATATTCGTCGCGACAGCGACCTCGGAGCTACATAATAGACATTGTTCGAATTTCCCACCTCATGCATGAATCATCAATGATTCTGTCACTCCGCCTCGTCTTCAATCTCAAGATTGCCCACCCGAAACTTCTTCCCCTTCATATCTGCATAGTCATTGTGATCGTGATAATCCCTCACCCGTTCCCTGACATACTGCAACCCCCTCACCGGCGCAGCCTCCTCCGCGTCTTCCCCGACAAGCCCCAGCCTCTTGAGCAGCGGCGACGGCGCAGGCTTGATATCGACCTCGTCACCGGGCCGCACAAAGTAGAACAACCCCTGCCGGAATAAATGAGCCTGGTCCTCGGGCGGCCGGACGACGCGGTGCGTCGTCGACTTGAGGTACCCCGCGGACCAAAAATCGAGCGTGTCGCCGACGTTGCAGACGATGCCGCCGTCCACGGACGGGACGTAGCGCCACGCGCCGCCCGAGCCCGACGTCTTGATCTGGAGACCTGCGACGTCCTGGCTCCAGAGGAGGGTGAGGGAGCCAAAGTCGGTGTGGGCGCGCGACCAAGTGTTGCCGACTTTGCGGTCGTCGGCGAGGGGCCGCGGGTGGTAGCCCATGTAGCGGAGGTGGTCTTCGCTCGGGGACGCGTAGGCGTGGCGGGAGGAGAAGTAGTCTTCTGGCAACTCGAGGATGATGGAGAAGAGGGTAAAGACTTTGCTTGCGAGGTCGAGGGAACGCTGATGGGTGGCTTGTGTGTGAGCGGGCAGGCTGGTGGGTGCTAAATCAAAGCAGAGACTTGGGCATATTGGGGGGGGGGATATCGTACTCTTGAAAAGTCTTCAATTTCATGCCGAAAAGGTTCGAAGAATGGATGGAATGGTTCGTCTTCGTAGTTTGGGATAAACTTGGCAATGTTGACGGATTCGACGTTGTTGAGCACATCCGTCCCCTGCATTTTCTTATCATGCGCCTAGTGCCTCATAAGTACTCACTTATTCCCTTTGAACGTGTTGTCAAACCGCCAACAGACTTACCGATCTATATCCAAAGTAGTTGCCTTTGGAAAAGTCGCACGTGTTGCCGGGTCTGGCCTTGTCTTCGACGGGAAGGTTGAAGAAGCCTTGGCCAATGTCATATTGGCGCTGCACTTCCTCAGGTGTGAAGCCGGTGTTGACGAGACTGAAGAAGCCGGTTTCGTGGACCTAGCAATCGGGTTAGATCGATTGAAAGTTTTTCCTGGGTGATTTTATCGTCGTACAGCTTGTCGAAGTTCTTCAGCAAGCTGCTTCTTTCCGCCTGGCTGGTCAAACTTGCTAATGTCAATCACAGCGATGTCTGCCCAAGGCAGTTCGTACTTGGTCTTCGCTGGCCGTTGCCATTTGGGCAGAGACGCTGGTTCAGGAGATATGGCTGAAGGCATAATTTCAACACTCAGCTTGTAGTAGTTTTCTTTTTCTTTGGCGAATTGATGCAACTTCTGCTTCCAGCGCAGAGGTTGAAGTCAAATCTCGTGAGGTCATAATTGCCCTTCATAAATACCCCTCCATCTGATGTAAAGCCGTTCGTTTCTTGCCCCGCGCGCCCGCCCACGCCACTCCCGTTGCGCCGCGTCGGAGTGAGATCGCCGGAATTCGAGCACGCCATCTTATCCGGGATGACGAGCCACATTCTCATGCTGGTATTGGGTTCAATTGTCCAATCACCGGCGCGATTCATCATCTCCAAAGATAACTCCCTCTTTCAAGCTGTCTTTATATTCGGTCTATGCCCGAAAATCTTTGATTCCCTCGATTTGCGTATTGAGTGAATCGAACCATGGGGAGAAGCCTCCTCATTAATCTAGGAGGTATTGGTTCCTGGTGACAGTAGGAAAGCATCTGCAGTATCACAAATATCACAATATTTTTCCAAGCCTTACCAGAGAGTCATCTGATTTCGATTTTTCGGCAAAGGTAACAAGGCATTTATTTTCCTTTTGTGTTGAAGGTCACATAACATGCGGGGGTGCCACACGTTTACAGTTTGAGACATGTTGAACTTCCGTCACTTTAAATTGTAATCTCTTAATCATTATCGGTGTGATTGGTTCACAGCTTCTGTCTCGATTAAAGTTAGTCTTTAAGCATGTGGCTGTTATCCCCGCCTATTGTAACGACTGGCGAATGCACGCAATGACTTCGTTGTCTAACTTTTGTCTTTGCCTCCATCCAAGTCTATTACGAAGACAGTCCATGCCCTCGTTACCACAAGTTCGAGGTAAAACATGGCATTCAGAATACAGACAACTTATCGGGAGTCACTGCTGAGGGATTCACTCAGAGCAAGACATCGACCAATGGGAATACCCTCAGTAGCGAACAGCAAGATGTTACATGGATAATGTTACTGTGCACATGGCCCCGCAGTAAGGCGTGCTTCGTGCAGACAAGTCTTGGCTTTGTATCTGCCGGTAATCGGCAGCAAGCTGTAGAAACTGTTATGAAAAGTGAGAGAGGCTGAATTTCATAGACTTTGATTAAATCACGGTCAATATTTTCTCTGGTATGTGGCAACCCGAGTACTTCTTCAAAAGCCATAAACCCAATTGTTTCTTGTCAAATTGTTGCCGCGACACTCCTTAGTAAATCTCAACGCAATCATGGGCGTCCAACCGAGCCCAGAGAGCAAAACACTCTCCCCCCAAGATGAAAAGTCTTCTCTCAAGATAGCTCATCGTAAAGTCGATAAGAGACTTCTGCTGTGGTACTCCTTCGTCTACCTCATCATGCGCATTCACGTCAGCAATATCAGCAACGCCGCCATCATCAACCTTGAACAAGGGACCGGCATCAAGAAGCAGCTCGGAAACCTCTCCAGTTCAGAATGGGCGTGGACGTTGAGCATCTTCTACTACCCGTACATGTTCTTTGAGCCTCTTGCCACGCTCGCGTTGAAGAGGTTCTCGCCTTCCGTCTGGATGAGTCGGATCATGATTACTTGGGTAAGTTTCGACATCCCACTTGACTTTGCGCTTTATTTTCTTCCCCCCATCTAACTCTTGACTAAAGGGAGTTATCTCGATGTGTCAAGGCGCAACTCAGAGTTATGGCGGCATTCTAGCCTGTCGGTTCTTCTTGGGACTGGCTGAAGCGGGGTTCTATCCCGGTGTTTTGTACCATCTGAGCTTTTGGTACCCGACACACCGACTTCCGCTCAGAATTGTAAGCTGAGAACCCCGATTGAGCCAGAAGAATGAGGTTTCTTACTTATGCTACCACAGGGCTTCTTCTACGCCTGCGGCATGTTTTCCGGAACAATCAGCGGTCTCCTGGGTAAGTGTCGGGGAAGTCCATATATGACTATACCATTATTAAGATCGATTGCTAGCTTATGCGATATCCTTCATGAATGAAATTGGTGGCCTTGCCGGTTGGAGATGGGTAGGTCGAGCTGCAACCATTTCGATATCTACTGAGACTGCCGGCTAACTTTCGGTGAAGCTTTTTATTCTCGAAGGGATTCCTGCCATCTTTTGTGGCGTCTACACATTTTTCTATCTGCCCAACTGTGAGTCAAATTATTGATTCCATTTTCTATCAAGATCTGCTCTCTTGGGTAATTGGCATGCTAACATTAGACCGACCCAAGACCCCGAGACTGTCTCATTCCTCGCAGATTCTGAAAGAGAGGCTATCCTCTCTGACCTCCCGGAGCAAGCGCCTACCATGATTTCAAAGACAATCAACTTCCAACAAGTCAAGGATCTTTTCAGTGACCCGACTTTCATTCCGTTTTTGATGATCTGGATTACGCACGGCATTGGCGGATGGGGCATCTCCTTCGTCTTGCCGACTGTCATTTACGAGCTCGGTATATCAAACACTGCAATTTCTCAGGTGATGACCATGGTAAATTCAACATCTTCCCTGCCATATTTGGGTAATACGGATACTGATTCGTGTTTAGCCACCTTTTACGCTAGTCTTCGTCATACTCTTGACGCTGGCCTTTTTCGTTCATACAAAGCGACTCAGTCCATGGGTCGCTGGCCTGGGACTAGAAGCCGCCCAAATCGTCTGTTACGTACTCCTCATCACAGTCAAACAGCCCATTGCCAAGTAATGGCTTCCGAATGCACTAATAAATGTCTTTGAGGCTGACCTTTGAGCCAGGTACATCTTTGTCATGATCGCAACCGCGGCATCTCAGAGCTTCTTCGCCATAATATGGCCAGGTACGCATCACACTCTCACGTGGGATCAAAGATCATCGGCGGTTCATACGCTAATAAATTGACCATGCAGAGCGCATCCGAGCCGCAAAGGGAACGACAAGTGCGGGCCTTGCTATTGGTGTGACCAATGTAAGAAAGCCAAAAAAATCTTTTCAGACTTGGAGTAAAGCTAATCAGCGTTTTACAGGCGTCTTGTCAGCTTATGGGCATTGTTGTATGTGTACCATGCTGTGATGCCTCGCGCAATGGCTACGTTTCTAACAGATTGAACAGGGTCCCCAGATATACCAGTCAAGATTCGGCCCTACCTACCGGGTGAGCTACGCCTGCTCCATTGGCCTGCTATGCGGAACACTTCTGGCGGTTTCAGCTGCGTGGTTCTTTGTGGTGAGGAAAGACTGGAATGAGACAAACCAAGGAAATATCGGAGCAGAATTGGATTCAGAGACTGGTAGTCATACAGGAGCAGCCATGGCCGAAAGAAAGTCTTGATTGAGGATACTAAGGTCTGCATGGTACGCCATTGAAATAAGATGCTGCCCCTGCATAGCTTCATCCTGGATGGTACCTAGACCTTGACAGTCCTCTTCCTTCACGACTCGGTGGACCCATAATCTGGCCCAATGAAGGAATACGAAAAGACTATTTTTTTAGGAGGAATAAGTACTTAGCATCTTGAATGAGTACCTAAGCAGAGCTACAGGCTAGTTTAAAACGCAGCGAAAAGTAAGGGAAACCCGCTTCATCGACAACCTAGTAATCCGTCCCACCTCTTCTAGTAACGAGGAGAAACCAGACCTAGAGTTCATCTTCCTACCAACCTAAGGCAAAGAAGAGCCCAATTGCAGTGGACGGCTGGTTAAGAAATTGGTTTCACATGGCATGGTTGGTCTTGGTGTAAAGTAGCTTATGGCGCTTGTCGTGCACGAATTTTCGCTCTTTCCGCTCCGCAAGCCTAGCTATCTCGGACTGCGAGCTCACCTGGCTGGGTGCTTTTGAGACTGAAGGCTTGTCAGCAGCCACATCTATGTACATACTAAATGGAAAATATGCCTTTTGATATCGTAGTGTTGCAGATGCGTGCTGTATATCTTTACTGTTTTAAACCCACTGAAGATAACACAGGACGAGAAGGAGCGAAGTATAACAGGAATCTCGACATTGAAATATCCAATGCGAAAAACTCACCCCTCAGATAGTATAAGTGCTCAATAACACGCTGCCCACAAGATCATGGGCCCAGGACTCCTGAGGAGGCAGAGAAGCTTTGCACTGTTTAAGGTGGTGTTCCTCCCTCCGATGTACTAATCCACCCCAGACTTGAAAAGTACTCGGGGGGGAAAAGTCTAGATTCGAATACACCCGAATTGTCTCTCAGCTAGTACCATTGTTTCTCCATAGATGACCATACATATAGGTACCGCAGTGTTTTCCAATCTCGAGACCAATATTACGATACAGCCGCCATTTCTTTGTCTTTTACATCTGACCAGGATAGCATGTACAAGGCGAACTCAATTTGTCAACTCAACAAAGGTGACGCTCCAAGTCTCCCACTGCATTTGTAGTATTGAATGGATGAGTACTGAGTGGTTCCAAATTTAGGGTTCCGGCTCCCTTATTCAGTACATGTACCTTTGGCAGGGCCCGGAAGATATTGTACTCACTTCGAGGCAGACTGGCGATTCCAACATAGCCAAGGCCTAGGGAAGATATCGCAAGTTCAAATTCGAAGCATCTGACGAGGCGCAGAGTACGTCTCATCGAAGTTGGGTTTAACGCGTTAGGCGAATATGGTTGGGAAATCGGTTAAAACTTCACAATCAGCTAAAAGTGTGTTGCAAGACAAAAGTGTCATGTGCCATGTGTCTTCATTGGCTATCGTGCTCCCTTTCCAAGGAGTTCAATCTCAGTATTTGGCCCTCCATCGGGCAACGACCAACGACCAACCCTGCCACCGGATCCGTTCCATCTGCCATTTCAATCGAATTTTCAAGGCCGCATACCAGCACGCCGCCGGCTATCATTTTGAGGAAAGCCTGATGAGACCTTCCCATCGCGAAAAAGAAAACAAAAAACACAGTTCCGTTGCGGCCGGTGACCATCCGAAAGTGTTTCCCCTCCTTGATTCTTTTTTTGTTGATAGATCGTACACGCTCGAAGACCATACACTTGGGTAATGAGTAGAGAGAAGAAAGTTCCCCCGTAGAAAGAGACCGCATGAATTATCCTTGCCACCTGCAGCTTTAACCATCTGCAGGCCCAAAGAGAGTCTTGTAAACAGCTAACGACGTGTTCGGGGGCAACGCGGCCTTAGCCACCTCTCATGCCGTAATGACGTTGGTGAGGTGGCCGACGACCACTACCTTCCTAGTGGTAGTTTCCGCCCCATCCGCCGCGCTGCTGTTGCTGGCCGCCGCTGCCATAGTATCCACTGCCGTAGGCACCCTGTTGGCCGTAGGATCCGAACGGAGCGCTGCCGTGCTGACCGCCAGTAGCGCCTCCCATGCCATAGCCACTGCTTCCGTGAACGTTGTGGCCCTGAAGATGGCTCGGGTAGCCGCCGTAGCCGCTCATCTGAGAAGCGGACTGGGGCGGGGGGAGACCAGTCTGGCCCGAGGGGGTGTTCGTGGCCGAGCCGGGGCGAGCGCCGCCCAGCGAAGGCGAGGGACCGGCACCGGGCTTGCTTTCGCCGAAAGGCTTCAGATCGTCGTTGGCAGAAGCAGCATTCGACTGGGCAGTGCTGTTAAATCCTTGTCCAGCAGGGCTCTGGAACGAAGAGGAGCCACGGCCGAAGGAATCTTGAGCACCGCTAAAGCCACTGCCGGCCAAACCGGGCTGGTTGCCAGATTGGGCAGAACCAGCACGGCCAAAGTCGCCTCCGAGTCCTGAGCTCAGACCGCTGTCAGCGCGGTGCAGGGACGACTGACCGAAACCAGCAGCGGGGGACGAGGCGTGGTCGTAGGGGCCCTGGGGCGACATGCCGTAGGGGTGGCCGTAGACGCCTCCCTTGCCGCCGTACGGACCACCGCCGTATCCTCCCTGGCCGTAGTGGCCGCTGTAGCCCATATAGTTCGAGTAGTAAGCATTGTTGTAGTAGGGGTGGTTGTTGTAGGGGTAGCTCTGTTGGCCGTGAGACTGAGGCTGCGAGGTCTGGCTGGCCGCCTGCTGGCTCTGAGCCGTGGGGTTCGGGGTGCTGTGTCCGCTGTTCTGGGCGTCGTTAGTGACGCCTCCGTAGCGGGACTGGTTTTGAAGACCGCCGCTCTGAGGGTACTGGCTGAGGTTATCAGCCTGCGAAGCATTGTAGCCGCCGAAAGATCTCTGCTGAGAAGAAAGGTTGTCCTGGTGACCCTGGGCTCCCTGCTGGCCGTAGGGCTGATTGTAGTAGTTGTAGGGAGGGCGGTTCTGTTGGTCGGCGGTGTAGTAGGAGGAGTAATCGGTGGGAGCAGAGCTGAAGGCTCCACCGGCTTGCTGGCTCTGTTGCGACGGCTGGTTCGGGAAGCTGTCAAACTGGTTCTGCGAGGCAGTGGGGTTGTTCGTCTGGGTGAAGGGGTCGATAGACTTTTGGGGGAAGGATGAGGGCTCTTGAGGGCCGGCCTGACCGAACCGGGAGTAGGGCTGCGAAGCAGTAGCGGCAGGTTGAGGGACTAGAGGTTTTGTCAGTTTGTGTGAACGGGTGAGATAACGTGTCTTTGAGGTAGGCAAATACATACCCTGAGCGGCGGGAGCCTGAGGAGCAGCGCCTGCGGATCCTGGGAAGGGTGCATTAGCAAAGTCGGTGACATTGCTAGCTGAAGCAAGTGTACCGGTAGGGGTGGCAGCGGCAGGAAGAGGCAGGCCAGGAGCAGGCTTCTGGGTACCAATAGCTTCGGGAACGGGAGCCTGCTGAGGAGCAGGAGGAAGAGAGGTTCGGGGGTGAGCGACGGGAGAATCAGCAGGGGGCTGGGTCCGGGTCTCGGGCTCTTCGCGATCACCGTCAATGTCCTCATCCTCGTTCAGGCTGAAAGCACCGAACTGGACGGCAGCGCGGTCGACCTCACGGTTGCCAGGCATGCGCACGGCTTCCTCCTGGTCAAGAACGCGACGCTGGTAGCTCGGCGTACGGGATCCTCGCTCGGTGGTAGCCTTGATCGCGGAAGCGGCAAAGCCGCTGTTCGTAGTAGGAACCGCAGGGCGAATTGGCTGGTGCTGCTGCTGCGAGGCAGACAGAGGTGTCGCAGTAGCGCTGGCTGCGTTGAGGCGGGGATCCCAGGAATCGGCAGCGGTGCTTGCAACGGTAGCAGTCGCGGGAGGATGCGATTCGTCGACTACCTGTTCAAGATTCGTCTCAGTAAGTTGGTCCTTGGAAGGCGGCAAAACCACTTCAGGTTCGATGACGGTTGGTACTTCTGCAGGAGCTGGTTCTTCATGGGCGGGTTCCACGGGGAGTTCGACTGGAGCAACAGGCTCAGGCTGCGCCTCGGGTTCGGGCTCAGGTTCGGGTGTAGGTTCGGCAGCAGGGACGGCAGGAGGGAGAGGTTCGATGGGTTCGGCGGGTTTGGGCACGGGCTCCTCCTTGGGCGGCTTCGGGGCAGCCTTGGGCACGGTCGATTGACGGAGCATGCTAGCCCACGTCTTGGGAGCAGCTGCGGCAGGCTTGGGCGCGTCGGTGGCAGCGGCAGCGGCAGCGGGAGCGGGAGCCGCAGGCTTCTCGGTAATCTCCTTGGGAGCCCAGGGATCCTCGGCGGGTGCGTCCTTAACGTCCAACTTGGGGGTATCCCACGCGTTTGACTCCTCGGTAGGAACGGAGAGCGGCTGGGCGTTCTCCTTGTTATGGCGAGAGCCATTAGTAGCTACTGTGTTTGAGGCCCTGCCCCGACCACCGCGACCTCCTCTCTCAGCAGTTCTTCCGCGACCGCGACCAGCCTCCGAGACGTTGCGTCCGCCACGAGTGGGTCTGGCGTTGGATGAGTCGATGTTCGAGGCTGCGGTCGTGGAATCCTTGGCCTTAGAGCGGGGGGCCTTCTTCGTGACCTCGCCCCATTGGGAGATGGTGCCTAGAACCAAAGCGAAATGATTAGCAGAGAGCACAAAAGAAAAGAAGGTGAACGGTCGTCGAGGAGAAGGGAAAGTAGGTAAATTGTCGAAGCGTGGCGCGGAAAATGGTCGGTTGACAGCCTGACGAGGCAAGAGGCGTGCGCCGACATACCTTCAGCAATGCGGGTGACGGTGAGGTTCTCGTCACCATCCGTCTCTTGAAGAGCGTAGAGAATATCCTGCTCAGACCAATCGGGGAAGAGCTCCTTGATGAGGGGCGCCTTGCTTCCGTATTGCTTCTTGAGCTCGCCGAGCTCGCCTTGGTCCTCAAACGCATCGTCGGCATCATTCTTGGAGTCGAACTTGTCGCCATTGGTTCTTCCCGAGGTGCGACCACCCCGACTGGCAAAGCCACCTCTTCCACCGCGTGCAGAACCTCTGCCGCGCGAGGCGGCAGGCCGAATCTGTACCTCAGACATTGCTGGGTTTCTTTGTATGAGGGGAGGGGTTTTCCACGCTGGGAAAATTGGAGGGAATCAATTATTCACTGTCCCGTATCGACACGACAGCTTTGGTGGGGGGCTTCAGTTGCGGAACACAAGCCGATGAAGAGCGGGAAGGGAAAAAAAGGTAGGAAAAGAAAAGGGTGCCGCAAAGTGGGAGAGGCGACGTCGTCGTGGTCGTGGCTGACGAGACGAGACAAGTGAGGTTTGGTGGTGGATGTTGGTGGGAGAAAGGCGAGGTGTGGATGGTGGATGGATGTGGAATGTTTGTGCAGAGGCAGACGCAAATGCACTGGGGAAAAGTTCAAAGGGAGGTTTTTTGCCCAGGCGGCCAGCACAAGCGCAAGAGCAGCCGACCTCAGGTAGCGAGTGTCTGGCAGGGCAGCTGGGTCCCGTCAGGTTGTGGACTTGTGGTTGACTGTGGCAGCGGTTGAGTGGCAGCAGCAGGGCCCAGTTGGGGCACGGCCGCCGTACCAAGGTTCCCCGTCAACTTTCAAGCTGGGCTAAGGTAAGGTAGGCCAGGGGAGTTGGGGGAGTTGGGGCGTGGGAGGCAGGTGAGATCTGGCAGTACGTACCGTTAGAAACCTCTACGAATTTTGGTGCTTCTTTTTTTTTTTCCCTTTTCCCTTGCTCTGCTTCCTTCTTGCTGCTGTACTGCGCTGCCCCCATTTCTGGTCCAGTCAGGCTTCAGCTAAGGTTTTTGGACTGGGCGACCGCCTGCAGCGAATGACGCTCCCCTGGAACCGCAACGGGCTAGCGCGGCCTGCTTTTAGCGGGGCTTTGGAGATCTACTGCCTCAATGGTCAGGCCGATAGGCGTACCAGTACCTCTAAGAGCGGTCAAAAAACGAGGATCTTAAAGTATCTGGACATGCAGGCCCCCACCAGCTTCGCCGTCTCCTGGCGGCAAGTACCTTTGTGCTCTTGCTGGTACCTGACTTGGGGACCTTCCCCTTGGCAATTTTGCCTTACTTAGCCTTACCTGCTCATGTACTCATGTGCCTCTAACCAGCTGAGGAGGGCGATGAGGTAAGAAAGCAAAGCAGTCACGTCGACTTTTGGACCTCGGATTGAAGGGAGGAGGCCTAGCTCGCTGCAGCTCAGCTCAACTGACCTCGAGGTTCTAAAAGCTATTCGTCCATAACCATGACAATTGCGATTACTATCGGACAAAATCATCAGTTTGTAAACAACGAAACCGATCCATCAATAGTGGCGTTAAATCAAATACTTTGCTGTCCAGTGACAACCAGGCAGTGCCACAGCCGAGGTCAGGAATGTTGCAGGTCATGAAGCTCCAAGTAGCTGTTTCTAGAAAAAGCATCGTCATTTCGGTTCAACTCAATTCACCGCTTGAAATATCATCATTTCCAACTGTTTACATTGCCCAGCTGCGGCGGCCGAGACGCCCTGTGCGTCAGCGTCATCCTCGGACTGTATAGAAGTGTCGTCCGGCTTCGTGTCGTGTCGTGGTAGCTACCTTGTCGCGATATTGGTGCGGCCTCCCGCGTCGCTCCCTCCAAGCCTCCGCCAGCAGGTATCTCGCTCGAGAAGCTCACCCTGGTCGACCTGGGTCATATGCTCTTGGTCTTGGTCACGAGGCTGTCATCGTTACTCAAATCTACCCCTGCTAATTATATGGCAAGCTGAATGGACGGCGATTGGTGCGACTTTGGAGAAATAGATGACCAGTCAAGTAGCCGCTACAAGCGAGATCGCAAGTTACAGTGGCCGAAGGTGGGCGACCAAGCAAAGCCTTTGCTGCCTGAATCATAAAATCTGGGCCGTCTCGCGTGTACACAAGACTTGCCCTCGCCAGCGAGGAAACAGCCTCTCCATCTGGTCTCCTGGCCACAAGACAGCCGAGGGCCCCAGAATTTGAGTACGTACCGGATCTTTGCCCTGAGGTCGAGGTCCCTCATTCTTCTGCCTCAGGTGTCAGAGGGGCTGGCTCCATATTTTCCATGTCACATGACCCGTCAGTGGCATGACAGAGTCCCGGCTCGGCGGGCAACCTGACTCCATGGCACCACGATGATGCGTACCTGACCTATCCGTACCTATCAGTACTTTCACCCGGCACTCCAAGCACCCCATCACATCACCCTTTCACTGGTACCACGACTCTGCGCGGGGAAACATCCACCTCATCCTCCCGCACTTCCGGCGAGCGCAACCGAAGAGTGCTCACTCCTGCAACATTGTCACGAAACGCCGTCAGCGCCGTCACGACTCATATCCCGATACCTCGAATCCTACCGACTTTCACAATGTTCGCCACGAAGCCTCTGAGCTCTATCAAAAATGCCATTCCCTCGATCCACCAACCGCTACCCCTCTCATCGAGGGAGTCCCAGAAGCTACTCAACGTCCTGAAGGCTTCGTTCCGCAAGAACCTTGACAAAGAGCATGGCTACGCTCCCGAGATTGGCGACTTGTCCGCGGCCAAGGCCACCTCCTCAACACACTCTTCCTCCTCGCGCGATACTCACCGTCGCCCAACCGACCAACATCTTCGTTCCATTCTCTCCAACCCACTATTCAAGAGCGGCGCTCAGCTCAGCAGCGTTCCCTCTGCAACTCCTAGAGACCCTATGGATGTTTTCGATGACGCGGTGTCGCGAGGCATGATGACAAGGAAAGCTGCAACAGGCTGCCTCAAGACGAAACGAATGCAGATTCTCCAGTCGAGCGCTCTCTCAGTTCAAGACTCTATGATGGCATCTACAGCTGGTCTGCGGGTGGTTCAGTGGTTGAGATCATCCGGCCAGGAACGGACGCTGGATTTCCTCGGAGACCAGAACCTTACTCGTGAGCTCATACCGTTCATGGTTGCCGAGGGACTGGAAGAGGTTGCGTGGTCGTGGGCGGACCGGACAATCCGCGGTGAAGGGCCCGCAGACGAGAGGGGCAAGGTTGTAGGAGCCTTGGTCGCCCACTTGGTGGCTGCCAAGGCAAACGTGGAAGACCGCAATCTAGATACGGCATTTTCAGCGATACTAAGAGCAGAGTCCACTTGGAAGGCGGAATCACAATTACCCCGGATTCTCCTGTCTCCCTTCCTCGTTCTCTCCTGGCAGTCGACAGTCGAGGCATGGAAGCGGCCACAGCCATCCACGCCGCTCTTTGACTCCTTCGTTGGGACTGCCAACTACATTTTGCACCCACGACTTCACCTCGCACATTTGGACCTTCATCATCCCACTAACCCCAGCCACGAAAAGGCTTTGGTGTACCTCAATACTGGCCGAGACAGCCTGGAGGGCGACAGCGGTCTGGCTAGGAGACTTATGTTAATGGGAATGGATGCCGTCAGCCACCTCACCATGCTCGGCCGGACTGAGGAGGCCAATGGAATCCTGCGCCTGTTGCAATCAAAAATCTCGAAGGATTTATGGCAGAAGCATCGGTCAAGGGGCTTGATGAGTATGTGAAAGGCTTTTCATGAAGGTCGCACAACTACAATTTCTACGTACGCTTCGGATCAGTATCGTCGCCGTTGTTGTTGGAGAACGGACCATGCCATGCGCTCTCGCGTTGTCACAGCCTGCCTGCCAGTTATTATTCTGAAGGAAGGCTCTCTCTAACGCTGGTCCGCCCACGGCAAAATTTAGCGGCCGGTCGTCATCAGTTCTTGAAGAAAAGACGCGACTGCGTCTACCTTGTATCAAGAGTGACTTGATTCACTTCCGATTAAGAAACCATGCCAGTTTCTACGACTGCGGACCGATGTTCATCGAAAGCTATCGCAAACAATCTGCGCTTCGATGCTGGAAATCTTATTGTCGCTGACCTCATTCTTTTTTTTTTTTTTTTTTTGGACATAGCTTAGGAGATACCCGCAAATTGCACAATCATTTCAACCTCATAAATGTCTAATCAAGTGCAACTTGAGTGATGATGAACAAGACAATGTCGTGTACCACACTCGTCTCTATGCAGCAGCAGCAGCGGCAACAGTAGATGCCGCGTCTTCAACGCATGAGGCAAATTTACGGTACGGGCGCAGAACGGCCTGGTGTTTCTCACGCCCAGATGCCAAGTAGGAGGGATGAGATGATTTGACTGGGCTTCTGGTTCATGCCCCAATCACCGTGCAAGAAGTCGAGAATACAGGAAGACCCAGTGCCTACATTAGTGCTTACGAGCCGAGAAACTCAATTGTAGTTTGCTACGAGATGGTTCTCTCATTGAACAATATTAATTCCAATCTCGAGACCAGACCATACTTTGCGTGACTGCACTGGGACAACTCCACGAGAACGCCAGAAAGAGAAACAAACCGCCCAACTACCAACCCTCTCTCCACCCCTAACCGACCGGGTGGAAAAGCTGGTACAATTCTCCCTTTTTAACTTACCCTTTCTTCTCCTCCTTGTACTCCATCCAAATCTCAGTCGCTTCCGAGACGTTCATCCTCCCCCAATCCCAAAACCCCTCAGGCCTTCTTCGCAACCCTCACCACAATCTTGCCCGCCGCCGACCCCTCCTTGAGCTTCTCATACGCCTTGACAGCATCCTCAAACTCGTACGTCGAATCAACCACAGTCCGCACCTTGCCCTCCGCCATCCACGCCGCAATCTGCGCCAGATCCGCGTGCACGTTCTTGGTCATGAACGTCTCAAACTTGTGCTTCGCGCCGCCGAGGAAGCCCGGGAGGAACAGGCTCGGGACCAGGCTGCTCACCTGCGCAAGCGACACGGCGCCGCCGACAAACTTGAAGTGCCCACCCGCGAGCAAAAAGTCGTCAGAGGCCTTGTACAGGTTCGGGGGCGAGTTTCCGACATTGTCCACCACCACGGAAAAGACTTTGCCCTTGCTGCGCAGCACCGAGACGACGTCGGACGTCTTGTAGTCAATGATTTCGTCGGCGCCGAGGGATTTGCAGAGGGCTTCCTTGGCGGTGGAGCAGGAGACGGTCACGGCGCAGCCGAGGGCTTTGGCGATTTGGATGCCAAAGGTGCCCGTGCCGCCGGAGCCGCCGTTGATAAAGACGTGATCGCCGGCCTTTACGTAGGGCGCAATGGTCTGGTAGGCCGTCAGGGCAGCGGTGCCCACGGCGCCGGCCTGTTCCAGGCTCTCTGCTGCTGCTGCCGCCGCCGCGGGGTCGTGGGGAAAGGCGGCGATGCCGTCGCGGTCGGCGACGAGGTACTCACTCAGCGAGCCATGGGTGCCGAGGGGGTTGACGCGGCCGACGACGAGGTCGCCGGGGGCAATGTCTGTGATTTCGGAGCCGACGGCGACGGCGCGGCCGGAGAAGTCCATGCCGGGGCAGCGGGGGAAGGAGACCATTGCTTTTGCGACGAGGCCGAGGTCCGGAAGCTTGTAGTCTGCTGGGTTGATGCCCGCGGCGACGACTTGGACGAGGACCTGGGTTGGCGTGAGGGTGGTGGCGGAGGGGGTCGGGACGGTTGTGAGAGTGAGGTCCTTGATGAAGGAGCCTGGGGCGGGAATTTGCCAGCGGCGCATCTCGGTGGGCGGTTGTTGGGCCATTGTATTTGTGAGATCTTTGTGGTGTATGGGGTTGAGGTTGGTTCTGTTGATGCTTGTGATGGATGGAAGAGTGACGGAAGGATTGGTTGCGTGGTATAAGTATGGGCGTGAGAGTTGATGTCTAGATAAGGCAGCTCAAGCTTTCCCTCAGGACGCTACCTTAGGTTCCGTCGTGCTCTAGGTACCTAGTGTAAAGTTCCTCGGCCCAGGGTGGGGGTGACAAGACACCACTGACGAAATCGGAATCCCGGCCAAAGTCAACCGGGGAAGGCGGGAGCTCCCTCCCCTTCTAGCCATCAGTTATCATGGAGCTCAGGCACGACGTGCACACCGCACCCGACTGATAGGTCAAATGGCGTCACGACTCGAGTTGCCCCGATCCGGCCCTGCTCGCCCCGATCATTCACCCGGAGGCCCCTATTCGACGTCAAGTTCCAACTTCCGAACCGCATAAACATGGATGCTCCACCCCAAGGAGGAGCCGTCGTTGGCGGTTGCCGATTGTTACACGGGGGAAAAAAATTCCTGCAGTCGAATTTTTCTAGAAGAAAGTGGGTTTGGCAGCTGTAGCAACCCCGTGGAATTGAAGCCCCGATGCTCCGTATTTGTGCAGGAAAACCCTCCCCTCCATCTGAGAGCATGCGGGTACCTCAATCCCCGCCTCCGGCCTATCAGAGCATCGAGCATACAACAATCCATTGATTGGGTATGTAACTGTCGTGCGCAAACCCACTGCTTCACAAATAACGACAAGACTCTCAACAGAGTGGTATTGCTGGATAGCACTCTGGAGTCATTCGCATGATTCTCCTTTACAGGAGGCCTCGATCCTAAGGAGCTCCAGAGTTTGGTCGTGACGGCGTTTAGTACTGCTGGTTTCCCCCTTTCAATGTATCCCTTGTTCAAAATGACTGCCTGAGCTGTTGGGTGAAGCTCAAGTCTACCTTACTGCATTAATGTCACGGCAGGGAGCAAATCAGTTTAGTCAGCAACATCGTGTATCATTCGTCGTGAGGCTTCTTGCCTCGTTGGGGGCATACGGCCAATCTTCCTCAAGAGAGGCATGGGAAGGTACTTTATTCCCTTCTTCCTTCTCAAAACCTGGTATCACAACGTAACGGGTATCTTTCCACCCTTAATCAATCCCACAACGCCAAACCAGAAGCCAACCTGTAACACCCCCCAGAAACCGATTCCTCCCATTTCTTGTAGACTCAGGCGCACCAAGTAGATGCCCAGCGACCAAGCTCATTAGGGTCACAGATCCGCTCCATATCGTCCTCTCTCAGAGCCAGGAGAACCTCCCAGGGCGCCTCTCCCTTGGTGATACCACGACGCTGCATAATGTTCATCGAGCCGTCGTTGGCAGACCACGTCTTGCGCACGTAGTCCGCCCTACCCTTCGTGCCCGGGATACCAAAGTCCACATCGGCGCCCATGTGCGTCCAGACGCTGCAGCCCAGACCAGCGTGGTCGGGCCGCAGCGCCTTCTTGAAGGCCTGCCCTTCCATTGTAGGGTCAGGAAGGGACGAGGCGAGCGCAATGCGGGCTGGAATATAGCCCGGTGTGCTCGCCTGGCTGATGGCCTGGCGGACACGCCAGGAGGCGTCAAGGATGGCAGGTACGGCGTTGGGGGGCAGGGTGCCAGAGGCTGAGGTCTGGATGAGGTCCTCTACCTTAGCAACGCTGCTGGTTTGTGTGTATACATTGCCCCATGCGTCTGCAGGGAAGGCCGGAGAAAGACGTGGGCGGGCGTCGGCGGTGATAGTGAAGGAGGTTTGGTCATGCTGGGAGAGGTGTATGAGGCGGCACCTGGTGACGTGGACCCAGATCATGGCGGAGAGGGTGTCGGCCTTGGAGACGAAGGCTTTGTCGCCGTGCTTTTCACGGACATGGGTCAGTGCTTGTCCATGGAGGTCGGAAAGGGTTGCGTTTGGGATGCTGAAGAGCACGCAGACAGGTCTCGGGGGCTTCTCGGACAGAGTGTTGGTGCCAGCGACTGTGCCATTCGTGGTGAAGTCGTACTCGGGGAACAGAGTATTCTCAATGTCGGTCGTAACGTATGGGATCATGCTGGGACGCTTATTGTGCTCGTCCACAAAGACGCTCAAGGGGTCTTCTTCATCGCCCTGGCCAAAGTACTCGAGGAACGCCTTGATGAAGCCGCCGTCAAAGATGGCATGGTGCGTTGAGAAGCAGACAAAAAGGCCTCCTCCAGAAACTTCTGTGATCTTCATTGTCATAGGAGGGCAAGATTCACCCGGCTTTGGGTGGTTAGGGGAGAGGGACAGGACATCCTTGTCCATGAATGAAGGAGGCATGCCACGCTTCTTGAGTTCTTGGTAGTCGAGACCTTCGAGGTTCGTCACTGAGCTGTAGGCGACGATATCCTGTCGCTGGTCAGGGTCGATTAGGGCGTCGTTCAGGTCGTAGGCAAGCTCCAACTCATTGGGTCGACGGCTGTTTGTGGCGGGGCGGATCTCTCCTGCCAGGAAGGGCCAGCGTGCAAGAGCGGTTCGGAACCGAAGTTTGAGATGCTTCAATGTCTCTGCAGTGCTATATTCCTCGTCCTGGTTGAATATGAAGATGGATCGCACGTAGATTCGAGGAGCGATCTGGTCCAGGGGGCCCAGATGAATGGTGGGGACGACGCTGATGCCACCCATGGTGGAGGTATAGTGATGTGTATGTGGAAGGGTTGCTTAGTATGAGCGTGAGTGAGTACGGTAGAGAGGAATAAGAAGGATCGAGGTTTGACGAGTCTCGAATTATTCAGAAGATTAGGTAGGTGCGAGGTTGGCTTGCACGCAAGTGAATGTGTTGTTGGGTGAAGATATGAGCCGTGGAGAGTAATAGTTCTTTCTAAATAGAAGAAGAAGAAGGAGCTTCTGGGTGCTCAGTGGTATGGGATCAGTAATAAGAGAACGTTCAGATTCGTGGTACGCCTGGTATGAGGGTGAACTTTGATCCAACGGAGACAGGTATTTCCTATTTATGAGATAGGACGCCCTCAACTCACCTTTTCTCAGTGAAATGGATGCCAAAGTTGTTCCACAATCAGTAAGCTCTCAAGGTACCTTTGTGATTGTCTTCGATCTGATTCTGACTTTCAGGGGCCCCTGGGTCACTTGGTTGTACTTTGGAGGAATGAAATGGAATAATGACTGACGAGTGATAACAGCCCATGGGTTTCCCAAAGTTTATTTAAGAGGTGTATTCAGCACAACTTTTGAGTTGGAGTACCCAACTGTTCGAACCACAACCACAGCACTCATCTTCATTCATCTCATTGTGTAGTTACGGTAAATGGAAGCATGAGTAAGGCCAGTATATAGAATAAGGTAGTTTGAATGAGAGTTGAAATAGACAGCGTGTAAGTGCGGTGTTGTGAACAGCTCTGAGTAGAATTATGTATTCTTTCAAACAACAACACAGGTCCCTTGTGCTCTGCAGCTTGTCTGGAAGTATACAGAGAGGTGGTAGCACAAGACACGTAAAACGATTTCAAACGTTCTTTGGAGATAGAGAAGAATAGAAATGATCAAACACAAAGTTCCGTGATTAGAAAGATGCAGTGTCAGAAAACAATAGCAAGGCAGGCCGGCAATATTGATTACTGTAGTATATATTTTGTCCGCAGAGGCACATCTGGCGATGGCCTCTAGCAGCATCTTTTGAGTGAAGAGAGGGCACCCTGGTGATCCAAAGGACCGTACTCTCATTGAATTTAATCTGCGCGCTTTGATTCTGGGTGCGTATTGGGTCACCCTGATAATTGGGTGACAAGTTGTGGAAATCGAGGACCAAGGGCAGGATGGCTTAAAATGATGCTTTCGTCCGAAAGATGAAGTTTTTTTTCGGGGTTTGTTGTCTATAGATGGGTAAAAGAGGTAGCTTTTCTTCTAAGGCCGTCTTGAACTCAATACTAGATTTGAATAGTATGGCTTCCCGCTCCATAACAATGGAGAAAGATGCCACACCGAACGCCACATTGAACATGTACGTCTCCCCCATGTCATAAAATTTGATCAAGCCATCGAGTCGCTCAGGATCCCAGAGCCTCCATCCACTTGTCTGCTAAAATAATGATCTTGAGTGCTCGAATCATTCCTTCAGCAAGAAGGAAGCAGTTGGGTTAAGCCATCGCAGGATTAGAGGCGCTACGGATAAAAATTCATCTTGTAACAAACATTACGAATATTAATGTCCTAGATAAATTAAGGCGCTATTTTCTTTAATATCGTATGGTCAAATAATTCTGATGCCAAAGTTGCAAGCCACAAAGCCACGCTTGCTGAGGCTTCAGATATACCGGTTCGGATTCTGTACGATGATATTTTTGTAAGAACCGAATTTGAGAACGTCGACGCCACGTTAAGACTTTTGTAAGAAAGACGTAGCTGAGAAGTACGATTCGGCGCCTCATCAGCATGATGCCAACGTCTTGGGGGGAAACTCAATGACGGGCCCGGGGCACTAAGAAATAGCTGATCAAGATGAGAAGGCATCGGGAATGCCCAGCAGGCTGGAGAGAAGCGGGTGACGAAGAAGAGTGTCGCTGTTGCTGGTATAGTGACGGCTATAAACACGATGACGAGCCTGATCATCGGTATAAGTCAGCTTGAAACAAGCGGAAGAGGAGGCGCCTTTGAGTGATCCTACCCAGTGGGCCTGTCGGTCTCTTCGCGATCCTCACAAGACCTTTTTTAGCCCTGGGTACCTGAGAAGCCCATCTTTCTCCGAGATAACCGGAGACTCTGGTAGAAGTAGTCTCCAGAAACTGTGGTGAACCGTGTCATGTTTCTTTCACAAATCGCCTCGACGTCGACTTTGGCGATCATGAGAAATTTGAAGTAGGACTCAACAGCTTGAGATCCTTCGACCTATCGCCAGATGATTGTCCCAAACATTCTCCATGATAACGACGGCAGAGGTTCGGCGTGAGGAGGACTAGATACATATACCAGGAAGGAAAAGGCTTGATTATGGAGGAAGGCACGATTCAAAAGAAGGCATCCGGGTGGCATTGCGGCACGCCGCAGCATGAGTTTTTTCGTTGGTGATGAGGTGAGATCATGTCTTCTGAGTAAGTACCTTACTAAGTAGTCAGGAGAGGAAAAAGTAGGAGGCGAAGATGAGACGGAAGGCGTGGGCACCGGGTTATATATCTATTGATTTCACAATGTTATTGAAATCGATTGTATCGACATCAATAACGAGAGGAAGAGGACTAGAAAAAAGATAAATAGAAGCCCAAGCAGTAAGGTACTTAGGAATTAAAAAACAGAGCTTCATCTCGTCGCTTCATGTACGGAGAAGACTCAGTCATGAAATGATATCGCTGGAGTTTATTCATCTGATTTCTTGGTGTCTCATGCCCTCTCGTGGCTTTATATACTCGACAGCAGTGCATTCTTCTGTTACATCATTAGTTTGTACAGGTCATCCTGTCTTTCTTTTTGGTGCGTTTCCCAACAGGGAGGTACTTGTAAGGTAGTTTGTAAAACTAATCTTCCAAGCCATCCAAATATCCGGCTGCCGCAGAAACGTGCCTAAAAAATGTATTTTGGCTAGAGGCTTCAAGCGAGCTGACGGTATGTAAAATGGTTTGAGTTTCCATGGTCTCCATGGCATTTTACCTCCGGCAAGGCCTTTGCTATCAAACTTCAAGAAGAAACAAACCATCATGGTAAGCCAAGCTGCAGTCACAGGAATCACGAGCTTTTTCAAGGTAGAAACAGTTGCAAGATATTGAAAACGAGGTGGGGTTAGAATTGTATTCCCTAATACTAAAGTCCTACTCTAAAACAGATAATGAGTGCACTACAGTCTTAGTCCTCCCCCACTTCAGACGCCTACTATGCAAAGTCTCTCGGCGTGAAATGAATTTTATCCATCCATCACCCCCAAAGCCAAGGCATCTTTGCGAACTACTGGCATTTGGGATAGGAGCTGCCACAATCCGGGGTGAGATAACCTCGAGTGTTTCCCGGAGGACAGTACTCGAACTCCATGCAGTCCCCTGACGACAAAGTGCAATGTTCTCCGTTGAACCGCTGGCCTTCGGGACATTGAGGCAGCGTCTCGCCCACACACTCCTTGGATGCCGCATCCCAAGTGGTGTTGGAAGGACAGACTGGGTCGAGCTCTGACACGCAGATCCTGCCGTTGAACGTTGTGCCCGGAGGGCAGCTGGGCTCCACGACGGACGCGCACTGATTTCCGTCGAATTCGGTACCGGGCTCACAGACCGGGGTGTCACCGACGCAGACGGTTCCGTTGAAGTGAGTGCCCTGCTCGCACTCTGGAATCTCGTCGGAGATGCACTCCTCCCCGCGCAGGATGTAACCAGGAGGGCAGGCCGCGTCCTCAACGTTCTGGCATCGGCCGCCGAGCCACTGATGATCGGGAGGGCAGTCTGGCGGATCGATACTGAGGCAGGTATTGCCCTTGAGAATCAAGCCCTTCGGACAGGTCGGCGGGCCCCTGATACACTCGCCGCCGACGAGCGTCGAATACTCGGGGCAGACTGGGGTTTGTCCGGTGACACATGCTCCGTCACTGAGAGACGATCCATTGGGACATGAGGGCGGGGTGCTCGATACGCAGCGTGAACCGTCATAGATGGTGTCCTCCGGACAGCTTGGAGGGTCGCCTCCCACTCTAGTGCAGTCCTCGCCATCGAAGTGGGTGCCATCCTCGCACTGCGGTCGGCCGCTGATGACACAGTCTCTTCCGTTGAACTTGGTATCGGAGGGGCACGAGGGGGGATCGATGCTGATACACTCGTCACCCTGGATATGAGTGCCCGTAGGGCAGACGGCTTCGCCTTTGTGGACACAGTTTCCGTTTGTCAGTGTTGTGCCGCCGGGGCAGATAGGCGGCTCTACGGACACACAAGTGGTTCCGTCGCGAGCCGAGCCTGGAGGGCATCCTGGCGGTGTGATGGAAATGCATCGGTCGCAGTCCAGCTTGGTCCCTGGTGGACATGCCGGGGGGACGACTGTGATGGCCCTGCAGCGATCGCCGACCTCTGTCGTTCCCTCTGGACATCCTTCGGGGGGTACTTTGTACGAACACACTTCTCCATCCCACTTCAGAGGAAGAGGACAGCATCGCGAAGTGCCAGAAGCCTTGTCGGCAGACATTTCGGTCCCGGGTTGGCAGATGGGCTCATCCGGGGACACACATTTAGTATCTTCCAGGATATCACCGGGGGGGCAGGACGGCGCCGTCTTCATGGTGCAGGTGTTTCTCTTGACGCTAAACTTCGTTCCAGGTGGACACTCGGGGCCGCCATCTGTGATGCAGTCGCCTCCCTTGGAAAAGGTACCCGCCGGACATTGAGGAGGTTGACGATGGTTGCAAACGTTGTTGACTTCGTCGTACTCGCTGCCCGAAGGACAACTGGGTGGCTGAGTATTGACGCACACTCCATCGGACAGGGTTGTACCCTCAGGACATGCCGGTGGACTGGAACTCACGCAGCCCTTGCCGTTGAAGCGGTCGCCGTTACCGCAGATGGGAGTCTTGGTCGAGATACAGATTTTATCGACCAGCTGTGTGCCAGAAGGGCATTTTGGAGGAACTTCCAAAACACACGTCTTGTCTTTGAGAATCGACGGAGAAGGGCACGATGGTGGAGTGGTCGTGATGCAGACAAGTCCGTTGAAGGTCTCGCCATCCCGGCAGATAGGGCCAGTAATGGAGATGCACTGGCTGCCTCTGAGTTTTGTTCCGTCCGGGCATCCGGGGACCCCGAGGACGCAGGAGTTGCCGTCAAACAAGGTCCCTTCTGGGCAACACTTGACCCGGCCAGACTCGGGATCAGTAAGAGGCTTGATTGCGTCTAGAGTCCATTTGTTGCGGACTGCCGACCCAAGTGGTATCTGGTCAGCTGCGACCTGGAAAGCAAAGAGCGAAGAAATGAGGCCCGCTTGTAAAGCGACCATTTTGATTGATTCTTGAGGACAAAGGTAGTGAGGCTTGGTGGATGTTTAAAGAGAAGGTAAATAAGTTAGTGTTGATTGCGTGATCCCCTTCTTATACAATTGATGGGATGAGATCAAAATAGTGGCACAACTCGAGAGACTGCACATGTTGAGACAAGTGAGCTGTTCACATAGCGAGATTTTCCTTCCACCGCAGCTATGGAGTAGTCGAAGAGACCAGCTTCAGTCTCTCGAGCCAAGTATACGTCATGATGAGCGATTCTCTCGACCAGGTCCTGCTTATTGTCTGCAAACGTGATTCTCTGCCGCTGGAGTGAGTCCTCTCTGAGGTATTATTCAAGCTAAACCCCGCTTCGAACACAACGATGAAGAGAAAACACCCCTTGAAGCTAGAGATTGGCTTCGGCAACGGGCGCATCCGCAAAACACATGCAGAAAGCAACTTGTCTTGCTGCTAAAAAGAATATCAACCGCCCTCGGCAGCTAAGACCGAATAAACACAACAACAATCTATCACGGCGAAGAATGTTTGCCTTCAATCTGAACAACTGCTTTCGGAAGCCTGCGAAAAGGGCTTTACTGATAATTCTGCTAAAGGGATTGTGTCAATAGCCATGTCGATCATCAAAATCGCTTCCTAGAGCCCAAAATAAGGCGGAGTTGTTTCCGCCGAAAACGATTTGCCAAGATCATTTCAGCGATCTCGGCAGGAACTTACTGGGTTGTCCATTGTGATTGTGGATTTGCGGGTAAGACACTTTTGCCGACCATGTCATCAGTTTCGACAAGGGATTTACCGAGACATGGAGCTCTTAGCAGAGTTCGACATATCTCAGAGCTTCAATGCCATACGTGCGTATCTTTGACGGACGGAGTCCTAAAACCAATCGTGGATTCGGCCTAGTTCAGTAGCTCAACGTCTAGGATTTATCGATGTTTGCGGAGCGAGCAAAGAATCTTGCCGTCTCGTTGATAATTGCTTATAGTAGACGTCGCTATCAGCCGTAGGTTCGGATCGAAGATCTCGGGAGATCAGCCGATGTAATGTCTTTGAAACAGCAGCGTAGATAGGAGATCAACTGCTTAGTGCGTATATCCTCGCCGGGTTGGGTCAAAGCTGATGTGCGGGGTATTGTGAGACATTTGAAGGAGCGGGACGGTCCATTTGCCAGGCTATTTATCGAATAGCACTAAGTGCATGCCTCCCATATCAGCGCCTATCTCAGACAGCTCTCAGGTTCCCGGAAAGCCAGTTGAGCCGTGAGACAAAAAGGAGCCCGCACACCTAGGTGGCTTGCGTGGGCGGGGAGGAAAGAGCCGCTTCCGCTCAAAAGCTAAGGCCAGAAGGAGCTGTCAATAATTACGTGGGAACCACAATCTTACAAATTTCCATGGTGACATCATCCTCATTGAGTGAGACAATGTCAATGCTTTGGTCTTTCCCGGATGAGGCTGCAATTTTCTCGATGGGAGCCATCCTAACCACCACAGGAAATTGAACGTTTCTATCTCGGCGTGTAAGGAAGCTTCAGATAAACTGGCTTATTCGAGGGACATGTCGGGTAGTCGGACTTCGAGGCAATACCGACATGATGATCCGCACTCAATGCGTACTGTGGTGCTCAAAAAGGTAACCAGGTTCCGAAACAGTCATGGATCCAGTTGACCTATCCGTCTTTACTAGATGCAGAGATCCTTTAATGTGGCTGCTTACTGAACTACCAATTCATCTATGATAGCAACCAATCAGAGCTTGAAAATGCCTTAGTTACTACCGACGTTGGCCTTGCATATTGGTAAGGCGGGAAGGGCCGGAAGACGTTCCTACGTAATGGGTTACATGATTATACGTCTCTAGACTATCCTTGAACACAACTCCGTCATGTGAAAAGCTGATCTGGCTACCCGAAGTGACGTCTGTCTTGAGAGCCAAGAAGAAATGTAACTCCATTCAGTGACTCAAAAATTTCCAGTGAATAATCTGGGAAGGCTCCCAGATAGATAAATTGGACGTCCCGTGCAGATTTATGAGAGCTTCCTCTATATCTGTACAGCTCCAGCCTAATCCTGCTTGGCTGAACTTGGATCTCCTCAACCATATCTTTACTTTATCTACAGTCACGGCCACTATGCAACTATTCTTAGTCACCCTGCTCCTTGCTCCCAGCATCAGCGGGGTCTTGGCAGCTGAGCAGGTGCCTCTCACCACTGAGAGCAGCAGCTGCCTCTCCTCTCCCAATTACAACAGATGCTGCCCTCGTAATAAAGGTTCCGGGAAAGTCGTCATCAGCGGAAGCACGTTCGAGTACACTTGTGGCACTTGGATTAGTCCCTCTACGAAGCATCCGGACCGGCATCCTACGCCTGAGGCTTGTGCCGAGGCCTGCGCGAAAGAACCATTGTGTGTGGCAGGGTTCTGGAAATCAGGGGCGTGCCACCTAACGCAGGAGCCCGAATACAAGCGCTACCCCAATCCAAACAACTACTTACTGCTTGTCAAGGCGGATGATGCACTCGACGATAGCACATCTGGTGTGACCGACGGTCGAAACTCAGCCGAGTGCGAGAACGAGAAAGACACGATCCGCAGCCAAATGGCATCCCAGTGCGACAGCGAGAAGCAGAAGCTCCAGACTAGCTGCCAGGATGATACCCGCAAGGCGGAAGAAAGTTGCAAGCAGGAGAAAGCGGCTCTTGAGCAAAAGACAAATGCGCTTGAACAAGAGAAGACGCAGTGCGAAGCTGACAAGTCTCGGGAGCTGAACGACGCCAGAACGCAGTGCGAAGCTTCAAAGTCTGATACTGAAAAGCAACTACAACAATGCCAAAGCCAGCAAGACCAGCAAGACCAGCAGAACCAGCAGAACCAGCAGAACCAGCAGAACCAGCAGAACCAGCAGAACCAGCAGAACCAGCAGAACCAGCAGGGCCAAGGCCAAGACCAGCAGAACCAAGGCCAGAACCAGCAAAACCAAGGCCAGAACCAGCAGAACCAAGGCCAGAACACCCCGCAGCAGTCTTCAACAGAAGCCGAATGCAGTGCAATGTCATGGAAAGGAATGTGCGGTGGTTTCGGATGCGCGAACAGATTCTTTGTCGAAGGCGTGGAGTATGAGAGGAACTGTGGCGTTGCAACCCTGAACACGCGACAGAGGACTGTTAGGACGAACATCTATCCTACACCGTGGGCTTGTTTGAAAGCCGAATGCAATGGAATTACGGACTGTATGGGAATTGGCTGGACTAATGCAGCTGTAAGTCTCATCATTTCTCTCAAGATCGAGGGCGTTTAAAACCCAACCTACCTTATGCTAACGATGTCCATGTGACAGACTTATTGCCATGTTCATCTTCATAAGAACTATAAAGGCAAGAGGCTGTCGACTAACAGGGCTCACCATGCTCTATTCAAGGTGGGCTGGAAACAGCCATCTTGAGAACAAGTTGAAGGATACTTTGAGGGTATGTGGTGAACCCCTGGTATAATATGGATGCCCAGGTCTGGTAGAACGGAACCTCCAACGGCGCTGGCAGGAGCTATCAGAAGGATCACTCAAGGTTTAGTTCTCGTTCGTCAATACAGTCACTCAAGGTTTTTATTAGTTACGGCTTTCATTCTCGAATTGGAATATTGCAGTTTTTATCACTTTGAACCAAGCCCGTATGTTTACACTTCTAGTGTGATCGTTCATACGTGATGTGTATCCACAAGGGTTTCAAGCTCACCAAGACAGGGTATCTAATTGCCACAATCATTTTTGACATGCTGAAAATGAGATGAGCATCGAAGCAAGCAGAAGGGAGACTGAATCGACAGACTGCAGTTCTATAGAGACATGAAGTCCCCGAACATGTTTTTAGGTCAGTTTTGTTCGTCTTTTGATCAATCCATCCAACTCGTTCAGTTCACATCTTCGATATCCAACTTCAGCGGCATCGAGTCCAAAACAATCACCCGCAAGTCCTCTGCCATAACGCCATGCAAAGACGATTAACAAACTAGTTTCAACCATTCCAAACAATTTAGTCCAAGTATCCGCTTTTGCGTTGAGTAGTCATGGTGTTGTAGCGTCGGGCTTAGCACCAGGCAGCATCATGCGAAACGTCCAACCTTGCGCTTCATAAACCTCGCGAGTGACTTTCTTCAGCCATAAGGTTGGCACAATCGGAAGCCAGAACTCGCACGTCTCAGTCTTGAGAATCTCCAGCCCGGCAGCCCAGGATACCTGCGCGTCCGCTTCATCGCCGGCAGCGAGCTGTGCGTGAGCCAATGACAGATGTATTGCTGCCGCAGTGAAGCCTGCTCCAGCTTTGAGGGCGTGCATACGCTGGATCTCTTGCAGCGCGTATCCCCATCGCAGCACAGCGGTGGTCTTGTCCGATCTGAAATGCGCTATGCGAGCTAGGGCGAGGATAGCACGCATGTGCAACTGCTGATCAAAGAGTGTATCTATACCAATCGGCGTAGCATGTTGAGTCTCAAGTTCTCTGAGGAATAGTTCTGCGGCGTCGAAATTTTTGAGTCCAATGTTGAACTCCGCCGACGACAGCAGAAGCCGCGGGTACGCTCGACGTGAGAGTTCAGGCTTGTTCGAGCTATCCAACTCTGGCCGCAGAATCTCGGCCGCCTTGGAGTACTCTTCCATCTCGCAGTACATGTCGGCAAGTCTGCTAACTAAAAGGCGGCGCGTGTTTCCTCGTAATGGTTTCGTCATGTCGAGGGAGAGTGTCTGTTCTAGGGAAGCCCTGGCTGCAGTAAAGTTTCCGATAGATTGAAAGAAGCGTGCTGCCGTGCTCTGAAGTCGAAACGTCACCTCAGTGTCCAGGGTCGAGAGCGGTTGTTCTGCTTTCCATTCGTAGATAAGCAAGGAAACGTCATCGTCGGTACATTTAATCTTGTTCTCCATCTGAGATATGTGGAGTCGTCCATATAGTGAATGGTCGCGGCGAGTGACGGGTTGCGGGCCGCGCCACACAAAGTCGCGTATGTGTGCCTCCGACTTGGTGAACTCTCCGTCATTGCGGTAAAGAACGCTGCGAAACAGCACAACGGTAGCGTGGAGGTAGTAAGGCATGGATTTTCGCAGCAACGATCTAGCCCTGTCCACGGCAACATGGCGCATGGCAACCGAGTCTCTCTCGCAAAAGAAAAGAATTGCCTCGAGGACTTGTGTCCTGAGCGGCGTTGGCACCTTATATGCCCTAGTCGTCTTCTCAACAATCGGCCAAGCGGCTAATTTTAGTGGCTCAGACCTGTAATTAAATCTAACGTCAGCTGAAAAGTCCATATTGCAGGTGTCGTTGGTCAAAGTTGGGCCTAACCAGTCCGTATTGCCTTCGTAACATGGGGGACAAACGAAACAAAGCAGCTTCAGAGCAACTGCCCCAAGTTCCTCTACAGTCCTCGGTCTCAGGGCGCGAGACAAGAAAACAGAGAATTCAGGGCACAGTGACAAAGCTAGTGTGTCATTATCTAGCCTGCGCTTGATGATGTTAGGGCTCTCTATGACGCGGGAATATTCAACGTCGTCGGAAATGAGTCTGACAAGCTCAGTTGAAATACCATAGTTGGCAGCATCGACGGCATCTATCTCTCCATCGGTGTTCCATCGACGTTGAGGGAATCGCACACCTTTCAGAAGGATCTCGGGGATTTCAACTGCGCCGAATGCTTGCAATAAGAGCAACAGCTGATCTGAAGCTGGAATCAACTCTGTGTATTCAACGAATAGATTCAAATAAGACGACTTCAAAGACGGATCTGTGAACGCAAATCAGCGTCCAATTGCAGAAATGGAAGACACACGGCGACTCACCGCGTAGCTGACTTAGAATGAGACGCTGTACCACATCTACGTGATCCGTGACTAGTGGGGCAAGGGATAACAAATGGTTGAAAACTTCTTCATCATCTATGTTCAGATATCGTTCATAACTGCCCGTTATAAATCAGTTTTGCAGAGGGCTCAACGGGCACTGCACACTCTTACGTGGATGGTGGAATATCTAACGGAAGCCAGAGAATCGATCCCAGGCCACCCAGCTTCCGAGCGATTTGGATGTACTTTCTCCCAGAGTTGCGAATATCCGCGTAGTTAGTCTGTCCGTGAAATGCTTTGGCGATATGAGGTGGCACGGAGGCTTCGGGATCCAACTTGGATCTTAGGAATATTACTATGCAGGCCAATCTGCGACGCAGGTCGGCATTGACATGGTCGTCAGAGGCTACCCAAAACCCATCAACATTCTCGCTAAAGACCTCGTATATCTGCTTGACGGGCCCGAGGTCGACCGAGTCAACGGATAGGGCCTTATTCGTACGCTGGTTGCGTGGCGTGATTTGATACTGCACGTCGCGGGAGAGTGCCTTGGACTTGGCTAGAAGTCGACGGACATCCTCGAGGTGGCTATTGAGGACAGGTATCAACTCTCTAGCTCGTTCTTCGTCATATTGCTTGGATAGGAGCCGAATCGAGCTGCAGAGACATATAGAATTATCCATGGCGCGGCGACCCGGAGCATTTTATGGCGACTTGTGCCGCGTTGGAGAGGCAATGGCATACCCCCTCCCCTTTCATGCAGAATTTGAACTCCACTCGTGCATCTCGGCTTTGGTCGGATTTGCGAGACCCGACCCGCACTAGGAGTTATCAATCACTAACCCCTGACATTGGCCCACATTGACTGATTTTGAACGCGACTAGTTCAGTTTTTTTTTTATCAGCTTATCAGATCATGGTGGATCCCCAGAGCCCGCCGGACACTAGAGGAAGGGCTCAGATATGCTGTGCCAGAGCATTTGAAAACACCATGGACTTGGCAATCATATCACCTCGCGACGATAATTGATGTGATGAAATTGAGACTTTGCTATCCATTGGTAACTCGGTTGACTTTCCTGTTACACACAAAAGGGTTCAAATCAGGCTTGCTACCTAATCACAAGGGGTCAACATCTGGAACTCCCATGTCGAACTCAATTAATCGGGAATTTTCAGCTTTCCCATACGCAGAAACTTATTGGGCAAGTGTGGTAGAAGCGTTTAGGGTCACCGTGAAACTTATCGTACCTGAAGTAGCAGGCAGGATCTCGGCTACAAAAACGGCGACGTTGCGGATACTTCTACAGTCTTCCGATGCACGGTACGAGGTAGTTTGGATTAAAGAGACATGGACACTTGCCAGACTCAGCTAAAGAGTATTTAAGGGATACCTCCTCTGCCCAAAATTAAGACCTGGACTTAGCTGAACATCATTGTGACAAAAAACATCCGGCTAAAATTTGCTTTTTAGGCTCTAGTTACTCGGTCATTATGGCTGTCGGTCGTGGTCCGTGGACAGGGCAGTTATTAAGTCAAGTGCATCACTCAGAAGTGTAATTATGTTTCACATAGGGACCCAGGTCTTTTCGGACTGATTTAAATCGGGATCTGTTGCAAAAGTCAGTCTTTCCATAAAATTAGGTATAGGATACTATCCTGAGTATACCTATAACCTTCACAGCTGATGACTTTCCCTTGCATTTTGTCGGATTGGAAGCCCAATTCGACCTCGAGTCAGCGCCAGCGCAGGGGCCATCTAAGGGTCTCTATATTAGCGTTTGACCGGCGATCTAACTAACGGTTGGAACCTCTCTTTTCTATTTCATATAGAGATTAATATAAGAGTAATTAACCCTTCGTTACTATGGTTCGATTAAATAAATCACTTTATAATTATATAAACTAATATTAATTAGTAATTTAATTACTATTATAGATTAATAAAACTATTATAAAATAAAAAAGGCGACCTTTTAATACTATATAGGATAAAAGAATTACGTTATTTTAACTTTTTATAAAGATTAAAAAAAACGACTTTTTAATATCGTACGGAATAAAAGATTTCCGATTTTTTAGATTTTTATTAAAAAAGAGGCGTTTATTATATTAATAACGCTTTTAAACGGTTTATTAACGGAACCGCTTAAGTTAACCGCCGATTATTAAAAGAATTTTTTTTATACCTTTTTTAATTTTAAAAAACTTTTTTTTTATTTTTCTTTTTTATTTATTTTTTATAATAAATATATAAATTTATTTATTTTATATTTATATTAATTACGACCGGATCGTATAATATTTATATTTATTTTATAGCTTACGAAAACGAGCCCTCGAAATAAAAATAAAAAAAATAGCCTTAATAACACAGTCTCTCTAATAAAAAACACCTTCGATAAAAAGGGTAAGACTATAAACTAGCCGGGTAAATACACGGGCTAAGCATATTAATTATAAAAAATAATATAATTAAAAAGTAATATAAAAGAATAATATAAAAAAGCAGAGTAAATAGCAAAATAAATATTATAATAAATATATTTTTATTATTATCCTTTTTAAATAAAAGGATACGGCGAGCCCGTTTATATATATAAGGTCGTTTTAATACGTAATTAAATTATTAAATAATTATAAAGAAATGTTATATACACCCTTTTTATAAAAATAATTATCCTAATTAAAATAAATAAACTTAACTTTTAATATTTCTTATTTTTTACGTATCGTAACTTTATATTTAAATATTTAATTTTTATTACGATAAAGGCCGAAAATAATATTTAAATTAATAGCCTTTTTTAATAGTTTTTTTATTAATTCCTCTAAGGGGGGGCGCTTACGTAATAAAGGAGTCGGCTATATAAAAGCCGGGTATAATAATAATATTTATTTTATAAAAGTTATAAAATTAAATTTAATTATAATAAAAATATTAATTTTTTAATAAAAGTCTTATACCTTTTTATTTTTAATATTAACTTTTTTTTTTATCTTATTATATACTTTTTTTATTTAATTAATTTTATTAACAAAGTTAATTTAAAAATTTTTTAAAATACTATTTATTTCGGCTTACGTATTAATTTACGTAATAACGATAGATTTAATTATTTTTTTTATAATTTTTATATAACGAGCGGTAATAATAACGTTTTTTATAACCGTATTTATTATATTATTATTAATAACGGGTTATTTTTTATGTTTTTTAAAATAGGTTTTTAAAACTATTATTTCGTTAATAAAAGTATCGATATATCTTTTATATTTTTTTAAACGGTAAATAATTTTATTTAATTTCGCTTAACTAATTTATATTATATTACGGATTTTAATATTATAAAAAATAAATAAATTAAAACGATTAACTTTAAAAATAGCGTTAATAATATTACCGTTAATATATTTTTTATTACCTACGTAAATATTACTAAGGATTATAATATAAATAAAGAGCTTATTAATCTACGTATTATTTTTTATAAAATTTTTATAGACCCGGCCGTAGGCTTTAAAAACTTTTCGGAATACGTTATTTAAAAATTAAACTTTATAACTATTTTTTTTATATTTAAAAACGGCGTTAATAAAGTATTTTTTAATTTAATCGTAAACTTCCCGCTTTAAATAAGGTTTATTTACGTTTTTAAATTTAAATTTAAAACGTTTAAAAATATTAATGTAAAGTTTATTAATATTTTAATACGTTTTTTTTATACTACCGGACGTTTAAAAAGTACGAGGAGTACGGGGGGTATTAAAAGCGTTAGTCGTTAAAATAGTTTATTTAAAACGTATATTCCTTCTTTTTTTTTTATAAATAATCATAACTTTTTTAATAACGTAATTAAAAATATTATTATATTCCGTTTTTTTATATTAAGCCTTTTTATTTATATCGTAATTATTAATAATAATAAACGCCTTTTTATTAAAAAATTCGCTATTTTTATATTTTTTTAATTATTTTATAATCTTTTTAATTATATAATTATTTATTTAATTAAAATTTAGCTACGTTACGTTATTATTATATATAAGCTTATAAATATTAAAAAAGTTAAAAACGCTTAGTTAAAATATAATAAAATATTTATTATTATAAATAAAATATTTAAAAATTAAGCGGCCTTAATTATTTTTAAACGTAATATATAATATTTTATTACCGTTATTATTATATTAAAAAATCATAAGGCTAAAGGTTATATAAACGGTATTAAGGTTATTAATATAAAGCTTAAAGGTATTAATATAAAAATTAAAAAGGGGCGTAAGTTTGTCGTTTTTAACTTAATTATACTCCGGGGTATTTATTAAAAAATCTTATAAAATATTTATAAAAGGGAAGGAAATAAGCGTATTAAACTTAAAGTTAAGCTTAATATAAAAGGCCTAACGCTCTTTATAAAATAATTTAATACCGGCCGTATTTTTATAAACAGGCGACGTAATATAAATAACGTATTAAAAAAATAAGGTATTAACGATTTTTATAATTAGCGTTTTTATATTAATATTAACAAAAACCAATATATTATTAATAATATTTTTATAAATAATTATTTTATTAACTTAATTATAAGTAATAAGTGTTATATAAAAAAGAAATCGGCATATAATTATAATATAATAAAATAATATAAAATATTATAATTATAATTATAATACCGTAATTATTATAAATAAAAAACGTATAAAATATATACGTTTTATAACAAGAATTATATTAAATTAATATAATATTTACGGTTAATTAAGTATCGTAATAAATAATTAAAAAAAAAAATCTCGGCTTAATATTTTAAACTTTTATAAATAAAAAAAAATTATAAATAATAAATAGTTAAATAAATAAATAAATATAAGCGCGGTTAAAATAAATATATAAATATAAATATTAAAAATAATAATATTAAAATAATAAAAGCTTAAATAAATACATATTTTTTTATTTTAAAATTTTATAACCGCGGTAACTATATAAAAAAACGCAAAATTAATATATAAAAAAAAAGGTTATTTTAAATTATAAAAAAAAATTTAAAGGCTTTTTTATTAAATTAAAACTATAAATAATTAAAGATTTATTTTATATTTTATAATACGTAAAGTTTATTTATAAAAAAATATAAGGGTTTATAATTAATTTATACGGTCTTATTTTATATATAGCCCGTTTATACCGTCGTATTTAGCCGCTTTTTTCCTTTTTTATAATATTTATTTTTTTAATTAATTAAGTTTATTATTTTGAATTTCTTAATATAGTCGCTCGAATTTAATACGAGGTTCTTACACAGCTTTTAAATATTATTAAATAAGGTTTAACTTATTTATTTAATAAAATATTCGATTGAAAAGTATTTATTACGCTACGTAACTCGGCGTTAAATAAGTCTTTTAATTTTATATTCGTTTATATCGTTTATTATTATAAAATCGAAAAGAGATTTTATTTTATTAAAAAAGTCGTCTTTTTAAAAGGCTTTTTATAATTACGTATTAAATATAACAAAATAAACGTTCTATTATAATAAAAAATTAAGTTTATAAGCTAATAAGTTTATTATATATATAACGTAAAAAAGCCTTACCCGCTTAAATAACTACTTTTTTTTAAACTTATTTAAAAAATAATATTTATTATTAAATTTAAAAAAGACTTTATCGT